ATGCGAAAAAATGCGAGCCAACGCCCCAAGCCCCCGGCCGTTTTTGGCGGTTCTTGTCAGGAAAGCTGCAGAGATAGAGCCGGCTCACGGGGTCGCTGCGGTACATCTTACAAGAGAAGGCAAACCACCCAGGCACACAGGCTCGTGCTGGAGGGCAACATACCAGAGGGGCCACGGGGCCCCGCCCGCCGGCTCGCTTGTGGGGCGGGCCACCCGGGGGAGTTGCGTTATCCATTTCCTGAACCAAAGAACACCCCGCCGGGGAAGCCCACCCAACCGGGGGGGGTCGGCCCCACATCGCGATGCATGCCGCACGCACGGACGGCCTGGCGCGAGAGGCCGGCCCACCATCGCGCGCCATACCATGCGGTCCGACGTCGGACCGCATGGTATGCTGCCTCTTTGCTTCTCTCGTTCAAGCAGGCGAAGCAGAATAGACGGGCAACCGAAATAGACAGGTGGCGCCACCACAGCGCGCCACAGACCCACATCACGCGCCGGCCATCGGGGTGGCCCCCCGACCGCAGGCCCTTGACACTTCTGCCACCGCTAGCGAGACGAGCGGAGGAGCCGCCTCTGCCCGTTGGTTGCAAAAGGGGGGCGCCTTTGGCGCACGCTTCGGCCGCGTCGCGTAACCGCGGAAAGGCGGGCAGGAAACAGACGGCCGGGGCGCGACGGCCTCTATTTTGTAAGAATGGGCAAGCGGCGGGCCAGAATGTAGGGGGCCGAAGGTACGTCGGACAGCGCGCGGCCGGCGTGCCATCCAAGACACCGCGGCGGGGCGGCGCGCCCATTCGCATTCGGGCCCTGGCAGTGGCAGCCAGTGCCATTGCTTATTTAAAAGGCGCTCAGGGCGAAGAGGGCCGACGCGCCCCGGCATTTCCGAAGCGCGAGGCGGCGATCAACATCCGGGCGAATACTGAAAGGCCAAAGGCCAGCGCCCGCGCACCACTTCAAAAGGTGCACAAAATGCGCACAGGGCCCCACAGCGCTCGCGAATAATCGCGAACAACCGACCACGGAGGCGCTGCCCGTCCGATGCGCGGCGGGTGGCATTTCCCGCAGCCTGCTTGGAGGCGTCGATCAAAATGGCAGGCAGCTGGCGGGCACACGCCGCGGCGAAGAGGTGCCGCCCTTTCATGCTCTGCCACTCCCAAAGTGCGGACTTACCAGCAACAGGCAGCACGGTCCAAACAATTTTCGCAAAGCATGGATTGCCGACGATCAAAATAGCGATTTTGCCAAAAGTCAAAGTAAAAGTTTTGGAAAAGTCGCTATCCCGTTTCAATTACCCGTTTTCCCTTGTAAGAGCTTGGGACCTGCATACATTGGGGGGGTTTAGGACGACATTGCAATGCCATATCCTATCCTATTATCGTGGGTTGTGGTCATGCTCAGGGAGGTGCTTCCCGAGGACGCCCGCTCCATGCCGGCGGCCCCCAACGCCCATGGCGAGGCGGAATAGTCGCGATCCCGTATTGGTCGGCGGCTGCAGCACGCGAATGCTCGCGAGACGAGAGGAAAAACGCCGCACACGACACACATACGCACAAGAGGGTCCTTGTTCGCATGATCTGATCTCATGGTGTTGCATGTGTGCTGGTGGGCGCACGATCTCGCGGGACTCTCCCGCTGTAGCTTCACGAACACTCACCATACCGCCACCCGACGGCGAGACCAATTTCTTGCCGGGATACACGAACACATTTCTCGGACCAATGCAACATCAAAACTTTGTTATAGGTTTTTCAGGTCGGTCCTGTGGCTCCCTCCCTCACTGGGTGGGACCTCCCTGGCCGGCCTAGGGGTGGGCCCGGCAGTTGCGAATCAATCTCCATACACCTTAATATGTGAGACCGGTACGTGCTGAGGCCTAGATTTTTAATCACGATGCTACGATGAGGGCTGCCATTTTTGTGTCGCGCATGCCATCGGGGAAAGCAGGGGGCCCCACCTCCCACCCTCTCGCCCGCTGGGCATCCCGCCTCCGCAGGGGGCCCCCGCGCTTCCGCCTCCACCTCACCCGCTGCGTATCCCGCGTCCGCAGGGGGCCCCCGCCCTTCCGCCTCCACAGGGGGCCCCCGCCCTTCTCCCGGGCCGCCTGCCTGGTGAAACGGGGGGCCCCCGCCTCCCGCCTTACCGCCCGCTGGGCACCCCGCGTCCGCAGGGGGCCCCCGCGCTTCCGCCTCCGCAGGGGGCCCCCGCCCTTCTCCCGGCCGGGCCGCCCGCCGGAGGCCGGGGGGGCCCCCATCCTTCTCCGCGGTAAATCCCTCCCGCCCGCAGGGGGCCCCCGGCCTCCACCTTTGGAGGCCGGGGGCACCCAAGGGGGCCCCCCGCCTTTCTCTCCCGCGCGCGGGGGGCCCCCGGCCTCCGCCTTTGCTACCCAAGGGGGCCCCCCGCCTTTCTGTCCCGCGCGCGGGGGGCCCCCTGCCTGTACCAGCGGTGCCCAAGGGGGCCCCCCCACCTTTTTCACCTGGTCCTGGGGGGCCCCCGTGTTGTTCGGGGTCCTCCGCCTTCCTTTCCCACTCGCATGCAAGGGCTCTCGTCGCGTACATCGCTCCGCGCCCGCAACAGGGGAAACGCAGCGGGGGCCCGCCGCGCAGTCGGCCCCTCTGCCGCAGGCAGGGAGCTTGCCGCGGTGCCCTTTCGTCCCAAGCCGCAACACATTCATGGAGCCCGTGCGGCTGAAGTGAACCAGCAGCGCCGTCTAGGCCTCTGCGCAGGGTCAACCGCAAATACGCGGCCGAAGTGAGCTAGTAGCTAGCGCCGCATAGGCCTCCGCGCGCGCGGTGTCAACCACAAGTACGCGGCCGGGAGCAGGGCAGACGTACGCAAAGGCCCGCGCATAACGCCGGAACACAGGGCGGCGGTGACTTGGGACGGCGGGCACAGAGTTGGGCACGTTGACGCGCTGTTTGCGGACGCCGACGTGGAAGTGCTGCCCGCGCGTGCCGAGGTGATCGGCAGGGGCGGCCTGCGCGAGCGGGGGGCCTCTGCAAGAATTAGGGGCAACAGCCGTAATGGGCTGTGACTAGTGTGCGCGTTGGTTAGGAAGACCGCTTGACTTGTGTGCTCGTGGAATGCGCCTGCTCGTTGTTTTGGTTGTCAATACGCGAAAGAAGCCACCGCTGTCGTGAAGAGGTGGTGTAAATAGTTTTTCACCTTGAAGACCGGCTTGAAGAGGTGGCGTAAATAGTTTTTCACCTTGAAGACCGGCCTGTTCTGATATCGACCTCGCTCCCCTAATTCGAAAGCTTTAACTTAAACTTCTGTCTGAAAGGTGTAAAAATTTTCTGGCGTATTGACAACCACACAACCAAGCCAGCACTTGACCAGCGTCGGCGCGACAATTCGCCAACATGCGCCGCCGCGCGCCAAGATGGACACCGCCCGCACATGCGCCCACGCGCAGCAGCGTGGGCGCGCCGGAAATACTGCCCACATGCGCCAGCGGGCGACATGCCGCACGACTTGCCGTGCAACTCGGGCCATACCATCGCGATTCGCAAGGCAAAACGTGCAAAAGTTGCACGAGTTGCACACGTTTCCGGGACATCTCGGAAGGCCCATGCATACTGCCCCGGTTCGGCACAAAGTGTTGGGATAGTTGCGCGGCGGGTTGCACCGTGCAACTTGCCGCGCAACTCGGGCCATACCATCGCGATTCGCAAGGCAAAACGTGCAAAAGTTGCACGAGTTGCGCAGGTTTGTTTCCGGGACATCTTGGAAGGCCCATACCGTCCTGGTTCGGCGCGGAATGTTGTGAAAGTTGCACGGCGAGTTGCACCGTGCAACTCGCCGTGCAACTCGGCCGCACCATCGTGATTCGCAACAAAAACGCGCAAAAGTTGCACGAGTTGCACAAGTTCCCGGGAATTCTCGGACGGCGAAAATTCCGGGATCCTGGAAAAAGGAGAAGAACAACAAAGAGAGAGCAAGACAACCCGTCTCGCCCAAACTGCAAACCCGCACGGTATGGCGCGCGTATGCCACTGAATTCGCTATGTTTGACCAGCGTAACAAAAGGCGTTTCACGAGGGTACCACGCCCGGGTATATACGCAAGGTCTGACCCCAATCACGATGCTACTACGAATAATTCTAGGCCTCAGCGCGTACCGTTCTGGAATATGTATATTTCGGCCAGTATAACATGTGACTTTGTTGTGACTGACATCATTAATTTTAAATATCTGCATTTCCCGCTTCTACCTATCACATCAGTACTAGTGCACCTCCCCACCCGGGGTTCATGAAGAGGGTTCGGCCCCGGTGGACTATACTTCTTGCTCTTCCTCGACGCCGGGCTCCGCTTCGGAGAGCGGAAATCGAAACTCTGCGTCCCGGACCGTCCACAAAATATCGAGGATCTCGTCCACTGACTGCATCCCCCCCAGGTGGCGATACTCATGGCAGAGCCGTATGTGCTGCCACGAGTCCGGCACGTCTTTACAGCGCGGGATGAGGATTTTATGATAAGATTGCTTCCTAAACCCTGAAACCTAAACTAAACCCCTTCTGGATCGATCTCGAGCAACAGATGTGGGCGGTGGCATGGGTCGAAGGTGAGACGGTCGCGACGGCAGCCATCCCGTGCTGGCGACGGTGGCGGCCTACCTAAGCCTAAACCTAGGAGAAAAAAACTGCTTGGTGCCAGTTGGGCCCGGGGAACAAGAGGCAGAACAAAAAGACAAAGAGGATTTTATGAATAAGAAAATAAAAAACATTAAGATAAATAGCAAACGAGGATTTTATGAATAAGAAAATTTTATGAATAAGAAAATAAATAATCTCGAAGAGATTTTTTCCAATGTTTTGAAAATTTTCCAACGAATTAGAATCGAAATCCCATCGAGTATTCAACAAGTATAGATAGACTCAGATGAATGTCATTCATCAAAGGGCGGAATTAGTGGCAGACGCTAGTAGAAATGTCTCTGTTTCCTCTTCCTCAAGCTCTACTGTGTTCCCTTGCACTTCCTTGGGGTCGGGTTGTGGTTGTTAGGGTTCCCCCCGTGTAGGTAGGGCGTGTGGTCCGGCATGGTGATGCCGGCGCTTGTGCCGCGAGAGAGCGCTCGGTCGCTCAGCCCTGGCGTAGGCAGTAGTTGGTCGCTGGGAGGCGGCGGGGGGTCGTAGTGCCACAGGCTGACGAGAGCACGCCGCGGCAGCGACAGGTTCTGTGTAGGTCGAACTGCAGGTGCTGGCCGGTCTCCACAATCCGCGCTTGGGGGGTTGGTCGGGGTGGAGGGTTTGGGTTGCTGCTCCGCAGACGCGGGTGTGATTCTGCTCGGCGATCGTCCCCTCCCCCGCACGCAGGGCAGGGAGGAGGGACAGATGAATGTCAATGTCTGTGTTTCGCGTCTGGATCTAAATGTATTAAGTTCATCCTTCGTTGACTCAATATCAATAGATGACTTCGCTTCCATATGAAAAGGTGGAAGTTGCAGCTGCGTATTTGGCGTGAGTGTTGATGGCACCGACACAGGGGACACATGGGGGCGTCGCTTGTTTGTGCGCGTGGAGGCCAGACTTCGGCCGTGACTGACAAGGGGTAAGAGGTGTGTCCGGCGTCCCGGTGTTGTTCCGCTCCTGTAGAGCGTGCGCGCCGTGGCCGGTGGCGCTTGTGTGTGCCCCCGGACGAGTACTGTAAGCGTACCTCCGGGGCCTTGGGGCGCGCGGGAGGCGTTGCGGGAAGACGGCCCGCGGCCCTTCCGCGTTCTCCCTGCAAGGGGAACCGGGTGGGCATGGTAGCAGTGTATAATGTCATTTCCTATTCATACATATCTTCATCTTGCATCTTCATGTTCAACTGTCATCTTTTTATTGCTCTGTCGTTTTTGCAACCGAGAAGACTCAACTTTTCAAAATTGGCCCCCTGGGGTTTCCGTTTCGTATTGGTATTCGTGTCCACCGACTATAACTATCACGTGCATGCACGGTCAACAAAGCTCTTCTCTGTAGAGAAGTGTCAAAAGAACAAAGTCTTCGATACCCAATAGCGTCCACGGGTTGCATTGATGTTCATATTTTTCATCATATTTTCCCCGGGCCAGCGCTCCCATGATAGCTAAAGCTAATTGGGTCAATTCCACCGCCATTTCTTCTAGTGCTACGGATTCCAGTATCGCCATTTGGTCACCTCTGCGCCGCGGCGGTTCCCACGCGCTCCTTTATCATCCATCAACACAACATTGATATCCAAGAAAAAAACCGTGTTAGTGTAACTCTAACTACCTTGTTTGGCTGACAGCATTACAAATTTGCTCCTCTAGTACATGACAGAGAAAACCTGTCATGCGTGGCTTGTAAGGGAAAGCGCACAACATGAAATTGAAAACAGAACTTCATGGCTGCCCGACATGACAGGTGTAACTCTGTTCCATGTTCTGCATTACAGAGTTACACCTACACAGTTTTTTTCTTGCATAGCCGACACTTTTCAAGTAATCCCGAATCTCGTCCGCTCGATCGTAGTTGCCGCCTTTTCTTTATGACAGTGTACAACCTCCCCCCCCCGCCCCCTGAACATAATTTGTAGTGCATCTCTAGCAACAAAAAGAAAAACCACGTCAGAGATGCATTCTCGGCATATACCAATCCACGCACGCAGCATACTAGTGCAGTTTGGGCCTCCAGAACTTGTCACGCAAGCACAGCGAAAAGGCTCAGAGAGGATTTAGCATTGATTTTTGCATTTTTACAAATCATAATGAGGGGGAGGCGGGGATGTTGTGGAGTCTCATAGTCTCGCCTCGTTCCTTTGCTCGATCATTATCCAGGAAAAATCACCCATCCACGTCCAATTTGTCATGCAAAACACGTATCAAATTCTATGTATCTGTGTCATGTTGGGAAGCGAAGGGCTGGGTGTCCCTGTCGTTTCTAAATGTCAATATCATGCAAAAAATGGATGGAGAACCGAAGGATTTTTTTCTGTGGATAGTCATGTGTTCGATTTCATCGTCGTCCGGTGCCGTCGGGGGTCGCACACCACGCGATATCGGCGGGGAGTTGTCCTGATGTTGTAATTTATGAAGGTTACCACGGACGTCGTGTCGAAACGAGAACCAAAGAAGAACAACGAAAAGGAGCTGCAAAAAAATGAAATACAAATTCGAAAATTGGATATAAGTAAAATGAAGTTGTACTCTATCTGTAAAAATGTCGCACGTGCTAAAAAGGTAGATCTGCTCGTATACAAGGTCTACTTCTACTTCTTGAAAAATGAAATTTGCTGTATGTGTATATGCAATAGCAATTCATACTGTAGAAGTGCGTTAGTACTTTACTAAGTACTTAGTTGCATAAAATACTTCCGGCTGGTCTTCCCCGCCTGTGGCAGGTCCCATATTACTGCTTGTTCGCCCCCTGGTTGCCACGACCGCCGTCGCTCCTGTATGGTGCTGATGTATCCAGAGGAAAAACTAAAAGAACGTCCCCACCTCACGACACTTGTCAAGGCGGCAGTGAGTTTATTCTTTCCTCTACACGTCGAGCCCAGAAATTTTGCCTGTTGTAGTTGCGCACGAAACATCAGAGACAGATTAGTTTATTCTTGTGGTCGTTTCGGTTAGTAGTACTGGCTAGTCGTCCAGTCGCTTGACAAATGTGCGGTCAAGATCCCGGTCCTGATTACAGCACGAAAATAAAAAATTCCCAGATAGCGTTGTACCCATCTATCATCATGTTCATGGAGTGCCAGCATGACGAGACAGTGACAGCTATGACTTGCCGGATTCCATTTCCAGATTTGCATGAGAAACACGAAGAAGATGACCAAGGCGGCCGGGGGGACGTACTTTTAGTTTTAAGTAGTTTTTACACAGGATATGCTGCTGCAGTGTCGCGGTAGTTCCTCCGCCGGCGACTGTCGAAGATGTTTCTTGTTCCTTCGCCGCGCTGGCACGCGTGGCCGGGGAAGCTGCAATTTATGCAATGCAAAAGCGTCTACTGGGAGATCCAGGTCTGGAATAATGGACGACGATGATGATGAATATGAAATTCGAATTTGTGCGTAGCAATTCGTGATTTTTGCTGCCATGCTTGGGCAAGCTAGCGGCCATTTTCGTGTCACAGGGGGAAGAAAGAAGGAATAAATTGTTGAAGCGGATTAGGCATTGAGAAACTCAATGTGGAGCAATGAAGGACATGATTCTGGGTCTTCACACGACATAAAGTTTATTCTATTACTACTAGCTGCATTTTTCATCGTCCAGACCCAGAGGACCCGCACAACATTTTTGCCGTTGATACAGTTCCTGTGGTGGTAAAGCCGGGCGCGACCGTGTGCAGGTGGTCCGATACCGCTTTGCACGCGGGCAGCTTCGCGGCCGTGACGTCGGGTGCGATGCCGTGCGTTTCCTCCTGGAAGCGAATAAAAGCCTCGTGGACTTTGGTGAGTTCCTGCTCTGCAAACTCGACTATAGCAAGTGCAAACGTGTCTGGGTCCTCGTCTGGAAGAGTGTTCTGTTTTATTTCGTCCTGACATCGCGTCACAAGTTTGATGCGATGTAGAAGGTCATCAGAGCAGAACCCAGACCACGTATGTGCTGTCGATATCCACAGCCACCCCAAAATCGCGGATTTCACGACAGGAAATGCACAGCGCCAACGGCTATTCTATGGCGATCTCAGGCGTTACTTACATTGATGATCGCTGTTTACATGTTTTGCTTTTGCCATGCCCATGCGAAACGACTACAACTTGTTATCACACTCCGGCTCCGCACGACAGGATAGACGAAGAGCTGCTTTGTATAAATATACAAGTTCGCGACGGCGCGCTTGCTAAAAACGGCGTGGACATTTTATGTGGGTGCTGCCACATGCACATTTGTACGTAATTATGCAAGATCCACAAGGCCACTCGACCCATTTGTTCGCGTTTGTTGGTCGTTGTGCGCCCCAAAACTCTTTACAACACAGCGAGCAATGTACTAGTAACAAGGTTGAGAATGCCATATCCTCGGATTCGTGGGGACCTCCAACGCCCTTGCCGCGAAGCCGCGTTTCCCTATGAGAGTGCACATTTCTTATTTTTTCCCGCATCAAAATCCACAAAGAGAAAGACAACTGCAGTTGCGTTTTCGCCATCAAAATCACATCGACATCGCTGTTTGCAGCATGACAAAAGGTAAAAATGTGGAGCAATTTGGAGTGGGAGAAGTTGTGCACTCTCTTCGTCATACTTGCCGCCGGAAGCGCGAAAGGTCGGCAATTCCTCCTAGCATCCCTTGAAAATATGTCCTCTGGGACGACTGGAGAAGTGCAGACAGAGACAGTGGAAGTGTATTTTTCTGAGAGAGGCAATAAAAACGAAAATCTGTGCTGCGTAGTTAGCAGCGGCAAAAAGATGTGGAGTTTTATTTGTCTTTCGTTTCTCACCACGACAAAGAGTTGTAGGTACTATGTTTGCGAACAGAACGATCGACGATGCACCCTCCGCAGGATGTGCTGTCATATTCTGTGTGCATTCCAGAGGTGGGCCTTGGATCGTGCACCTGCACATGCAAAAACTGCATGACAAGCGTCTGCTTCCTTCGAGCGACCCGGACCGATTTGCATTCGATACCCAGATGCGCCGCGCGATTTGAATCACTTTGGAGCCGACCTTTATTTGCAGGTCCAGATTTTGATTTAAATTCATTTCCTTTTACTTATTGCAGTGGTAGACGAGTGAAGAGGTGAATCTTAATCAGGCTCATACAAAGTTATTCAGAATATGTCAACGCGCTGCAAATTGTACAACGCGAAGAGGGGCGTCGCGGCGTCAGCCTTTCGTAACTCCTAGCGGTTGTCAGCTAGTATTAGGAATTTCTATGCTGATACTGGTAGTACAGGAGAAAAACGCAAAATATTAAAATATAGGCATGCGCAAGTGAAAAGCTGCATGTACTTACCCGAAACTCCTTCTCGTTCTCAATGCCGATTTGAGAATCCACTAGAAAAGAGACGTTCGTCGAGAATCAGAATGTCATGACATCTGTGGCGAAATCGAAAACCGTGAGAGACGAGCACTACAACAAAAAACAGATGTGTCTCCTGAGACAGAAGCAGAACGTTACGAACGCCTTTTTTGTTTTTGCATCTGGGATATTCCAGTCTGCAGGTGTACTTCTTGCCGCCCTGGTCACTTGTTTGCATGTCGAGCCTATGCGCTGCAAAAATATCGAATTCGCACTCTTAAGGAAAAGGAATTTTTGCAATCGTGCATGAAAAGTCAAACTTTCTAGTGCTAAGCTACCTGATCTAGGTCTAGCATGACAAGTAGGAGTTGCATTTTTGTTCATCTTGAGATGAAAATCGGTAAATGCAATTGGTACGAAAAGTGCGATAAAAATTGGTATTGCAATTCATAGGACCATCTTGTCCCGCCTCCGCCCTCGTCCTTACTGGTATTCCGCCTGCTCCTATGATATCAAATGTAAAAATGTCTGGGTCTGGAAGAATGCAAGATTTGTGATGCAGTTTTTCCATGACCCATGAGGCCTGGAATGCAGCACCTAGCATGACAAACGCTGCGAGGTGTCTATCATGCCTATTCTGCATGAGAAACTCCCTGTCAAACTGTTCAAAAGTGGACATCTTTTGGTGATCATGAAACACAAATTTTTGCATGCTTCAGATTCAGCATGACAAGTTGCATTCTTCCAGACCCAGACATTTTTGCAATGCATATATGAGAGTGCGCAACAACTCCCCCTCCACCTCATTTGGATGGCATGAAGAACATCAGCAACGCAGACAGCAGCGGGCAGATTATATGTCGCTTCCGCATGATAAACTTGAACACGGATTGCAGTGCACTTCGTGTTTGACGATGAGATTCCAAAATTGGGCATGCAGGAAGGGCGGGGGCCTAAAGGCAGAACATCATGTCCGACATGGATTTCATTTCCATTTGGATTTGCATTTGTTATTTTGCATAGCATTACAAATGAGGGGGGGGTTCGAGTTGTGCATTCTGATAGCTCGGCGAGCTTCCTTCGAGCTCCGGACAGGACACGAACAGGAAGGCGCCGTCGATGCCCAGCAGCGCTTTGTTGTTCAAGTCATTCCATGCGGCCAGAGCGTTGCCGAACCCGAGAAACTATAAATTGCAAAAGTATCATCTTCATCGTACTAGTTCTACTAGTATGAATTGCATATACAAATCGGAGGCTCAGCATGAAAAATGGAAACTGTCATGCTGAAGATTTACCTTGAAAGGAAATTTAGGTTTAGCCTGCGATTACTAAAGTAAGAGTAGGATACTTTTGCATAGGATAGAAACGTCACATTTGCACTTTCCTCGTTCAACACGCGGACGGAATCCACCTCGCCGTATCGTCCGAAAACCCGGCGTATCGAATGGAAATATATGATCTCGGTCTGGAAGGTTGCAACTTGTCATGCGAAATCTGGAACACAATAAGATCTGTGCTTCATGAATGGAACCCCAAAAGCTGCCTCCTTCTCACTAGGCAAAAGTAGGTGGATTTCTGCTCATGCGCAAGAGGCATCGAGAGTGTCGCGCAATATCTGCGATGCTTGTTCTGGGTGCATTCCAGACCATGTGCGTGAGCGAAAGCGTGGTCCGCGAGATGCATGACAAGTGTTGCACTCTTCCAGACCCAGACACCAAAATTTGCACTGGATACGTCGCACGTCCTCCTCAGAGAGCTGGTAGGGAAACGCCAGCCCCCGCACGGACACGTGCAGTGGGGGCGGAAGCCGCATGGAAGTAGTACTATTGCCGGGAATCGGAGGTGCGCTGCCGCTGCTGGTGCTGGAAATTTGGTGCGGGGCAGCGGTGCCACCGGCAGGGAAAACGAGGGCCATGGTGGTGTTCTACTTGGACGTCGTTCGTAGTGGTCACCGGGGGCGGTGGTCGTCCCAAAAAATTGGCTTTACAACCAACTGTCAAACTCCAATTTTTTTCGTGACAAACCGACTTCTTCTAGGATGATTTCAGTACACCAGCAAGCCAGGAAGAATAAATGTGCGTGCAGCTGATGAACGAAGTACTATGGTAAGCCTAAGCAACACCTGGGCGAGCAGATGCCTCTCTCTTGCTCCTCTCTCTTGCACACTGCTTTTTAGATGTGCATGTGGCTAAGCCACATGCACATCTAAAAAGCAGTGTGCTGGGAATAACAGAAACGACATAACCTCGTCCGTGAGAACGAAAACCATGAAATTAGGACGCAAATAGCACTGGCGCACCTATCCAGGGTGCAGCTCCTGGTTCGGACGTATGTTGCTCAAGCTTCCGCTATTTTTTTCGCGAATACTTTAGTTTGTTTTCGCTCCCACTCAACCAAGAACAGCTGCATGCAAATTACTTTTACTCCTCGTTTTGTAGCAGGAGTAGATGTCGTGTTCGAAGACTTGCTTCTGATACACGAGGACGACACTGCCACATACAGATACATGGTCGGTGGAGTAGAAGTCTCGTATAGATTGTTTTTGTTGTTTTGTTGTCGCGTATTGAACAAGCGACAAAATGCGAAAGCAAATCATCTGGTCTGCAGAAAAAAATTCCAAAATATTGCTGACACGGATGTCCTCGGTCTTTCCCGGGCTCTGCAGCCTCTGGTTCTTCTCACTTGTAGAAGAACCTGACGCTACTAGCGTCAGGTTCTTCCATTGTTCATCTCGCCGAGCAGCTACAGCCAGGTGGTCTTTATCTTCAATAAAAAGCAAATGATCGTCGAAAAAGTCCGGGCTAGCAATCAAACAAGACTTCTCGAAGTGAGTCCCGTGGAAAAGAAATTGTATATGTAATTATTTCCCGCCGAGCTGGCGCTTTGTTCACACACGACATGCTCTTTTGATTTCGCGGCATGACGGTCTTCCCGACGGAGTGGTCTTCATCTCGCAAAATACCATGCGCCTGAACTTCATTCGCGTATCCTCCGAAAACTCCGCATCTGCAGTCGTCTCGATCGAAGCAGCGCCGATGCCGCGCACTTCCACTTACTTCGTCATGCTGGTAGCGGTAGAGTGGCAAAGAAAATTATCATCGTTACAACTCGAACGCGTCGCTCGACTACTGGTTGTTTTGTCCCCATTCATTTTGTGTTAGTCGGATGATTTTTGCCACGGATCATGAAGCAGCAGGAGCGAGGAGCAGCATCAGCATGAGGTTGATGAGCCCTCGCCGTCCATGGTCGGGCTCCTGCGGATTCATGTTCGGACGCCAGCGGCAACACGAAGGCCAGGGCCAGCACCACATCTTCGAGAAGCGACGCGCCACGACCTGCTCATGTCTCCAGAACGTACAGTAGGGGATCTCACACTCCCCTTACTTACGGAATCGCGTGCAGCAGCGTCGCCTCGTCTGCCCCGGTGGAGGTCACCTGCAGGTTCAAAAATTTTGCCAGCCTTGGGTATACACGTGGCACACCGCCCAGGTGTCAGGTACAATCTCAACTGGAACAACTGTAGTTACCATGATATCTTCCGAACTTCGCCTTGGTCTTGCAGAAAGTAGAACATGAGAAACATCGGGAACTTTACGCCGCTTCATTTTTTCGCAATACAACAAATTTAGCTCGATTCTAATTCCCGAGTTTGATGTCACGGGCAACATCCCTATGCAGCTGGGGGCAGGCATGATAGGCTCAGCCTCAGCCTCGTACGGCTATCTTTCTACTAGAAGTACGTACGGTTTTCGCATGTCAAATTTCCGTAGCTATCATGACGTTCTTTCCTTCGTATCCTATCGTAAGAGTTGAGATATGTGACATCTGAGCTGCAAGGCATATTGGGTGGTTGAACTCGAGCTCTTGGACCATCAGCGCGGCCCAGTACTCTTTGCTCTGCTTTGTCAGTTCCCCGCTCTTTTCAATGACGTCCATCCCAGTGCGGACCATTCGCCAGGTTGCCGCACCGAACAGAATTTGCACCCCGCTGGCGTAAACGAGAAAGGTGTCAAAGGAATAAAGTTTGCTGTTTTTCCCGAAGTATCCTGTGCAAAAGTATCGCACTCGTATAAATTCAAATGCAAGAGCAAGTCTTGCATTTGATTACAAATCTTGTTCCGAACAAGGCAGGTCTGCATTTATAAATCTTATTTCTCACGCTGAGGAAATTTGTAATGCATTTATACGAGTACGATACTTTTGCAATGCATACGAAGGGCCACATGTTTAGCTCGTTGTAGCGGCACGCTGTCTCGGGGTCCGCGTGCTCCTCGGGAGAGGTGAGCGGCATGCGAAAGTCTGTTCAAAACACCGTTTTTGGGTGTTGAGTATTTATGATGTAGCGTGAGAAGTAGTTCTTTGACGAGTAGGAGTAGTGCTAGATTTTTTCACTTAAATTGCTATGCGGAAAAAAATCCGAATCATCATAATGTGGAAGTCACAGCAGTTGTGCTCCGCGGCGTCCCCAAAACCAATAAAGGTACAGGCATGATTGAATTAGATTTGGAAGCGTGCGTTGTAAAAGTATCTGTCTAATGCTGGTAATGTATGATTGACGTCAAAATGAAAAAAGTATACATTTTTCCCCGAAAGGGATAGCTACGAAGGACACCATCGCGTAGAACCCGGAAATCAGCACTATGCTCAGCCACCACTATATGAAATTGAGAGCGTCAGGTCGTGGGAAGAAAAATTCTATTTCACGGCAAAAAATCATGTAGATGCTCATAAAAAACGAGCATACGGACATAATTCGCCTTCGCGTTCCGTGCTGCTCGGTGTACAAAAACGAGCATACGTTCATCTGATGCACAAAAATTTATTTCGTCCGCTTGCACGGGCACCGCGGGAAGCATGCAACTAGGGCCGGTTCTTATTTTCGTGAAAAAGTATCAAGACTGGTGCATGTTCATGCTGTGCACCATACTCAGGAGAGATTTGCTCATCATGGAGCGTCGAAAACTGAACTGGTGAGGCCAGAAATATGAATAAGAATATCTTTTGCTGGTATAATCTAGTATGGCTATGCGCTTTTGCAATGCTTTTTTTTATTCGACCCAGCGGCGTGATTCTGCAAGAAATTTGTATGTGATCTCGTCCCAGCAGCTGACATCAGTTGCAGTTCCGTACAGTATTTGTCCGCGTGGGGTGTGAAAGTTTCCTCCTTCCGCTATGACACCCTCAGAATGGAAATCCTCAACGTGGAAATGATTTGTGATGCATGAAATGCGACACCAAAAGGACTGTATTGCAGCGAACGCAATGGAGGCCGACTATTGTGCTTCTACGGGTTCAGAATCGGGCTGCTGATTAGCAAGAGAGAAGGGTACCCCTTTGAGTAACTAGCATGACAGACACGTTTTGAGTGCCCGGCAAATTTGTCATGCGCCGACTAGAAATGGTGCTCCAACTGGAGTCGCTTTTTTGCATTACGAATTATTTTCACTTTGAGGATTTCCAACCTGAGGCTTTCATATCCGGTTCTCCAAATCCCACTCGGCCTTGAAAATGTTGATGACGCAGAGCAATCTATGGAAAGAAAAAAGTTCGTCACAGTCACTAACGTGCATGTTTTGCATGAGAAATTCTTCCAGCATCGCAGGTTTTTCTTGTATTGCAGAAACACAAACACTGGGCAAATCCCTTATGAAGTTTGGCTGTGATGCATTTTTACGCATGACAGCCAATTTTGTATTGCAAGAATGCGCATGAGTGATCGTGACGAACTTTTTTTCTTCGATACAATCTGCCGTCCATAAAATACCAGCAGGCGTGGATCAGGCCCGGGATCAGCACCGAACCGCCGGACGCGTGGTACGCCAGCACCACTGAGTATGAAAATGACAAAAAGTAGTACTTCTAGTCCGTATCAGTTTTTACAGTTTCTAATTCATCTTATCTTGTTTCATCTGCTGTCTTGCGTTATTGCAGTCTTTGTCTACGCACTGCAGTGCATGTCGGAGGTGTTGTAGTAGTACTTAATAGAGCGCCAGACACCAGGAGATGAGTGCCAGCTTCTTTCGTCGTGTCGACGTCATCTGTCCGAATATAAATCACGAATAGAAATAGAAAAAGAACTGCCATGCTGATTATTCTACCGATAGAACCGACGAGGTTCTCCTGCGACATATATATACGCACTCACAGATACTGAGACGGATAATCATACTACTTTTTTTTCCCGCCCCTACCCAAAGGAATTGGGGGAAACAGCGGTAGCCAGACACCCAATTGCACACAATTCCGTGGACCACGCAGCTGAGCACCGGGACCAGGGCGATCGCTAGGTAGGGGGGATACTTGTGGTTCAGTATGAACTGCAAAAGTATCGTACTCGTAGTATTGCAACACAAGTTAGCTCAGCATGACAAACGGAATTTGCTCAGCATGACAAACGGAATTTGTCATGCTGATTTACCTTCAATAATGAAATTTGACTGCGATTAGTACAAGTACGATGCTTTTGCACAGGATATTCAGAAAGTTTTGGCAAATAAACACGTTCCAGAAGACCTGTTCGTAGGTGGGAAGGACGAAGGAGGTAGAGTAAGAGAACGTCAACGTGCCTACATGAGCAGCTCTTGATAATGGTAAAGCTAAAGCTAAAAAATTCGTTCTTTTTCTTATAATCTAAAATTCTTTTCTGGGGTTCATCCTGTGTCAGTGAATACAAGTGGCCGATAATGTACCTCATGCAGCAGCGCTCCATTGAATTCGAGTTTATCTTTCGGAAAAGTATCGCGCCACTGGTATGATGATCATCCACAACTCATAGACTGCATGCTCGTGTCATCGTGCATGCGGTCGCAGTTTTTGTAAAATCGAATCTGCTCTGCAACAACAACAAGAAGGTTAGCAAGTTCTTTTATATTTGTATTTCGTTTTTCTTCTTGAAAAGTAAGATGCACATCATGCAAAAATTTCTAGTCTACCCATGATACAACGAACAACGTGTCCGATACTTCTTTTTTTTTCCGTGCCTAGAAGCATCCCCTGAGCAATGCCGGCGATCCAAGGTCCAATGGTTATCGCACGAAAAAACTGTTTCACTGTGAACTTGTAATGCATAGAATGGAGCACACAACGATTTGTCTTGCGCCACATGCAAGGCATTGGGTTTTTCAACGTGTTTTCCCTTAGGAATGTGTAACGAACTTGTAATGCAAAACGTGCAAAATCCTTACAGTGAACCATTTTTTTCGTACGATAATGGTGTCCGGGACCTCAATGGGTGCAGGTTTTCTAGCATTATTTTCACCACGTTTATCGACCCGAACTGTGCAGAAACGTGCTCCCTGGAAGGCCGGAGGAGTTCCGCATTCGTGGATTCTTGTCCATCCGCGGTCGCGCCACTAGGTCTGCTCGCAAAATCCCGCAGCACCAGGAACCGCGACACGAGCAGATCTATTTGACAGTACAGTAGCACCAAACCTAGGTGCACAGCGGTCGGGATATCGAAGTTTATCGGAGGCAAAGAGGTCATGATCCTGGTCGGGGCGGCCGCCTGGACGAAAAATTATGCGTCATAGGCATAGCTTTAGCCTAAGATCACAAACTTGTTTCGCTTTCGCGGAGTCAGGCTCAGCCTCAGGGCTTTGCAATTCATAAAAAATATATTCTGCGTGAAAACATATCGACGCTCTTTTTGCATTTGCGAGTCATGCAAACACAATTTTTTTTCCGAGAAAACCTATCGTAGCGCATATTAGATTTAGACCCACATCAAAATTGCATTTTAATTTTTCTAGTAGACCCAGATGACCGAGGACCAGATCAGGATAATTTTCCCTGCCGATAGAATCGAGCGGCACGCAAATCCCTCCAAGGCCGATGCCGAGGAAGAGGAAGGGAAAGGGAACGATATGAAAGCCTCAGAATGGAAATTCTCAAAGTGGAAATAATTTGTGATGCATGAAATGCGACACCAAAAAGACTGTATTGCAGAGGACGCAATGGAGGCCGACTATTGTGCTCCTACGGGTTCAGAATTGGGCTGCTAATTAGCACGAGAGAAGGGCACAGACACCCTTGCCCTAACTAGCATGACAGACAGGTTTCGAGTGCCCAGGAAATTTGTCATGCGCCGATTAGAAATGGCGCTCTAGCTGGAATCGTTTTTTTGCATTACAAATCATTTCCACTTTGAGGATTTCCATTCTGAGGCTGTCATAAACGAGCAAGCAGAAGGCGTACCACGCGCGGCTGCAGAGGTAGGGGGCGTATCAAATGTAAAAATGTCTGGGTCTGGAAGATTTCGGGATTTGTGATGCATATTTTGTATGATCCATGATGCATGTAATGCATGATCTAGCATCACAGGTTTTTAGAGGGCTCCCTAGTGCCTATTCCGCATGAGAAATTCCCTCTGCGCGTAACACAAACTGGACTCCTGTTGCTGGTCACGCAATACAGATTTTTTTGAAATTCAAAGACAGCATGACAAGTTGCAGTCTTCCAGACCCAGACATTTTTACATTTGATAGGGCGCCGCCCAGAACGAAGCGCACGTAGGCAAAGAAGACGATGGTCGCCACGGTGACGGGAATCGGACCCGACCAGGCGGGGAGGGCGGCGGTCGTCCCGGCGGAAGCAAGAGACGGCGTCGGGGCAGATTCATCGATTGCGGGCTGCGGTGGAGGCAGTCCTTGTTGTCCGGGTTCGTTCTCGTTCATGTTGGGCGTGGTAGCACGTAAAAAGATTTCTTCTTACTTTTGTAGCTGCGAGCCAGGTTGTACTGTTCTTGCAGCCGCAGATTTCCAGCTTCCGCTTCCCTTGCGTTTGAGCCCGCAATGAATCGAAATCGTAACCGTAAGTCCAGAAGCGACTGCGTCAAGTTGTGTCTCTACCTTACCAGGAACGTCAGTGCGAGCGCATCCGCCGGAGAGATAGTGGCTGTAGTTGAGCGTAGAGTAGTTCTTGTAGAATAACACGCGGTGGCGCGAGAACAGAAACAGACGGGGAGGCGGGACGAAAATGAACCTTACCTCGCTCCGTCGCACATCATGAACTACAAAATCTGGTTCTGGTAGTGGTAGGTAGTTAAACGCAAACGCTCGGGGACCTCCTCCAGGAGGGCACCCTCTCCCGTGTTCAGGTTTTCGTTATGTTTCTCTGGCTCTGCACTCTGCTTTATCATGTTGCCTTCTGCGCTCTTCTTGAGGTATCGTTCTGTGTCTGTCTCGACAAGATGCAGCTCATATAGTACGCTCAGCAAACAACTTCTACTTTCTGTGGAGACGACACCGACAATAAGTACAAAACTACGCCCAATTATGTCGAGTTGCAGTTCCACCTGTCTGGAAGTGGAACCTAGAACGGTGATCGTGCTTTCATCGTGTAGGAGTAGAGCTAGAACGACGCAAGATGAAGGAACGTCGGCATCAGAGGAGCAGCGCCACAGGAGCGGCCTCCTCTTACAAGCTTGTTCCTTGTTGGTACGCTCAATTGAAAAATCAAAATTGAGACTCTTTGAAAATGAAACCAGACTTTCAACAGAGTGAACCACATGTAATTGAGAGGAACGGATTCTATTTTCTGGGGGTGAGAGCCGGCTTTGAGGAGCAAAGAGTGATCAGAAACGTATCTCGGCACTAACTGCAACCAGTGCTTTTTTCTTCTAACAGGAGCAGACGATTGATCTTGATGTTCAAATTCACATGAGTGAGCAGTCCCCCTTCTCTTCACCATTGTCCTTCCTTGACTTATTATTTCGTCCATCTTTATTTCCCGATCCCGCCTGCTCCATGGCCCGCGCCATCTCTTTTACGTTTGGTTTTGGCACTTCCTCCCGCACGCACGTGCCGTGCACTTTGATCTCGGTCTTCGCCCCCACGGAGCCCACGCCGAACGCCCCGCCCGTCGTGCTGATCACTTTGAACCAGATGTTGGGGGGCTGCTGCGCTGGGTGCGCATATAGCCCTTTTCCGGACAAAACGAAGCACCGCTCCGCCGGGTTGAAAGCCTCGCCAATCTTGAACGCCGAGGACCGGTTGTCGAAGTATTGCTGCAAAAACTCCTTCAGAATCAGCTTCCCGTCGACTTCTTTTCCCACAGAAGAACCCGCGGCGGTGGCGCTCGCAGTTCTCGAGGCCTTATTTCCCGCCGCCAGAAGCGCCGCCTGCTTCGCCTTCTTTTCTCGTGCCGTTATCCTAGAGAAAAAAGCACATCTGCAAAAGCAAATGCAAAAATACAGAGGTAAAAAAATGACACACGATTGTAGGCCCATACTAGCATGACGCTTGGGCCATGCAAGAGTAGAGATAAACTTTTTCTACTGTGCAGCTTATTTTTGCACTCAATGGATGCCCTGCTAGCTTTTTTCTGTGTGATACCCATTTTTACGTACTTGTTTTCCTTTGTGGGTGAGGAATCCGCGTTGTCCTCGGATTTGAAAAGACGTTCGGGAAAACCTCGCTCGTACGGCAACACGTGAATCAAGTCGAGCGTGACCCGGGGCAATTTGGGGCCCTCGTAGAACATCGCGGTGCCATTGCCCGTATGAAATGCAAAAGCATCGTACTAGTATAAATCGCATGTCTCCTCAGCATGAAAAATAAAATTAATTAATAAAAATGCGGATTTCTCTTGAAAAGAAATTTGTAATGCATGAACGCGATTAGTACGAGTACGATACTTTTGCACAGGATACCCCGCGCAGCCCAGCACGCCGGCCGGGTTGGATTTGGGTAGCGGCAGCACGTTGCAGTACACGCACTGCTGGTCCGCAAGTTTCTTCTCTTTCGTGGCGTCCGTCTCGAGGGTTGAGGACGAGGCGAGGGGCGAGGTGCAAGTGACCAAATCTCCTGCGGCTAGCTGGTCATCGGAGGACGTCGCCGCTCCGGGCTTTTCGTACTCGATGCCGATTGTACACGAGAAGAAAGCTTCTAGCATAGCGTTTTTACACTAGAATTTAAATGTACATGCAACAAACAATTGCACAAAAAGTGATCCGTCTTGCATAGCTGAAACAGCTCCTACTATGCGCTGAAATACACTGATACAGCTGCTACTACGCGCTGAAAAACACAATACGCTGAGCATAGACATAGTATGATCAGGATTAGCTGTAAAAGCTAATCATACTATGCTAGGAACTGCACTAGCTCTTTTTCTCTGTGATACCTACCACTCGAAAGCGGCCTCCGTTGTGCGAAAACTCGTGGTCCAGCCCCACGAAGGGGATGGGAACTTTGCGGAAAAAGGGAAGGATTTGGTTGTGGTACATGTGGTCATAATTGTAGGCAAAGGTGTCCTCGTAGGGAAGGATGTGCAGCTTGCGGAACACGGTGAATGTCTCTCTCGCGTCTACTTTTACGTCGAGTTGGTAGTCCTTCACAAATTTCTCCGTGTAAGGGAGCTTCGAGACTGGGAGCGTTGTAATGGTTACGCCTCCGCTCTTCTTAGATGACGTAGAAGTTGTAGCTCCTGCGCTGTGGGTAGTAGTTGTAGAAGTACTATTTCCTGCGATGTTCTGCACGACCGGACCTTCTCCTCCCACTAGACCGAGCGCTTCGGCTTCGGAAAGCAAAGAGTCGATTTCCTCGCCCGTGCTGGCGCTCACGGTGATGTCGCGGACGATGAAGTCGGAATTTTTGCAAGTCGGAGTGCAGACATACTGGCCGACTTCCAGGCATTTACGGTCCTTCCACATGCTCCGCGCCGACATTTCAGCGATGGACGGCGGCTGCCGTTTGGATCGGCTCGTGCCCACGACGCGGACCGTGATCATGATGAAGTATTTATAGATGCTGGTGGATGCTTTTTTTTCCTTGCGGCCGATGAAAACCAAAATTCAAATTAAAATTTATTATACTTCACTTCGGGGGGTGGTGGTTGGCGGTGGCCTCTTCGCATGTGGCTCACTAGACCGGGGCAGGGAACGACGCAACGCTATGCACCACGGGCACGCGACTACCAAATGCCAGTGTGGACGCCAGTGAGAAAATTATGTGTGGACGCCAGTGTGGACGCCTATTATACAGTGAGAAATACTACTAGTAGTTTGAAACAGTATCTGCAGGCCCGAGCAAAGCGCAGGACTAGGACTAGCTACTACGGATAGCAAGTCAGTAGGTAGCCTCTTATGACACGCAAAACTTCTGCCCACCTTCATAAAAAGGCGTACTAGATAGAAGCCCGCTTCTCTCAAAAACAAAATTTGTTGGCGCTGAACAAGAGATGAAGAGAAAAGGGAAGAACGTGGTCAATAGAATGACGCTCGCTCCTCTTGCCGGAGGCTGCTGCTCGAGTCACCGACCTCCAGCGCGAGCGATCTGTTTCACAATGATGATCGTGCTGCAGCTCCACCAGGACATCTCTACAACGTCATCAAACGGCGCGACAGTCGCAAAATGTTTCCTCTCCGCGCATGTTTCTGAAGATTTTATTTCCCAGTCCGTCGTCTTGAGGCCTAGGTGTAAGATCGTGGGAAGTTGGAGATAACTTGGTTTCGCGATGGTGCCATGAGCGGCGCAACCACTCCTGCCTAATAATATCTGTGACGATTTTCTTTTTCGCAAACCAGCAGAGAAAAGAGCAGACTGACATATTTTGAATTTCGATTTCCAGAGCGGCAAAAAGAGTATCATAACACTTACACTCCGTATTCAAATACATACCAATATAACGAATGTTAAGTGCAATCGTCACGACACTTGTCTTCAAACTGTATTCTCTAGGTTCTTTCCAAAAATCAATCCGCGAACCCACGAGCCACAGTCCCGCAGCAGACTTTCCAGGAGCTCTCTTTCGCAGACGGCACATCAGCTGCGCGCTGGTGAATGAGAATGGCTTGTTCTTCGGTCCAGCGGACGATTTACTTTTATACATTGATCCAGGAAAACAAAAACAAAAAGCTGTATTCTCGTGAAAAATAATATGTAATGAAACCAAAACAAAAACAGTAAAATTTTCAAATGATAACTAGTTTTACGCAGTCTATTTCATTTGTATGCACAAGCAGCGGCGAAAGGAAAGCGGTACCTTCAAATTGTTTGTCGAAAAAAAAAAATGGGAACAAGCAAGTAGAAGTTCTTGTGCTGGTACTACACAACTTTAGCATTGATCAGGAGCCGCGACTAGGACAACTACTACGAAGTAGTAACTTTGTGCGGCGCGTAACACGGAGTGAGGCCGTGGCCTGCCGTGCACGAGTTGGACCAACGCCAGACGCAACAGTGCAACTCCGATGAATCCTCCAGGTGTTTGCGCTTCGTAATTTTCCGCATGCGTCGTTCCTCAGCCTCCAGGATCGACCCAAACTCTTGGAAAAACACCTCGAAGCAGTGGTCCTTTCGTAAGACGACTTGCCCCGGGTCTAGCGCGACAGCACTTCCCGGGTCTGGGTCGGGGGACTTCACCAGAATAACCACGCAATCGAAGCAACAGAACTGGGTGAACTTGGGGAAGTTCAAACAGTGGAAAAGCGGGCCCACATATGGAATGCAAATATGTCTGGGTCTGGAAGAGTGGAACTTGTAATGCTGTCTGCGAATCCTAAAAGTGTCTGTGTTGCATGAGCAGCATGAGGAGTCAGCTCTTGGCACACAGAGAGGGCATTTCTCATGCGTAATTAGCATCAAGATGAAGCTCCCAAAAGATCTGTGATGCTAGCACCAGCATCATAGACTTCACGGGTCATGCAAAATGTGCATGACAAGCTCCAACTCTTCCAGACCCAGACATTTTTGCAGTTGATACCACAACGGGCTGCAGACACTGGCGACACCGGATCTGGTAGTTGTTGGGATCCAGCCTCTGTTTGTCGATCTTGCTCTTTTTGTATCCGTAGTGCCGCTATGCAATGCAAAACAAGCATCGTACTAGTACAAATCCAGCATTACAAATTTAAATCTGTAATGCTGATTTGCCTTGAGAAAGAGATTTGTAATGCATGAATGCAATTACTACGTCGAGCACGATACTTCTGCACAGGATAGCCGCAAGTTGGGGTTGATCTTGTTCGCGTCAAGCTCCCGCCCAAAGATGGACTTTTTCCGGTGCTGCCGCACCGCCTCGCTCGAGATCCCGAACCGGGGCGCGCCGTCGCTGTGCTTCCTGCGCCGGTACTGCTTAGCCTCCGACCACTTGAAGGCGTGCCCGCACCCCACGCCGCCCTTCACGCTCGATGGCCTGTAGGCCGAACCCCCGCACCGCATGTTGTCGCACCCCTCCAGCCTCTCGATGAGCCTTCCGCAATTCGGTCGATATGCTGTGCAAAAGTAATATCGTCTTCGTGGTGGGGAACTACTTACTTGCACGCATGCATCACATGCACATCACTGATAGTTTGTTCTAAACTTGTCCTCTTCTCCAATTCTACGTCTAACCACCTATGTCCAGCATGACAAAGTCGGCCACTGTCCTTCTATGAGAAAATTTGCGAAGAAAAACGCGCAGTTTCCACTCGAAGTACGATAAGTAGTTTTGCAGATTGCATAGACACAATCGGCACACCTGTTCCTTCCGCGCTTCGTCTGCGTGCCACTCCCGCACCGCACGCATGATGTCTTCGTCGGTTTCTTGCAGGCTCGCCACCCAGCGCCGCCACTTTTTCTCCTTCTCGGCAAACGACTTGCAGGAGTAGTTGGCTGGATCTGCCCGGTCCTTTTCCTCTTCCTCGTCGTAGATCGATAGCCGCTTGCTCATGAATTGCGCGAGCTCGTCGTCACTGTCTTCACTGCTGGCGCTGCTGTCGGCGTCCTTTTCACTCCCGTGTAGTTCTAGTTCGTGGTCCTCGTCGTGGCCATTACTTCTTGAAAAAGATGTCACTGACGTCCTCGCGCCACCGCTATTGGCTCGGCCAGCTCCTGCTGCTGCTGCTGCACTAGGTGGAGGTAAACCCCCACCTCCAGAAGATGTTGCACTTGAAGTAGAACTACCCCATCTGGTTTGTAGCTGTCGTGCCACATTCTGGCTGATGGCGTGCTTCCACTTGGGCTGCGACCCGAGGGTCGCGAGCACGCATTCGGCGTCGCGCACCCAGTACTCGTTCCACTCCGCGAGGTGCATGCGCCCATACTCGACCGCGTGGCGAAGGCCCGCAGCGGACATCACGCGCTGGCGAAACGGGAGCGGTTTCTTTCTGTCGCTGGCCCGGGGGGGCGCGCAGCCACAGCACCAGCCGGCGACGAAACACGGAGTGTGGCAGCTCGTAGAAAAACACCCGATGCCAGCCCTGCGAGGAGAGGGGGGATGTGATTTTTTATAGTTGACGAGGTTTTCGTCGTGTAGAATGTGCCTTTTTTTGAAGATCATTGTTCGTACGTACTTTATGTTTATTTTTTTAAATAAAGTACTACGCAGTCATATCGATCAAATTCAGCGAGTGCAAGCATACGAGAAAAACGGCGTAATTAAGTTTATATACCGAATTCGCGAGTGCGGGCTGCACATGCCGTGGGAAACCATTTGCTCCATCGCCGGGCCGTTTTTCGCGAGGTACTGACTGATCCGTGTGAACCGCATGCTGGAATTTTGGTGCTCGAGTCGGTTGCAGCAGGGACAGAAACTGTAGCCGCACTCGGCGCACCACAGTCGCTGCCTCTGGTACGGAACGAGTTCCAGCTTCTGAAGCGAGGGGGTCGCAGCTCCTCGTCGGAAAGAACAACTCTTCGCTTCGCCTTCGTCCTCTTCGACGTCCGCAAGAACATAGTCCTCGTACTCGTCGGCCTTGCCAGAGGCGCAACTAAACAAGCAATCGAACGGCCCACACGACGAGTTCTTTTTCTTCCTCGATGCCTGCGTCCTCTCCTTGGCTTCTCTACTTCTGGCTCCACCGCCTGTCGATAGCAACATATCGTCATGACCATCTGTGTGGTCGAACAATATGACCGCAGGATCGGTTGAAGTTGTACTATCGGCCGCATCGAGCCGCCCCGTATGATCTTCTGTGAAGGTCGGCTCCTCGCCCGCCTCGTCGTCCGATTTCTCTTGCGAGCGGGAGAAGCAGCGCGAGCTGACGCAATTCCACCTGGCCCTGCGATCATGATCTTCTCTAGCTTTTCGTCGCTGACCTGCTCCTATAATTTGTACCTCTTCGCTGTGGTCTTCACCATCTCCATCTTCTGGCACGCCGAATACGAGTTCGATCCAGCCGTGGCAGTGCTTTCGCGGGCACCTGATGTATCGGGAGGCCGCGGAACGCTGCGCGATTTCCAGTTCATGCTTGTCCAGGTTTCCCCGGAACCCCGTTTGCTGCAGTCTCTGCTTGATCCGCTCTTGACTCCGGAAAAAATCCTCGTCGTACTTTCCCGTTGGTGTCACCGTCGTCGCACCCGTCGTCGAAACTGGGCTGGATCCAGTACTAGAACTACTCATACTGTTATTTGCACCGCCTGTAGTGGCTGTAGTTCTCACTGTCCTCGGTGTTGTGGTTGACTGCGAAGCTGCCCCCATCGGCGAGGATTCATCTTGCTGATGGTGTCCTCGATTGTTCGACATCTTGCTTTCCTTCACTTGTTCGGCGTAGCAAATGGGACAGACGAGCGGCTCCTGGTTTTTGATTGCGATTTCGGCGAGGCGCTCCAGGCAGGCCGGGCAGGAGAGGTGCGTGCACCCCGCACCGCCCGTGAAGTCAAGGTTCTCCGTTTCGGACAGGCAGATCGCGCAGGTGGGAGGATGTTCGCCCCCCTCATCTGGCTTTGCCGTGCTTCTCGTTGTTGAGGTTGTTGTGTCAACCGGCGGGCCGGGCGTGCGGCCGCGCAGCAGCGGATTCTGAAGTAGTCCCAAAAGTGGCCGACTGGTCCTGAATGGTGTAGAAGTTGCCTCGCTCGGCGAAGCTGCTCCTGCAGCATGATAGGGCGCATTATGGCTGGGAGCTGCAGCCGCGATGGAACCACCATGACCAGGGCTTGTGTTAACCGCAGGCGGAACCGGTGTGTACACTCCAGCGCCGGGACGCTGCCAAGTAAAGTAAGCTCCTGCGGGAAGTTTATTTCCACCTCCGTGTGACGCGACAGGAGCGGCCCTTGTTGACGCGACTATTCCGGTAAGCGGCAGAGATGACGAAGCTCCACCTGGTAATAACGCCGCGCCGCCACTTCCGCCTTGGGCTGCCCCAGGAGTTCTTCCACCCAACAGCGGCTGACGCTCCTGTTGAGGCGGTCCAGCATAATTCTGGGATGAAGGTGCAACTCCTGGTGGCTGTGTCCCGCTGGTGCTGCTGAAAGACGGATAGAAGGTGGACCCGTGTTGTTGAGATGAAGCTGCTGCAGCTGGACTCGCTGTCCGTCTAATCGTGGTCGTGAAGGTCCCGGTTCCCCCCGCCGGGGCTGCAGACGAAATTATAGCCGCACCGGGAATTCCACCAGCCGAAGATGACGCTGCTGCTGCTGCTGCTATTAAGAACAACACCGAGCCTGCTCCTCGCAGCTTGTGGAGGTGTAGCACTTCGAAGAGCTGCTGGACACCAGAAACGAACAGCCATGTTGCCGCGAAAACGCCTCGAGTCTGTGCTGCTGGCAGTAGACGAGGTTTGCAGCTACGCATTCTAGGTTTCAATAACAATATGCAATTCTTACCTTTCGACGACCCTAAAGAATCGACGTATCATTTTGTTCCAATAAATGAAATCAAATGTTGACCCAAAGCCACGTAAAGACACACTTGACTGGCCAAGAACTGCGAGAACATCAAACATGATACTTTCTTCTGCCATGATATCTTTACGTTTACCTCCCCTCGTGCGCTGCGTCCCACAGGCACATGAAGGAAGTCAAAACCATGCGCTGCAAGAAAACCTGGTGCAGGTGCAGAGGATCGCGAGGCTTTTTAAGAGAGATCTTTGTCGTCAATCTTTCATAAAAAAAACGATAAACGTTTTTCTAGTACCATCCTTGATGCCCGTTCCAACACATTGACATCAAGTTGCATCATGATTGTGGATCTCGTCTTCAGAATATTATGGTTTAGGTGACGCGCGCCGCCAACTAAAAACGACTACACCAATATGGGTTCATGTGTATGTGAAGCCAAAATGGACGACGACTTGGACAAGATTCAGATTGTCGCTGCTGCTGCAACCGGAAGAAAAGAGAACAACCGACGTCTTATACATAATGCTCTTCATCATTCGCAATCGCACGGCGTCGTGATACATTTTGGTCATCAGAGGTCCGTCTGGTTCTGTTGTTTTGTCGCCAGCACATCGCATGGCTGAGAGGGACCAATTATCTGATTGTAGTGTACAGGTGATTTTTTTTATGAGGTGAACAAAGTCCAGCAGAATTTTGGTTGGTACGTAGTGAGAAAGATAGAGGAGAAGAAGCTCGAAGATCTTCAGCAGCTGTAGTTGGAAAGAAAGATACACTGGAGCCCTCGTCGTGTACTGCTCAGAACGACCGCTGGCAGGCTCCTGTTTCGTCAGAATATGTAAGTAAGAAGAATTTAGCTACGTATGTATTTGTCGTCGAGAAGTTGAAGTGCTGGCTGTGGTCCATTAGTGAACTAGACTCTCCAAAGAATGTTAATTGATGATGTACCCAAATGTGGGGTCAATTAGTGTCGAAGAAATTATAGGGTGACCACAGGTTGCGGTTGCCCTCATGATAGAAGTGGACAAGCATCGACATCGATTCCCCGTCAAACTTGATGTGATGCGTTCCCATCGCCATAATTATCCATGCGGACACTGACAAAAGTACTGACATAGAACAAGCTCGCCGGGGGTGATTACGAATTTTTCAGAAAATAAGGAAATCTTCATTTCATCTTGGCTATGTTCGTTTTTTACTTTAGATACAGTTTTGAAAAAGAAGGTCGTGTATAGCATTCTGGTAGTACCGCCACAAGGTGGCCCGTCAGTATCTTGCCAATGCGGGCCAGGGCGGCGGTTCACGCTGACTCAAAGAGCTATTAAAGCTGTTGCAGAACATCATAATTGCCGTCCTGGGTTCAAATTCTATGAAAATGAAATTCAGTACGCGGTTGTAGCTCGGGGGTTAATTTGTAGCTAGTCGTTTCAATTTTGTTCACGTGATGAATCTGAGTCAAAAATAAATATAAAACCAAAAGCACCCGCAACGAACTCAACAAGAAGGGTTGGCGCAGCACTTTTTATTTCGTTTTCCGGGGGATTCGTTCTTCCTCTATGTTGTGTCGTAGAAAGGAAGCAGAAACAAGTCGAAGCTAATCAAGATCGTCAAGGTCGGCAAACCAAAGCAACACAGAAACGCGGATGCCTCTGCTCGCGGAGATTGATCAGAAAGAGAAGCAGTTGTAGTACTAGACCACAGCTGCATCAGCACTCCCGTCTGTCATCTCTTACTTGTCCGAACTTACAGCCTTCCGGAGGCGTTTTTGTGCGGAATCTTCATGGGGCGTAATGGGACTCACTTCTACCGCTTCCGCGTCCTCCTTCTCCTTTTCTTGCGGGGGACCTTTAGGCTCAGCTACCTCTTCAAGAAGAACCGGTGGATCGCTGCTGCGTATCATGTTGCCAGGACCTCGCTTCACCTGAAAAGTCAAAGTCAAAGATGGTTCCTGATGTTCAGATTCTTGCTCTATTTTTCCAGAAGGTTGTGCAGTGTCTCTTCCTTCCACGTCGGGGCGCATCAATATCTAATCCCATTTCTAACACTGACTATCGACGCAACCGCGCTGCGTATATCTACATTTTTTAATGGCTAAAGAATGAACGAAGCCGCAATAAATGCGAAGAAGTTCGTGGCTAGTAGTAGTAATCCTGCTTAAAAACCATTTTAATGACTTTGTACCACGACAGCTCCTCTCGAATGCTGCTTTCCGACCGCATCGTGATGATCTTGATCCTCCGCTGATGAAGACGTCGACCTGGATCTCTTGCGCCGTCGTTCTTCATCTCTTGCCCCAGCACCGACGGGCGTAGCAGTGTGTTTGTTCTTACGCAGCTGCACAACTGGAGGTGTGGGATTGCGATTCTTGTTTCGCTTCAGAATGATGCTACCGAAATTCACGCTCTTGTCCTCGACCCGTTGCCGTTGTTCTGCTCTTTTGATTTTCGTTTTCCCGCCCCGTAGTCCGTGCTTTTGCTTTTTTTCGGAAGCATCATCTTCATCTTCTTCCGCTTTTTCTTCGCGCTTTTGCTTGTCGTGTGCCCTAATAATTTTCACTTTCCGGACAGGTTTTATTGCCAAGCGTTTCCTGTCTTCATGCTTGTTCTTCAGATCGACAACTTGACCTTGTTTTCGGCTTGCTACTTTATTACGGCCATCATCGACGTCATAATCTTCATCTTCTGAGGAGGAAAGTATGTCGCTTTTTTCATTTCGACTTCTTGAGGAGCTCAAGCTGCTACTTTGGTCACTGCTTTTTCTTCGCCGGTCCAAAGACGTGGCGATCATTTTGCAAGAACCGCCGTCACGCTGGCTTCTTTTTCGTTTTTTGCGCCGGTCAATCACATCAGCCCGCTTATCTTCATATCCAGGAGTGCTTTCCCCATCGCTGCTACAACTGGCAGAATCTTTAGTTCTTTTCCTGCTTTTTTGTGCACCTCCGCGACCGCTGCGTTTCGAGCGGTGTTTTAAGTTGTTGGGCGTGTCCAATTTGGATGCGCAGGAGGAGGTGGCGGGCTTCAGGTGGCGCTGCTCACAACTGTCTTCATCTCGATCCTCGAGCTCAAAGTGTCTCGATTTAGGTCTTGTTGAGTTCTTGTAAACACGACTGCTAGTCGTGCGATTCTTATGCAGTTCTTCACCGCCAGCTCCCGCAACAGCTCTCGTTCCTTGCAGTAAATCCAAGGCGTTTCTCGCTTTCCGCTTCTTCGTACCCGTGGAGTCCCCACGACCAGCACTCCACCTGTGGTCGCCACGCCGCCCGCTCCTGCTACGGCTCGCTCGTCTCGTCCTACGAAGAGATGAAACAACATGATCCTTGTCCGTGCTCATCAGCGTCTTTTGGTCCTCATTCAGCTTCCACGACCTCTGGGGATGAAGAAGAAGATCATCTTGATCATCGTACCGGGTTTTTGTTTTACGCGACTCGACTTGCAGCTTGTTTTTGTGTTTTTCATCTTTAGCAGCGCCGCAAACTGCACTCCTTTGTCGATTATCGCTTCTCGTTCCGCGGTGGAGATGATGATTTTTCGATCGACCTGCTTCTCGTGGTCGCGAGTGTCCACGAACCTCATGGTGACGGCCTTCATTTTTAGCGCCGCCTCGCCCGCCTCTACCTCCGCGCCGTCGTGGTCGACTTGCCGGCAAATCCTGTACATGATTTCTTTCAACTTGGTTGCCGCATTCTTTGTTCCTTTCAGCTTTAGTCCTCCCCTCATCACCTTTATTGTCCTCGAAATCGCTTGAAGCAGGTCGTCGTCCACCCTCATTTTCAACATTGTGTGCTGGTGCAGGCTCTAGCTTTATCCGATCCTTCTGCCGAGAAGAAGGCGGCTCGCGGGTGGAATCCAGAATAGGTTCCTTCTCGCGCTGGGAGGAAGCAACGCTGCGACGACGCTTATCACTTCCGTTCAAATTTGGCAGACGGAGCGAGTGCTGGATTTCAGTTTCTTGCTCTTGGTGCGACTTGATAGGAATCTTCTCCGTCTGAATCTTACTTTTTGACGCGTCCTCTTCTTTACTAGGGCCGACAGAAGGGAGATCATGAGGAGCTGCTCCAACTTCAACATGCGCGTCGCTGTGCTTGCGCTGTTGTTCACTTTTCTCACCAAAATTCGTTGCAGGACGTGGACGAAGATCTTCGCCAGATGGAGATGAATCAAGACGCTGGTTTTTCTCCACTCTTGAACTTGATGCTTGTTCCACTACAACCCCGTCATCGTCTCGACTGCTGCAATACTCAGAGGACCAAGATCGCGATCGCTGGGCAGAGGAAGAAAAAGAGTCCACTTCAACATCGTCGGACGAATAATAGCTGGATTCTAGTGGTGAGTCCTCATCGGTATCGTACTTTTCGTGATTTGGCAACCGCAACGGCGACGCGTCTGCTTTCGCTTCGGGATCATCTTTCCTTTTTTTGCTTGCTCTGCTTTCCGCCCCGCTTGCTGTTCTCGTCTTATGGTTTTTCGTGTTGAAACTTTTGCTTGTTCTCGTCTTGGCAGATCCATTGTTCATCTGCTCGTATTGAGAACGCGTGTTTCCTGCTTGTGCTACTTGCCCATCGACCACCAAGGACGGCTCTACTTCTCTGGAAAAATAAGCCTCTTTCTCTTTGCTCGGTCTCCTTTTGCGCTGCTTGAAATTTCTCGAGCAAGACCGAGCCGTCGACGGAGCCCGCGTTGCGGCACAACAAGAAGTCGCGGCACACTTCTCAGTAGAGATGATACCAGCACCAGGCTCAGCTGCAGAAGTAGAGGGTGGTACTTTGTCTTTGTTTACAACTTTTTCTGACGGCGCTGACTGCTGCCGCTGCTCATTTTCTTGTGGAACGGCTCCCGCCTTCATCTCCTGCTGCGCAGTGGCCTCCACTTCCACCCGAGCTCCAGTATTAACCATGGGTCGTGCGCCGGAGCCTAAAGTCATCACCTCGCCCGGATGTGCCACGAGGTCGTACCGGACGTCGTGAACCTTTGAAATAGAGGCAAGTTTGTTCTTCTTCTCAGAAGCCGAAGCGTCGTCGTCAGGGCAGGGCTTTCTGTTTTTTTCCTCCGCTTTCGCCGCGTTTGCTTTCTCTCTGGAAGTTGCAGCTGCACACGTCGCCGTGTTGCTTTCGCTTGTCGCAGCCTCTTCAAGAAAATATTCGCTCGCTTTCTCAAGACAGCTTCCTTGTTTTGCCTTTTCGTTTTGCGAAGCACCTTTTGCCTGCAAGGCAGTTTCGACCACCGTCCCTGCAACAGGTACTTCGCGAAGTGTAACTGCCACTGCCTGTTTTCTCGTCGTGCTGCCACTTCCCACAACGGGAGGTGCCTTCCCGGAGCACGAGGTGTCGACTGCGTTCTTCTCAACACCAGGACGAGCCTCGTTCTCCCTATTCTTCCGCTCCTTCTCCCTTGCAGCTTGCGTTAGTCCGCTGCCGACCTGCCTCCCCAGTGCGGTCCACGACGCGAAGGAACTCTGGGCGTTGTTCGCTGAACCTTTATTGTTTCTCGGGCTCGCGCAAAAAGCAGAGGCCCAAAGGTCAGCGTCAGAGGTTGCAGGTTTAATGTTTGAGAAAGATTCTGTTTTCACGACGTTCAAGTTCATCTTCATCCCCTGGTCGTATTTATTTTGAGCGCCAGGAGCGTCATGATTGCCGGGAAAAAAGTCGTTTTTTGGAAGTGAAGAAGCAGCACTTTGTTCCAGACCTCCACAGGAGCCAGGAGGAAGCCAAGTGGTTGCAGTGTTCTTCGCTTCTGCTTTGTCGCTGGTGCGGCTGCTCGCTCTGCTCTCGTCGGCTTGTTTCAGAACACTTTCGCAGCCTGTTCTAGTTGACGAATCAAAAGAAGGCGGAACAACTTGTTCTACCGCCACAGCAGCCTCGCAGGTCGTGCTGCTCACAGCTGAAGTTTCATCTGCAGAATGCTGGTCACAAACGAGATTGTGATCATGCGCAGAAGAAGATTTTCCCGCCGTTTTTTCAACATCGTCCACCGGCTGCTGCTCTACGAGAGCACCTTCGTCCGACCACGTTCCTACTTGCGGGGAGGAAGCTGGCGGAACCTCTACTCCCGAAGCTGACAGCGTTGGAGATCCGCACACGGTCGTTGAGTTGCAGCAAAAATCGTGATCCGCAGCAACAAGTGTCTCCTGAAGTTCTCCTGGATGTGGTTTCTTCGACGCGTCGGCATCTTCTTGTTCCGCTTTCATTGTAACACTCGCTGTGCTAGAACTAGATGCAGCAGGCAGAGAACAAGACAAAGAAGCAACATGATGCTCCACTTTTGCGTTAGCATCTTGATCTTCAGACGACGAGGACGCAAAGCCCTGCTTGCGGTTGAGGTCTTGGTGCGTGTCGTTATCAAGATTGAGATTCTCATTCGAGCACGGCAGAGACTTTGCTTGATTCTCGTCTGCACCAGCAGCAGGTCGTGCTGGCACTGGAGTTGCAGCAGGGCCTCGGATGTAGTTCAGGTTTTCGCTTATAATTGGGACCCCGTCTATGTCGTCCTCCTCGTCCCGACTAGTTGTAGTTATTTCTCCGGCCCCGCCCATGGGGGCAGGAGCTGAAGATGTCGTATCCAGCACCTTCTCCATGTTCATTTGGCCGTGCTGATTCAGGCTTCGCTCGTCAATCCGCAGAGAAGCGGCTACCGTTTTCAACCTATCACGACTTGATGATCTACTTGCAGCTGCTGCTGCTGGTCGTTCGGCAGTATCATGTTGATCACTAGTTGTTCCCGAAGTCGCGTGGTCACCAGCTGTCATTCCTATTTCTGTAGCGATTTCACCTGTACAACTACTGGCCGCTTTATTCCCGGGAGGCGGGTGGATTAACATTGGCTCTCTCAATAGACTGGGGGTATCGACGTCAAAGGCAGACGCCGGCGGAGGTGGGTGGGATGTCGTACTATCTTGTTTGGTAGCACTAGTCGCCGTTGAGGTGGCGGCGTCTCTTCGCAGCGCTTCTGTTGCTTCATCTTCAGCAGTGGAACTTGGTGGTGTTTTTACCGTGTTGGTCTTCATCTCTGCTTCAGGTGGATAAGTGCGAGCCACTGGTGCTGCAGAAGTTCTTTTTGGACCTGCAGGTACCAATATTGCCTGCTTTTCTGTCTGCTCCGCAGGCGCCGGGCTAGTAGTTCCAGGAGTACAAGAACCAACCACAGCTGCACTCGTGGCACTACCACTACCAGCAGACGCCGTCGGCGGTGGTGCGCAAGAAGAGGAAGCTGGGAGAGCGTTTACGTCGCCAGCCGTGCTAGTATTTTCTTTCGTCGAAGTCGAGAAAGGATGTTGAACGACAGCTCCAGACGAGGGAGTTTTGTTCGTGGTGGCGTCTTCTTGTGCAGAAGATGCAGCTTGTTCCACCTTTTGCGGCTGCTCCCCTTTCTGTGGGGGCAGTTCCTGGACCCCAGAGGACACCGGAGACTTTGTCGGGCGGTCGTTCAGCGTCGTGTTCTTCTTGGGGTAGTTGTTTTTTTGTTGAAACGATTGTCCACCTCTAGTACCGGCATGATTGTGCCGATAACTATCGCGGCCCCCGCCCCCGCGTCCGTTGTTTCGCCTGTTGTAGTTGTTTTGGTGCTGATTTGGATAAAGATTTCCGTGGCTCGTTGTACTTCGACTTGTTCCATTTCTGCCGTTGGAATTGTTATTGTTGTACACCCGCTTCGCTTGCCCCTGACCGCGGGTGAAAGCAAAACTGCCGCTGTTCCCGTTGCCGCTTCTTTGTTGGTCTCGGTGCAGCTGCTGCTGCGACGAATTATTGTAGTTCTTGCCAACTACTGAATTCGGACTGGCTCTGTGCGTCGTCGAGGAGGTGTTAGTGTCCGTCTTGTGAAAATGGTGCTGATGTTGTCCATGATAAGATGAATTCTTCTGGTTGACTGAATTTTGATCGTTCGACCGACTCTGTTGATGTTGCTGTTGGTTACCACCAGGAGCACCTGTTGCAACAACTCCATCCCGCCTCCAGCGCTTCACACAACTATTGTACGAAGAACTGCCCCCAGCTTTGTGGTCGTCGATCCACACGACGACCCCGTTCTGCAGGTCGCTTTGCCGCACATCGAGCGTGTAGTGACCACAGTAAAACTTGTTCTGTACGACCGGATCTTTTTTGAGGAACAGGTTAAAGCGGTTGTCGTCCACGTTAACCTTTAAGGACTGCTGGTGGTGGTGGTCTCTACCTTGTTGATGGTTCCAACGTACCGAAATGCGGTTCCCCCGGTCGCAGGTCCAATGACCGAGAAAGCTTTCCAACGTCCACTGTTGATGCGGGGGCGGGGCTCGTACTGATGTTGTAAGCTTGTTGTTCCCGCCGGCTGCTCGCGAGGACGACTGGAGATAGAAGATGTAGATGCTTTCACGTGATTCAGTCCATGCGATTTTTGCGCATCGGGAAGGGAGAGACGATAACAAGGCAACGGGACTTGAAACAAAATCAATGATCGTGACAAAAGTGTTCGACAAATCAAACAGTAAACTTCATCGTAACCAAGCCTACTGTTTGAGTGACGAGTGTCATGGTAACATGGAGACACAACAACATTACCAGAGAACCACTTCTATCTACCCGAGAAATTCTGTACCTCCCAGTGAAGATGATTGCCGCCGTTTTTCTTTGAAGACCAATCCAGTTTGTCGGCCGACCCCGAGCAGAGAGCCTGCAAGATCTTGCTGTTTCCCACCGCTAGTTTCTTGATGCCCGCCTGCTCCAGCTGCTGGTGGGCTGAAGATGTGAGGATCACAGTTGGTGTAGAAGCAGTAGTAGTTGCACTGCTACTATAATGATGTGGATGTGCTAGTCCACCTCCCGTTGCTGTCGGGGTAGTTATCGAGGACGTCGCACACCCACTTGCGCTGTTGGTTGATGCAGCGAGAGAACCACAGCCAGCAGATGATGGTCCCACCCCGTTGGAAGTAGAAGACGAGGAGGCCCCTAGCACAGTTATCCCCCTCGAAGCACAACTTCCTGCTCCAGACAGAAGTTGCGTCTCTATTGAGTGAGCGAAAGGCTGAGCAGAGGCGGTCCCCATCTTCTTGGCAAAACAAGTAGAACTTGACGTCGCAACATGATCGGCAGCTTGCAGCAGTGTGGTAACTCCAACAGCACCTCCTGCTGGCACGACGGCGGAGGTCGTGCCTGGAGCTTGCAATAATTGCGAACCTGCTGCACTGGTCGTGGTGGTCGACGCGGAACCTCCGCCTGTCCCGTTCTTCCAGGGTGCAGAGGAGCTGTCCGGTACTAAGTGATTCGGTTCCACCGCGGTCACGGTACCTTCTCCGCCGGTCGTTCTGGTACCACAATTCGCGAGGAGAGCAGGCGTTGTCGTGTTTATTGCCTGGTACGACGCAGCAGGCTGGTAGTGTTTCTTTCCGTCCATGTTGAACGCATTGTGAATGCTGTTCGCCATACAGGGAGGGAGCTTTGCGAACGGCTCGGCGCCTGGTGTTGGCGCCGGGTGCTGGGATGGGGTCGTGGAGGACGCCGCTGTTTTTTTTAACTTTTTTAAATATCATTATCGTAGTCACCAGTTGGCCTGCTCAGCAGTCGCTCAGATTAGAAATCAGAACGAAAGTCAAACTCAAACTCAAAGTGTAGCGTACTAGTAAAGACAAACCTTCTTTTCGCCATGGCTTGTCGTCAGAATGGTCAATTTTCCATGGTGGCAAAGCCGCGCCAGCGGCACCGGGCACGACAGGCGAGTCTGATGTTGTGTTTTTTTTACAAGTACATTCAATTTTTACAAGCAATTTTTCCTATGTAAGTATTTGTGACGCTTTGCTTGCGCAGCAAAATTAGAGCCAGGCGGGCCACTACAGGAGTGCAGCTGGGGTTTACGTTTACAACTACAGGGAGGAGCACCAGGAACATAATCGAAGCGATCGATTATCAACATGCCAAGCGCTCTTTTGCACAGAGCATGCCGCTGGACAAGTATATTAAGCCTCTTCTTCTCAGTCGTGATGAAAGAAGCCCATGATGTTTCTATTGCAAGGAAAATGGAAAAAAAACTCAAATCCACTATAAATTAAATACCTTTGCTTAGCGTCTGCCCACCACCCAAGCTGAAGTAAAGATCCGCCACTCCCTGTAAATCCGAGAAAGCCATCTTGTGACGGTAGAGTTTGGTCGTATACTAGGAAAAACTATCGGTAGCTATTCTTAGTACTCCTCAGTAGGTGTACTTACATATTACGCTGACGCCGGTTCCGTCTTTATTCGACGAGTTAGAAAAAGCAAGAGAGTGCTGGCGTTCTTGCCATTCACATTCTATTTCTAAACCATTCAGAGATTTGATGCATTTCTAACTACTGATAGGACTTACTTGCTGAACTACTACCACTTCTACCACTACTTGATGACTTCGATACAGATACTGTAAAAGTTTCTACCTCTACTCATCATATTCAAGATCAACTAGAACTAAAACTATTCAAAATTTCGTGCCTTTGGATGACAGCACTTGTTTTCACAATCACAATCATAATGATGTCGATGTTCTACTGTTCTTTGTCATTGCCTCCAGCCGCTGCAGACAAATTGATGAAAAGAAGCAAGCGAGGATACACGTAAAAACAAAAGGCTGCACGGCGTGCTCAGACAACCACGTCGCCTATCAGTAATCAAGATTCCTCGTCGTTGTAATAAGACGCACTGCTCTCTTCGCAGAAGAAAGGTAGGAAGCGCTGTGAAGAGATTGAGAGACTGATGAGAAGTGCCCGAGGGCATTAGGAAAGGTACCCTTACGGAAAAAATGTTGAACCTTTGCGATCGCTTCGCGTCCTTGGTCGTGTGAGCGGTCCTCGTAGAAAGTAGACGCATCGGAACTAGAGAAATTCATGCGATGAATAATTCTTGGCGAATTGTGACAGTGAAGAGCTTCAGCTGCGCAACAAAAATTCAGACATAGCACATTGTCCTTCACGTAGTTAAGAAAATTAAAAATGTTGAACATAAAGGGACCTCGTCCTCGCACCCTTGGCGCAGTCGCAGGCTAAATAAGGCCCGGTGTTCGCCCCCGCTGGTCCAAACTACTCATTGTTGTTTGTTACTTTTAGGTTTTTAGCTAGCGCTCCTCGCGCAATCGATGCAGGAATAAAATCGTTGTCCTCCCAAAAGACAGCTACGAAGCCTTGTACTCCCTACACGGCTATCAACAGTTTCAAGTGTAGCCTCCTTTCCTCTCAAAATCTTCTGGCTCACGGCTGCACGACTTCGGCGCAGAAGCGGGTCCGGGGGCCACAAGTACTAAATCCTACTACGTAGTGGCTGCAAGAAGCAAGTTGATGTTAGTTTATGTCATGAAAAAATCCTGCGCGATCTCGTGCAGAACCCATCCAGGCACTTTTTTCGCTTGCTTCGGCTTCGGCGCGGGACAGCCGTAGCCGTTATGGATTGCAAAAGTGTCTGGGTCTGGAAGAGTGCGCGATTTGTCATGCAGCTTTTTCATGACCCATGAGGTCTGGAATGCAGGACCTAGCATGACAGATTCTGTGCGATCTCTCTCATGCCTGTCCTGCATGAGAAACTCCCTCCCGACTTGGTCAAAACTGGACGACTTTTGGTGATCATGCAACACAGATTTTTGCATGCTTCAGATTTAGCATGACAAGTTGCATTCTTCTAGGCCCAGACATTTTATTTGCATTTGATAGCCGTCGCCGTACCGCAAAACCCCGTTGAAGCGCTTCCTTCCCCGGTCAAAGTAATGCCCGTCGCGAAACCCGCGCTTGCTGTAGCCAAAGGGGATTTTGAAGAACGGCATGTACACCGTCGGCGCCCCGTCCTCGCAGGTCTGGCGCCGCCGCTCGTTGGCCTCCCACAGGGTATCGTTCCCAAACTTGGACATCGAGTTTGATACCGACTTCGCGGTTTCGGGGGACGCTTTCGCGGTCACCCACTTCGAGCCACCGGCGAGGAAACTTGTCACAAAGTGATGAACAAAGTGTCCTCGTGTAGTCGACTTCTGACAAGTAGTGGGATTCTTTCGAAGATCATCATCATGCACTGCAATCTTATCGTCCGGCCGCCGTGCTCTTTTACATTTCTTCGCTACGTTGAAAATTTCCTTCTCGTAGTAGTTCTCCCGACCGAGTTCTGTGAAGAACACGGCTTTCTTCGGAAATAATGATGATCTCGGGACAGAAGTTGAAGCAGTTGCCGAAGAAGATGCAGCAGGTAGTGATGACAACAAAGTAGACGTTTCATCGCCAGTGACCATCTCTCGCATGCGCACCGCAGCGTCAATTTCCCGTAGTTCATCTACATCTTCATCCGCTTCTGGGGATGAAAATTCTCGTAGTTCACCGATGTCCTCTGGGTCGTCGTTGTCAACAGCACCATATTTTTCATCATCATCATCCCCAAGACGAAGTCCTGCTCTGCCTCTGACGAGTAGTTCGTCATGATCTTCTTCGTAGCTCTCGTCTTCCGCTCCAAACAAACTTTTGCTTTCCGCCGAGGAGGAGGAGTACAGAAAGGAGGATGAATCACTGGATGATTTATTTTGTGCAGTTCCTAAAGCTTCAGCGCCACCATCTTTGCCTGCTTGTTGCCCTGTTGTAGTTGATGTCGTATTCGCCCCTAAAGCAGTATCAGTCCCCCCTACTTGATGTTCTTCCATATTATCGTCGCTTGCAACATCTTCTTCGGCATCCTCCTGCTGCTCTGGTTCGTCTTCCGCCACCGGCGGCGCTTCGACGAACTGCGGCTCCGACGTGCCTTTCTTATTTTCGGCAATGATTTGTCCGTCGCCGGCTGCTCCGCCCGCTAACCCGTACGGATTTCGTTCCGCCGGCACGTCCATGCCGTCCGCGGTTTTCGTGGCGCCCAGCTGCTTTCCCACGTCCTGGTTGTCCGGGCCCCCGGGCACTCCGGCGACGAATTCGTGGTCCCCCGCACCTCCGCCGTCGTTGTGGTCGTTTGGGTTCGCCATATCCGGTTTTGGCACCGCGAAAATCACGTCTTCGCCATCCGGCACCTCCATGCGGTTCCCCGTGTCAGGGTCCTCCGTGAGGAACCTGTATTGTGAGGAAAAACGTCCCCGCCATACCAGAGTTGTCATGCAGATTTGCAATGACAGGAACATTTGTAATGCGCATCGCCAGGAGAGGCATTTTTAGTCGGGTTTTGGAATTTGTAATGCTGTAAACAGGATGAACAGATGGATTTCTGATGCAGCTGGCCTTGCGAACCTGCACTACACTACGGACTGCAACTTGTGATGCGTGACCACCAAAAGTTCTAGGGTTGTGTTGCAAAATCCCCATCTTGACTCTGGTGTGGGGATATTTTTACTCAGGATAACCTGCCCCGCTTGCTCAGCGTCTCCGGATCGCTCACGAGGTACTTCTTCCGCACCGCCTGGAACACGTGGCCCAGCGCGTTCTCCTCCTCCGGGCCCGGGCGGGACGCGAGCGGGCCGTCCGGAAGCTGCTCCTATCCAGAAAAAAACACCCATCCCCATCCAATTTGTGATGCAAAACATGCATAAAATCATGTGTCTGCCATGCAAAAAATGGATGGGGATGGGTGTTTTTTCCTGGATAGCTCCCGCCGAACTCGCATCGCTTCGTCGTCAAGAGGGATCCCGTTCTGCTGGCCATTCGTTCGTTCCTCCCCATCTTCGTCGGTATTAAAATCTGGTGCGGCGAAGCTGGTTGCGGTTGGCAGATGTTGGAGATGCTTGAGATTGATTTGATGATGGCCGCCGCACTTGATGCTGCGGGTTTTAGAGATGTTGAGAAAGGCGTCGTCGTCCTGCTTGCTACAACCACGACCTGCATGCAGGAGCGACGCGTTACCGAGGGGTACTTCAGTGGTCGAAGCCACGTGGTCTAAGAAAATTGTTCTGTAGATACCCGCCATGACGAAAGACGAGAGCTTGAGTCAGAGTCCGCCACAGACACTACACATGTACTATCGCAGCAGCAGGCTGGTGTGATGATCAAATCAATAAGACGCGAACAACTAGCGATGAATCAAGGAACCAAAATCTCCGTGAAAAACTAACATAGTGATTCTTTCTTTGGGACTCGACGACGCATCTGTAGTCTACTTTCTCCAGTGCAGCTAGTTGCGCCGGAGCATGCAACAGATACATATGCAAGTAGAAAGTTCAACTTGCAGAAAACATACAAGGCGATCATTCCAGAATGTCCGCTGAGAGACGTAGACGACTTGCGTACTGCGAACGTTCGGAGACTCGAAGCGACCTGCGAAGAAAATCTCAAAGGCAACATCCTTCCTCAGCAGCAACGATATACGATTTCACGAAAACTCGTCTTCTTAACTCATTTAGAGGTTTTCGTTTTCGCGATACATAGATCATGAACTACTTTTGACCACAACTTCTACACCACGACTCTCTCTTCACAATCCCGACTTAATTTATGATTTTCAGGCTTGTTAGTGGATCGACATCGACCGATAGTCCTCGAGCAAGGAAGGTGGCAATAGGCCGACGAAGATTCACACACCAGTACGATCACGATGATATTGCGGTAGAAGTGACACGAAAGTTGCGACAACACGCTGTTATGATCACGAACCTGCAGTAGACTGCTGTCGAAACAGAATCTTCACGCAGGCACCTTGAGCACTGGGTCAGCTGCTTTCGAGCAGAAATGTCGTGCACTTGTTGGGCGGTGCGATGAAAATGTACTGATAGGTGATCATGAACCACAAAAAGTAGTTCAAGAAATTTTTCGGGTATGGTTTCGAGATTGTTTTCTAAGGTACACGTGCAGGAGATTGCACTCAAATAAGAACTGAGGGACTTTTCAGAAGTCAAGTATTTTTGGATCACATGGTTGTAAGGTTACTATAGGTGTAAGTAGATACCAACAGCGGGCTTCACTTCTTCTCCTATCGTCTTCTCAACCCTATTGGATCGAGGTGACGACAGACTCACCGCTTGAAGGTGAAACTGATATTTCAGTTCGAGTTCTTCGCGGAAAAAGGCTTCTCAGACTCAGACACTTCTTTGTCTTCGTACTTGACGAAGCTACTCACGCGAGAGACGAGTAAGCTGAGAATTCAAAAAGGCATGCAGGAATAGTGAGTAGGACTTGGAGGTGGAAGCAGTGTATCTTGCTCCGAGTGGAACAATGTGAAGGTGGCCATATAAAAATGATATTACCTCCTACTGCCATCGAGCTCAAGTAACACGGCTTGATAAGAACTAAGTAACAAAGAAAGAAAGATAAGCCGGTCAGAGCAGGACAGCGTCAGAGATTTCTTTGAAAAAAAAACTGGTGCATTTTTACTCAAATCAAAATAATATTGTGCTCTAGAAGATTTGGATATTATGGAAGATGTTTTTGGAGGACGAGGTATCCTCGTCTAATCTTCTTGCTCTTTTTTGCTCTACTTAAGACTGTTTGCTGTTGGTGTTGACATCACGTCGACGTCGTGTGGAACTACTTGATGTACGACTGAAAAGGATCTACAACTCGTCGTTCAGATCTTCGGCGTCCCACTTGGCGAGCCATTCCTCCGGGATCTTTTCGTAGTGGGTTTGTCGGGAGCCCTATCAAATGTAAAAATGTCTGGGTCTGGAAGGATACAACTTGTGATGCTACTTTTGGAATCTACGTAAAAACTGTATTGCATGAACAGCAGAAGAGGTGTAATTTGTGCTATGCGGACAGGACATTTCTCATGCGGTATGAGCATCAGAAAGCCCTCGCAAAATCTCTGATGCTAGGGCATGCATCACAGACCTCATAGGTCATGCAAAATCTGCATGACAAACTCCTGCATTCTTCCAGACCCAGACACTTTTGCAATCCATAAGCCCCGGTAGTGGTCCGGAGTGACCCCGGGGTGCATGTAGCGGACCATCATGATGATCCGGTCCTGCTTGCAGTTGAGGCAGTGCACCCGGTGGTCGAAGGATCCGTCCCAGGCGATCACCTTGCCCCGTTCCCACCCCGTGGTGGTGTTGCCCACGATGAGCGTGGCGTCCTCCGTCCCCTTTAGCCCGAGGTGGATGTTCAAAATGTTGTTGGCCGGGCCGCAGTGCGTTTCCACGTCGGTGCCCACTTTCAGCCGGAGGAAGAGCACCTGTTCATTCTGGTTGCTGGTCCAGGGATAGTGGTGCAGATCTCGCTTCGGCAAGTGCTCCTTCAGGATTGCGCAGCTCTTCGGGAAGGCCTGAGAAAGATCGGGGAGCGAAGAAATGTGGATAAAGCATGACGGTTGTTTCGTTCTTGATGTACAAGCAGTTAGTAGACTACAGTGAGTGTGAGAGTCAGTGACGTTCTAAGTAATACTAATACCGTAAGTCATAGGCACTAGCACTATGTTCATGCCACATAAACAACAATCCAATAACAACTCCAAGAAGCTCAAAAAGCCGGCAAGTGTTTGTAGTAAAACTGATGTACGACGCTTCGCAGCTATTCCATCTTCTGTATATTCTTATTTATACCTTCTGACAAGCTTCGGTGTAATTTCTGGCGTGAAAGAGCAGGATCTGGTCCCAGTTGCCGCCCTGGATATGAAAGCCTCAGGTTGGAAATCCTCAAAGTGGAAATAATTTGTAATGCAAAAAAAACGACTCCAGTTGAAGCACCATTTGTAGTCGGCGCATGACAAATTTCCCGGGCACTCAAAACGTGTCTGTCATGCTAGTCAGGCAAAGGGGCGCCCTTCTGTCGTGCTAATCAGCAGCCCAATTCTTCACCCTTAGCAGGACAATAGTCGGCCTCCATTGTGTCCTCTGCAATACAGTCTTTTTTGCCTTGCATTTCATGCATCACAAATTATTTCCACTTTGAGGATTTCCATTCTGAGGCTTTCATACTGGAACAGAAACGGGTAGGCGGCAGTCACCAGCTCCTTGTCGTTGCTTTTTTCGTAGGCTGCCTCGGCCTCCTCCAGAAACGTCTCGAAATTATCCTCCAGCACTTTCCAAATGGGAATCTCGTCCATGCGCTCGCGGGGCCAGATCTGAAAGAGGTCATAGAGTTGGAGTTCTGGCGACTTCGTAATTACTGAGTGAAGTCAAAGTCTGTATAATTGTTGAAACTCGCCGCGCGTCATAAGTAATACAGAACGAGCATGAAAAAAATATCTGCTATCATACCGGTATCGCTTCCAGGGTTGGCATGAACATTTGTGGTGTCTGCTGGATGTGCTTCCACGGAAAGGCTTCGCCGGCCTTTAATTGCTTGTATTTCCCGTTAAACTCGAAGTTCTTTAGTTCGCCAAACAGTTTGTAGGCTTCGTCCCACATTCCCAGGAGTTTCAGCTTCAGGAGAATGATCTTACCTGAACAAAAACAAATATTGAAGAATGCTTATTTTCATGCATAGGAAACTAATAAATTACGCTGGTGGCGGCGGATGAAGAAGTAGAAGTAGATGTAGATGCTGCAATAATGAGGGAATAAGCGAGGGGATGACCAAATCAATCCCCACGACGAGTCTCAAAAAATGCAATGTTTATCTATACCGTAGAGCGAGGGACACCTGCACTCGAGGGCGTCTTTGGAGTCAAACTCACCCATGCACTCGGGGTGGTAAATCAATTTTCTCCCGAACTTGAGCCCGAGTCGGAAAAATTCCTGCTCGGCGGTAAGGTTTTTGTCGAAAAAGTGCACGCTGGTGTCAAGTGCAAAAATGTCTGGGTCTGGAAACTTGTAATGCTAGAAATGAATGATATTAGACGCACTGCAATACGCAGCTATGCATGACAAATTTTTTGGCTGCCATGTCTTACGTATTCCGCATGGCAAACTGCATTTTTGCATGACAGGTAATTATTACTAGCGAAATCTCGAAGGTATATTTTGCACTGGCCCTCCCGGTGTCCGTGTGGACGAGCCTCAGCCAGAGAGTGAAAGCGAACATCGGGTCGCGCGCGCGGGCGCGGACAGACAGACGTAAGCCCAAGAAATGAGGCTGAGTATGTGGAACCTGAAAGGCAGCCGAGGCCCGTCCAACTGGGACACCGAAGGAAATGATGAACTAACTGAGTAATCGAGGGCGTGGTGGGTGGGTCTGCGAAAAAAATGTCTGATTTTGATCTGAAGCTGATCTGGAACAGAAACCAGAAATGATCTCGTGATCATGAGAAAAGCCGTATTTTTATCCCGCCCGGGGAGGCGGCAGAACGATATACTGATAGAAATAAAATTTGATCCGCGTTGCTGAGGTGAATGTTGTGGGATGCGCAGCCCCCCACTGAGTTTCTGACTTTGATCCTGTTGCCACTCGATTACTCACTAGCTCATAATTGAGCTTGCCGAATTCCTTCGAAATCCTCCGAAGCTAACAATTATTACTAGCGAAATCTCGAAGGTATATTTTGCACTGGCCCTCCCGGTGTCCGTGTGGACGAGCCTCAGCCAGAGAGTGAAAGCGAACATCGGGTCGCGCGCGCGGGCGCGGACAGACAGACGTAAGCCCAAGAAATGAGGCTGAGTATGTGGAAAGGCATGATAGCAAAATAATGTATGACAAGCTTTGTACATGAAGTCGGAAACTGCATCTGAATGTGAGAAGATTGGCTCCAAAGATACTGTATGCCCGAGTCCAAAAATGCGTGACGAAGCCAAAGATTATACAGAGAGATAGAACAAAGAGTGTGCGATGTTCGGCGGTGCAAAAACGCTGCCGAAGAAAATCAAAATTAACGCTTCAAGGGCGGATCGTGCAAGTCGACCCGAATGCCCCTAGACTTGCACTCGGCCAAGAACGGCTCAAGGGCCTTGGCGTAGTCTTGCACTTTTCCTCCGTTGTACCCGCACCCGATGCGCAACGGGACCGCAATGGAGGAGATGCCCGCGGCGGACGCTGCCGCCGGGATCTGGCGCAGGGCGCCCGAAAAATGGCCCAACCGGGCATCGTATGAGTCGCCTGCGGCATCGGACTGTGCCGAAACTGGCCCGGGGAACTGCATGCAGTAGATGTTGACCACCTTCCCGATGACCTCGAAGGCCCCGTAAGGCTTCCGGGAAGGCGGCTCGCTGTACCTGTTCGCGCTGGGATACCGCGCGAAGATGTCTTTAGCGATCCCTTTGGGCTGCACTGCTGCGACGCAGCAAATGTGAAGGATCCAGCCTGCTTCAGCCTCCTGGATGGGCGTCGGCTTGACCAGACTGATCTCGCCCACAGACCTCCTGAAGACCGCGTTGTCCATGAGTTTCTCGAGATGCGCCGTGGGCGCTGCGATGTTGGCCCACGGCTTGGGCCACATTTCGAGGGGAACGGAAAGAAGAACCCAGTAGTCGTCATTGGCTTTGAATCTCCCCGGAACGCCGGGGTACTGAAAGAGCTCCTTGCCCTTTTTGAACTTGATCACAGCCCGCCCGAAGATTGACAACAGGCTTGCAAACTTCATGTTCATCTTCGGCACGAACAGAGCGATGCGGGGACGCCTCTCGGCCGGAACAGCGTGAAGCGCTTTGTGCAGGAAGCGCAAGGTGGGATAGAGAACATCGTCGGACGGGAACCACCAGCTCCGCCTCGAGCAAATCGCCCCGAAGTCGAAGAACGGGGGGTTCGCGGAGTTGTAGAACAAGGGCAGCCTCCTGCCCTGGTCGGAATCGTTGAGACCGGAAAACGCCTCCACCTCGAGGCCGGGGATCATTTTGCAGATGTGCTGCCAAGCCCGATTCGTCAAAAACCGGTCGGGATTGTGGTCGTACATTGAAAAAATGTTATCGTCGAAGCGCGATAAAACATCGGCCTCGATGTTTTCGGTGCCGTACACCTTGGCTGCGATCAGCTCCGCCCTAAACTCGAGCAGTAAGGCCTTCAGCCGCCTGGTGATCTCACAGTGAACCGGGGAGAAGTACGCCCCCCGATTGACTCCTTTCTTGCACGACGGGTTGTCGGTGTAGTACAAAATGACTTTGTTCCTGATGAGGTGCGGGTGCTCCCGCGCGAGGAACTCGAGCATGAGCAGCGGGGTGGCGTACTCCAGTACGTTGATGTCGTAGCCTTTACCCACAAGCCAGTCCGGGAACGGGAAGAACATCTTGACGGCGCCGCATGCGCCTCCCCAGCCCCGTGTTGTGGCGGCGTCGCCGCTGATGGACGTGAACATCTCAGGCCCTAAAGTCCTGAAGAAGTTCGCGCCGTAGCTGAGCACTTCTTCCCTCCACAGGAAGGAGCGCGACCCATTGTGATGCAGCTTGGCCTTGGGGTCCTTCAGAAGCTCGAAGTACCACCAGTGGAGGTCTTCGAGGCTTTGGTCGCAGATGTCGACCCGCGGGTTGTGTGCAGCCGACGATCTCCAAAGGAGATAACAGCCCGACTCGTTCAGCCTGTTTTGTAGATTCCGAAGCGGTCCGTCAATGACAAACCGCACGGAGTTCAACTTCCCAACGATTTTCGCGGTTTTGCGAGCTGTTGAAGCGTGCTCAGGATGCTCAAGAACTTCAGAGATGAAATCCAGAACCGCAGACGAGTACTCGTGGAGCCGCTCCGACTCGATGCCCACCGTCATGCGGACGGTGTCGCACTGAAAACCGAGCCAGGGAAAAACCTGGGCCGGCGGCACCAGTTTCCCCGGCTTTGTGTGCAAACGGCAGCCGAGAGTTGCCAAGCCGAAGAACACCTTGTTGAATTCTTCGTTGGCCTTGGCGAAGTTGCACCGATGGGGGGCCTGGAGGATTCCCCTAAGATCGTCCACATAGTCCAAAATGTCGGCTTCCACGCCGGCACTGTGGACCATGCGGATGAGTTCCTTCACCGCTGCATCATTGTCGCCGGGTGCACAATTGAGCCCGAAAGGCAAGAAGCAGTGCACTGCGACCCGGTCGGTTTGGGGAATTGAAAGGCCCAAGAACCGGCGACACGAAGGATGGATCAACCAGTGGGGATAACAATCCTGAAGATCGAGGCCGAAGACGTACGCGCCCGGCTCGATTCTTTCGAACAACTGCCACCAATTCGAGTAGTTGACCGCCGTCGCGTAGATTGATTGGTTGACTTTCACCTCTTCCGCGCTCCAGTTAGTGATGAGGCGCATTTTGCCCCGCTGTTCGATGATGGTGCCCGGCGCTATCGTTAGGTCAGCGGGCCCCTTGTTGTCGTAAAGCAAGACTTTTTTATTCTTCACGAATCTGCACACCTCCTGCGTGAACGCCTCCTCGAAGACGGATGCTCCGGGGTAGTTGTCGTTGCGGGAGGGAGTAAACTGCTCGCTGACGATGTTGAAACGAAGCCCCCCAAAAAACTGCCTGAAAAACTGCGGCTTGATCCCGTAGCGGACGCACTGGCGTGCGGAAAGGGAGTTGCCTGCAATCGCGAGGGAATCCTCGTCGTGCCGCCAACTGTCCTGAGGCCCATCCTGATTCCTCAAAAACTCAGCAGCGGAGCTGTCGTCGATGGGCAATCCGAGGTCCAAGTACTCTTGGATTGACAGCGCAGCTGTAGGCTGGAGGCCGAGCCGTTCCTCTTCCTCGGTTCGCTCCGAGAGAAGGACTGGCGATACAACCGGCATGTGAGATGAGTGATGCTGCAGCAGAAGCGCTTTGGAACCTACACTGCCTCTGAAATCTTTAGTCACCAAAGAGTTGAGAGCTTAACTACCCCTGTAGCCGCCCCTTGGCAAAAACAAAAACTGAAAAGCGATCCTCATCTGATGTCATTTGTAGTCGTAGCGAGCGAGAGACGACTTACTTCGAGCCCACTAGAAACCTTGGCAATCACGACAGATGATTTCTAGTGCTATGAAAACGAGACGACCGCTGGCCCATGCCATAAAAAACCTCCTGAACGATTGCTGAAAGGCAAAAAATACTACGACTGAAGAAGGAACTGCGGCGCGAGCCATGACTTTCGGACGCCGAAAAAAACCTGCTACTGATGCTTGCAAAAGAAGCTGCTCTACAAGAATCAATCCTGTCGCGAAGCATACGTGGACGATACCACGGAGCAAAGCTAGAAAAAAGGAAACGAACTCGTCAGTACGATGACGTCGGAATCTAAGAACAAACAACCAAGAGGCTACGAAGATGTCTCTCGACGGCCAGCGGCACCAAGCTTGCTGGTCCCTTCTGATTTTTTTAGCTCTGAGCTCAAGCCCAACACTTGATACAAAAACACGCGAGAATGTACAATCGATGTCGAGACTGATTAGATGTTGAGACCCTCCATGGTCGGGAAGAAGAATTTGTACACTTTTGCATATTCATTTTTCGGAAATCTGTTGAAGTTCTTCAAAAGAATTGCGTCTGACAACTTCGGCGCTTCGAATCTGAATTGCCTTGTGGAAATGTAACGAGAATCGAAATCCGCATAGCCTCTGTCCCAATCGAAACTATTCCAGTTGGGACCAGTAAAGCCCTTTTCCATCTTCCGCACGGCTTCGCGCTCGCGTTTCTCAAACGCGGAGTCTCTCGAGTAGTTGTGGACCTCGAGGGCTAACTGCTCCTGCTGCTTGGGAGCGTAGATGGAATCCAGCATCCTCATGTTGCGCCAACCCCCCTGAGCCCACGCCGTGTGCCGGTCCACACTCGCAAAATACCGCGCCCCGGCTCGGCGGAGTGAGATCGGTTTGTCAACACTGAAGTGGATTTGGAAGGCCGACCGAATTTGTTTTCTCATGTTGTCTTTGCTGAGCGGCAAGCCGCGCGATCTGATGTTGTTAGTGCCGATGGTGAAGAAGAGGGAACTGAGGCCCCTGGCGTAGTTTCGTCGGAAATGATGCCACAGGAACCGGTTGGCGTACTGCATCCATAGAGTGAGCAGGTCCGCAATCCGCGGCGGAAGGATGCAGAAGTCGCCCTTCTCCAGCACATCGTTTTTTGCTTTCAGGATGTCCACCCGCATGTACTTGAATTGTTCGACCGAAAGCTCCTTGGAGATGGTGTGCATGGAGACGCACGAGGTGTTGAGTTCAATGAGTTCCTGAAACCTTCGGACGCAGTAAAAACCGACGTTGATGCTGACAACTGCCTGAAACTCGATGGCGAAGGAAAGCTTCGCTTTGTCGGTGAAAAGCTCCGCGGGCCAGATCGTGTCCGCCCTAAGCCTCCCCGCTGGTAAGCAGTTGGCTCTGAATTTCGCCAGTGATGTTTCCGCCAGCTGCTGTGCCTGCAGCTCTGTCGGCGAATACTTGGAATTCTCGGTGTTCGGGTGAAAGGACGACCGCTTGAATCCCTCCCATGCTCTCTGGAAGCGACAAGACTTGTCCTGCATGGAAAACTCGATTTCCGGTCTGCAGCTGTTGAAAGCGGAGATGGCAGCGGAGATTCTGCCGAAAGCCGCCCATCTAATTTTCCCAGATACTGGCTCTGTCCAGCCCTGATGCACTGACGCGACCTCCGAGAAAGTGCGAAAGAAGATTTCCGCTACTTCAGAGTCGTCGATCGGCCAGCACTGAAACTTGACCACCGCGCACACCTTCGGCACGATGTTCTTCAGCAAGTTCTCGTAGTCGCTGATTGTTTTCACTTTGACGCTAGCCTTGGCGTACTTGTTCACACTCGTCACTAGCAGGCGCCGCACGTTGGCCTCGAGTGGAAAAGACTCGAAGATGTTGATGCGCTCTGGAAAGATGGTGAAGTCCAGCTGGGACGGAGAGGTGTAGGGCTTGGCTTTCTTCATCGTAGCTCCAACTGATGACTTTGGAGCGGTCGAAGATGAGGAGGAGCTGCCGCCTGCTAATAGCTGCTGTCCGGGGCCGAGCTGAGCGGCAGTGGCCGGCTGGACGGCCGAGCTAGTGGCTCCTTGCCAAGCTGAAGCTGAAGAAGACGCGGCGCCCGTCGAGCTTGAAGAGGAGGCCGCCAGTTGCGCTCTTCTATCACGCTCCCTGGCGGCTGCTCTTCTGACTTCCGCAGCTTTTTCTTCTTCGTGCGAGTTCTGATGTGGGTCGAGATTAATTGCGTCGAAAATTTCGAAGAGCTCGTCCTGTTCCCTGGCTGACCCGCTCGGCCCCAGCCCCTGGAAAGCTCTTTTGGCGTTGTACTTGGCAGTGTCTTCAGACTTTTCCCGTTTTACTACGCCCCTCGCTGACGCCATCTCGTCTCCAAGCGCTTCCCGAAAGACGCGCTGGAGAGTGAATTGGGTGCTCATCTTGATCGGGTTTTGCGTGAACTACTACCTTCTGAGCAAAGGGAAGGGCGAGTTATGAATATAAGATACTGCCGACACAAACAAAATTCGATCTGAACTGAAGCTGAAAAGCCTGAGTTTGGTGTTGAGAAGAACTGTATGCTACTGACGCCACTCGAGTGTGGACGTCCCAAAGGCGAGAAACGAGCTGCGAAGAGAAGAGAGAATCGCTGAGGAAGAAACTCCCCGTCTTGTCGAAGGACAAACCCCCTAAAAAAAAAGAAAAAACCCTTATGAAGCTGAGTTACGAATCCCTGTCACGAGAAGGTCCACCACGACACGAGGTCCACCTTGCGTCCAGGAGAAAAAAGACCGAAGATGGTGAAAACTGCTCGAGCGACTAACTACCACGAGATCCTACCGAGGCTTCGTGATGAGAACTCTAGATGTGCTGCGTGTAACACCAGCTTGAGGCACTTTGGATAAGAGCGAGAAAACGAATTTACAATGTGAGTATGACAAGTGTGCGAATCCCGGTGCAAGTGCCTCAGTTTACAGGTGAGGGCTTAAACATGGAGCTAACCTCTATGAAGAACGGAAGATGAAATAATTTCCTGATTTTTGATTTTTGAATATGAGTGCTAATACTACTCAGGTGCGTCTATCTACTATGATGCTTGATGATTGTAATGCACATTAAAATTTTGAGATGAGTATCAAGAAACTTTTCGTATACCAACCGGACGACTATGAGTGCTTTTTTGCCCGATGACCGGCAACGAGTCGAAATTGTGACGCTGTACCGCAAACAACTCTGAAACATACTTCTACTTTGATGGATGACCACTCTAATTGCTCATGCAAATTTAACTGAGTACCAATCATATCTGAACCTATACTACTCAAATGAAGTGATGTGAAATTATGAAGTCACGAAAATGAGTTTGATAACAATCCGCACTGGAACTACCAATCATACTGAAAAAAGAGAAAAATCAAACAAAATAATTATCACACCACTTGCGAATGAGATTGCCAGAATGATTTCTGCTAGAAAGTCAAGCGAGCGACTGCTTGCTGCAAATGTGTGAATGACCCGCTGACGCCTGACGTTACCCGACTACTTTCCTGCCCGCCGGATCGACGGTTTGCCCGACGACTTCGCGGGGCACTTGGGCAACCAGTGACTCCCTTGACCGCACCACGTGCAGGGCACCGCGCAGTCGTTGGGGTTGACTTCTTGGCACTTGTCGAAGCCCCCATCGTGCAACCGGGCCAGACCTTGAAAGAGAAAATGAGAACGAATGATAAAAGATTGCAACCGTTTACGAGCTGAATCCATTGCAGAGATCGTATATTTGAGTGCCCGAAGCCGCAAAAACTAATGTGAAAGAGTAAAAATGAGTCCCGATGCAAAGGCAAAAGTGAAGTTTTGGCCCGTGAACGGCCGAGACGGAACCAAGCCGATTAGTAAAACCTAACTGAATATCGAAAACAAGTGCAAGCAAACGTCGACTCGCTCTTGTTTTGAATTTTCGGAAAATGAAACTAAATGATGTGAGTACCGCGCCCAATTAAATAGCAGTTGCGGCAACCCTCCCCCTTGGAGAAGTACTCGTGGGCGACCCCCGGGTTGCAGGCCTTGGCACTCGACCAGGCGGCTGCGGCGGAAGCCCGGTCCTGATTCGCGGAGGACAGGACGCGGTGGATCTCGTTCCAGGCCTGCTGCTTGTCCTGGATGGCGGCCGACCCACCCGGGGTTGTCGGGTACGACGGGGTCGCCGCCGGCTTGCCCGCGGACGCTGATCCCCCGTTGCGCTGCCACTTCGGAGCCGGGGTGCTCGGGGCTGTCGGCTGATTGCTGACCGGTAACGCGGCCGGGCCCTTGGCCGGGGACGGCGTACCGTACTTGCCGTATCCCTTGTTGGACGGCTGCGGGAACTGAGCTGGCAAGGCGTTGTTGTTGAAGTTGAAGGCGCTGGTCGCCTGATGGTTCAGCATGGCGGCCAGCACGCTGGAGCTGCTGAGGTTCGTGCACGCAGCGTAGGTGAAGCGTGGCAGCCAGTAAGCCGTGAACAAGGCCTGCCGTGTAGCTGCCAGTCGGGTCTTCAGCTTGATTTCCCGACGCACGCCCTTGAGGGTGTAGTAGGCCGCGTACTGGATGTTGATCGGCGGGTCCGAGTGCACCTGTTTCTTGGATGAGTTGTTGACGTGCTGATCCAAGAGGTACGTGAGGAAAGAGTTGTGATGCTTAGCTAGGATCGCCACCGGTTCGCCGTCGAACAAGACGACGACTTTGTCGTTGTAGCGGACCGCCTTGATGAGACTGCCATTGGGCGGCAGAAGTAAATCTTTCAGCCGATAATGATCGTACTTGGAGCGTTTGATTTCGGAAAACAATTTGTCAGACTGGGTCGGATTAGCCGCCCCGCCGGTGGTGGAGCTCTGCTGCTGCTGATGCGCGATCAGAAGCTGGGACGTGTCCAGCTTGGAAGCCTCGATCTCGCGAAACGCCGCTGATTTTATGATTTGAGAAAGATGCGAAACGGACTGCAGCCAAGTTAACTATTAACCTGCATGATTTTGCAGCAACATCCTGAGAAACAAATACGGCGTTTGTAGTTTTTGAGCCCTTCGGCCTTCTCGTTGTCCGTGAGGTTGGTGAAGTCGCTGAACCAACTTTCATGCGTGAGGATCGCCGTGGCTAACGAGGAATCGGCGCCCGATTCTTTGAGCATCGTTTCCACCTTCTTGATGCGACCCGAGTGCACCTGCAGCTCGCACGTGTTGCACAGGTTCTTCGATTCGTCGTTGACGTTGAACACCGCGAAGGCTCTCGACGCTAACACGCCGTGGGTGTCGAAGCAGGATTTGCAGATGATGGCCTTGCACGCGGCCGTTGGCGGGCAGTTCTTGCACTTGAATTTCACATTCGCCTCTGCGGTGATGTTCGCGTCGCACACTTTACAAATGAGGTCGACCATCTTGAATGCTTTAGGTGAAACTCACCGAGAGTGCGAGAGTCGAAATGTCGTATTGATGCCCAGTGCGTTGTGCACAAAAAATTTTCTGCGATTGGATATAGAGCTGGAGTTATTGAGAGCCGAAACTGAAAGCGCTGCTGATTTGGGCTGAGAAACTCGTCTTACGGAAAGCTAAGCGAACGCTTCGCGAATACAAATTCGCGCACGTTGGAAGCCGAAATGTAAGAAAGTCTGTCAGTGCTGAAGCAAAAAACAAGCTGATGCTCTCCTGAAGTTCTAATTCGCTCTTGTTGCAAAGTTTTGAGAAGAGATGAAAAAAAAACAAGAAGGAAAGCCAATGCGCTCTTGAAAGAAAAACGATCCCTCATGAAGCGAGAAAAAACAGACGTAGAAGTGGATCACGTGCACTGCTAGCAGTAAGTGCGCGCTCCAGACCAAAAAAACCAGAGAACAGCATGAGTGCAGTAAGGCTCCGAGTTTCGCCTTTAGGCAGATCCTGCTCACCGTGACTGAAGTTAGCAGAGTGCTTTATGCCCCGGATGCTACAGGTTAAAATACTTGAGCTCAAGAAGAAATGCGAACTGAAACTCGTGCTGTGATGCTGTCCATTATACTCGTATGTATGTCACTGATGAATACTTACTCACCACATGTTTTCACCACGCGGGTACTGAGGCGGGGACTCCCGCGACTCGCACGGAGAATTAGGATGCATTCTAACCACTCTAAAATCGTAACCCTCCAATATAGCATACTTATCTTTTTCATCACTAGGATCACTCAGCCCGAGCAATTCATTTCCGACACTATAACACTCTCCGGATTGTTCAAAGAGTGTTGGTTCGTGCGCTGTGTGGTGCCACCAGTAGTTTTCATGATCCACCTGCGGGCTGCTGATGTCCTTATGAAGGTAGCGCGCCACCGCAACGATCATCTTCGCGTGCCTTGCCGCTTTCCGGTCGTCTTCGTTGCTGATCTCCAGCTCCAGGGGGAAGTCAACCCACCGCGATTTGATCGAGTTTCGGAGTCGCTCCCTGATTTTTTTGATTTTGCTTGTGAAGTTGACGTTTGCGTCGGCGAATTCCCTGGAGTAGAAAACTAGCTGATTGCGTTTGTTGATTACGCTGTAACGCAAGCGGTGCGCTACGTTGGCGAGCTGGCCGTTGTAGTAGAAGAGGTTGTCAAGATTTTTCAAGAAGGTTCTGGAGAGGGAAGAAGAAGCCTCCAGGTTGCTGTCTGCGAGGTCGTAGGCTAATCGCGAAACCATGGTCATTGAGAGGTTGATTTTGTCGTAAGCCTCGTCTATTCTCGCGACTTGCTGAGTTGCTTCGTCCAACATCTCCATGACGTCCTCGATGATCTTTGATTGCGCCCGCGCTTCAGTGCATGCTGAAACTTCCGCGGCATAACAGGCGGCGTACTGCGCTTGTCGTCTCGCACAGATGCATCCTGCGCAGTCCGAGCGGTACTTAATGTCGGGCGTTTTGGAGCCTTTGAAGGAGTCTTCGATGAGAAAATGGATGATGTTCTCGAGCTCCTCACATCTGCAGCAATTTGCTTTCCGCACTACTGGCGAAAAAAGGACGTCGCTCAAGCTGCTTGAGCGGCTCTCCGAAGAACTCGAAGAGCTGCTTACTTCCGATCTGTGATGGATCGTTTTGGAAATTTAAAAGTCAAGTACAAGAAGAGAATCAACAAACGAAATAACAAAAAATGATGCGCGTTGAGTGAATAAACCTGTGCTTGATGCCCCGCGCGGGGGGGGTGGAGGCCATTGCGTCGCGAACTTGGCCTTCCTGCTGAACCGGTAGGGAATCTTGGGCAATCCGTGACCACTAGGTTTCCAATTATCCAATGAGCAGCAAATGCCCAAGGCAACGCGTGAAGCGGCGTCGGAAGGTGGGTGGCACTCACCACAAATAAGTGCGTCGTTGAGTTGCACGAAGTTGTTGAGTTCACTGTCTTCCAGGAACAGGAAGCAGCCTTTTAATTCGCACCCAGGGCGTGGGCACGATGACCGACGGCCGCAAACCGATCGGAGCGCTGTCCACCGTTTGCAACCGTTTACGCAAAAAGAGGCGTAGATTTGGTACCCGCGTCCTCTCGGAGAGGGGGTGCGACAGTCGTCCATTTTTGAATGTTACTGATGAGCATCGTCAAATTGAGTCGAGTGAGAAGGAGATCTAGCTACTACCTTTCAGAAGAGGAACTTGCGCGAGAACAGAGATCAATTCTCTCGAAAGCTGGAAGCAGCTGATGCGCGTTGAATCGAAAAAAAGCCACGAATCGCTCTGAGACCATGCGGTCAGAAAATGGTTTCCCCCTGCGCCAACAAATGGAAGAAAACTTTAGCGACTGATTCCAGATGGAAAGATGAAAGAAACGAAAAACTCGCTCTTGATTCTCTCCCCCGATGTAAAAAAAGCGAATACGATGAAACGTGCGTTGCCCGTTTTGCTGAACGGGAAGTGAAAAAGAGTAACTCCTACATTGGAGTTGAGTTGGCCTGAGGCTGAACACGAGAACTTCCTGGAAAGAATCCCAGATCGACCAGAGGCCGAAGAGATGAAGCTTCAGGGAAGCTGAGTTGAATCTTTTCGCAGTGGCGAAGCCACGTTCCTCAAGTTGTATGTTATGTGGTGCTGTTGTCTGCGAAAAAAATGTCTGATTTTGATCTGAAGCTGATCTGGAACAGAAACCAGAAATGATCTCGTGATCATGAGAAAAGCCGTATTTTTATCCCGCCCGGGGAGGCGGCAGAACGATATACTGATAGAAATAAAATTTGATCCGCGTTGCTGAGGTGAATGTTGTGGGATGCGCAGCCCCCCACTGAGTTTCTGACTTTGATCCTGTTGCCACTCGATTACTCACTAGCTCATAATTGAGCTTGCCGAATTCCTTCGAAATCCTCCGAAGCTAACAAGAGGGCTTTTTCGTGACTATGCAACACAGATTCCCGAGTCATGCCAGACAAGCGTGACAAACTTGCACTCTTCCAGACCTAGACATTTTTATATTTGATAGCTTGTGTCCAGGTCCAACAGGAGGTGGGTCATGTTTTTCGTTATCCAGAAATCGTCAACCGAGTCGTAAACCGTTTTTGCGCAGTCGTAGGCGGATTGCTTAAAACCCTCGTCTCGAAGGTTCTTGCCTGGAATGATATTGGGTGTGGGGTCGGAATTTTGTACAGTGTGAGTTCCATCACGGGTGAGGGACTTCTTTGCCGCATTTAATAAAACAAGAAGCAGGACACGGAGTACAAAAGCCACCAATCTAGGTACAATTGGTAATAGTAGCATAATACGAAAATAATCCAGACCTTCTACAACCATCGTCAGAAAACAAAGCGTCGAAGGACACAACATCAAGTTTGTACCTTTCAAGTAGCCCGTGAGCTCCGTGGTGCACGGGTGAATCAGCTCTCGGTCCGGGCAGTGTAGCTCCGAAGTGTTGTGTTTAAACATGGCCTTTGGCTCCAGGTCAAAGACGTTTGACTGTGACAACCCCGCGGGTACCACGGGCGCGGACATGGACGAAGCCGAGGTGGCCGCCGAAGCGGCGGCCAAGAGGTGATGTATTCGAGTGGGCATTTTTCGATTGCGCTTAGGTACGCGACGTAGACGTTCTGGCCCGTGCACCTCCTCGTGGTCCAGAACTACGGCGCAGTAAAGAGTTCCACAAGAAAGAAAAAGAACACAAAAAACGGAATGCAAATGGAGGGAAAAAATCGACGGGAAAAGATTCAGAACCAAAAAGGAAAAGCGTTCTTGTATCGAAGCAAAAAAATAACGATTGTCCTTGGGATTGATCTCTTGAAACCGATATAATGATAAATGATTATGATTTGCTGTGTTTTTGTTTTATAATTTGAGCACGTACTACTCTTTCTTTGCAGTTTTGTTTTGCGCTTCAGGTATATGAGGAAAACCACCTCTACTCTGAATAATTAGTGGTCGTACTCGTCTAGCAAAAGAGTGGGGGAGGAGGTTTCACTTTTCGGGCCGCCCTGTCACAGTTGAATTTGAAAAAGTCAACAATAATGAATGTAGCACATAATGCACCAAGATAATAAGAGTAAAACCAGATGGTGCGGATGTCTGAAGCAAAAATTCCAAGACTAGAGCAAGCTCAGTTACAGTTCGTTCTCTCAAGTACCGACTCCATTTTCACAACTTTTTTCCGTTTTGAATGACCGAGGCCGTCTTACTCTTACGGCAAACCGGACCCGGAGTGCTTGTTTTGAGAATAAAATAAAAACATAGCTGCACCAGCACAGGGACGACTTGTGAGGGTATTTGCCTGTTCTTTTTCTGCTGATTGATTCTATATGCGCTCGTTCTTCTTTGTATCTATAAATTCTCATTGCATCTTTTATCGTCTCAGCGACATTCTGTATTCTACTTTGAAAAGCTGTCCTCGCAGTGGTCGCTTCTACGTGCGCACGAAAAATTGTGCAGCTCTTTCCCACCTTCCAAAAAACATATTGTGGCTGCTCACGATGCATGCGTTTGCTTTTGTGACATTCACATTTGGCGCTCGCTTAGACGTGTGGTCCGCGTGAAAAGTACTTTGTAGGAGTTCCCAGGGAGGACTCTTGCTCTTCGACCGTGTGTAAAGAAAAACATGCAGAAGCAGATGTAATTCTATGTACGAATCCCTAGGCTTGTCTTCAAGTCCTCGCCGTGTTCGTGTATGATGCTTCCGTCTTCTTCATCCGACCTCGGGGGCGGAGTCGGAGAACGAGAAGGTAAAGGTATAGAAGAAGACAGTGATACAAATAAAACACACAACGCCTCGAGCCGCGCATCACCTCCTGCAGCTCCCGAAGCACCAGTCCACCGAGCACACATCTACTTTCCTACTAGCTCTCGGCATGATTCAGGACGTGGTACCCGGGCAGGCGTTCCTTCGCGTGAGACCCCCGCCTGACGTTGCTCTCCTTCCGCTTCACGTGGCAGATGCCCCACCGCTGTTGCCGCTTCCGCCGTGCTAGCTTCGCAAACCGCAGGCGCCGCTCGTCCCAGGCATGGACGAGCATCCGGCGCTCCATCTCCGCGCGGACCTCCCGCGTCTGCCGCCTCGTGATGTGGTACGGCCCGGGGTGAATGTAGGGCGGGAGCCCCGCCGCGGCTCGTTGTACCGCATACCTCTTTCGCAAGTGCGCGTACTCTGTGCGCAGCTTGTTCTCCACGTTCAGGATTCCGCTTCGCGCCGGCCGTCGCCACCAGTACTTCCGGTTGGAGCTGCGCCACCGACCCAGCTTGTAGTACTGCCAGTTGTTGCGGTAGTTGCGGTATGCAATGCAAAAGCATCGTACTAGTAGTAATTGCATTACAAATTGCCTTAGCATGACAAATGGAATTTCTCATGCTGTTTTACGTTTACCTTGGGATGGGGATTTGTAATGCATAATTGCAATTACTACGAGTACGATGCTTTTGCACTGGATATGCGGCTTTTTTTCCGCCGGTCCACCTTCAGCTGTTCCTCGGTCACGAACTTTATGGCACTCTCAAACGTTGGATTCTCAACTGTTACATGGATTTGCAACGCAAGAATAGCACAGGTGAGAGCGAGAACCTTGCACATCTTGCATTACAGATTTGGCGCGGATAATTCTAGTGCAATTTAGGGCGTCGTCGAGAATTTGTTATGCGAAGTAGCTTGATCGTGGCGATGTTATGATAGTGATTTTGCATGACAAATCATGTAACAGTTGAGAATGTCAATGTTGTAATAGTTGAGGATGCCATAAGCTTGCTGGCCTCCTTGTCCACCCGGACGCTGAGCAGCCGCGGGTTATAAATCGGAAGCAGTTATCCTGTGCAAAAGCATCGCACTCGTACTTCTAAGTGCAGTTATGCATTACAGATCTAGGCATTATTTAAGGTTAAGGAAAATCCGCATTACAAACTGAAACTCAAACAATCTCTAATGCTGGGAGAATTTGTATTGCAATTTATACTAGTACGATACTTTTTCTTTTGCAGCTCATAGCAGTTGCTGCACCGCAATGCCGTCGTAAGTATTCTTCAACACCATCGCACTGGCGGCGCGGCGCTTCCGCAAGCCAACGCAGTAGCCGGTGAAGGTTGCGAACGTCTGCTGGGAACGGGACAGCTCATATTTCACCTGGCGGTGGTGTTTGCTCTTCGTAGTAGTTAGCTTCCCCTCGTGGTAGTAAGTCCTACTGGTGGGCGGGCCACCAGGATACTCATCGAAGTTTTTGCGACGTGGACGTATTATTCTTTGCCATGACCACACGGTCTTCTTCAAATTGCGATGTTGATATGAACTTATTGAATGCGAATCAGAATCTATCAAATCTATACCGTGACCAGGTCTCCCAGCCCGAGTTTTGGCATCTTGTAGGACCGTTCTTGCTCCAATTTCTGCATTTCCTCTACCTGCAACTGGTGCATCAGATTTCGCATTCTCGGCAGGGTATTTGGTTCCCCGATCTCCGACATGTCGGGCGGCCTATGGAAGCGTCAGGGTTGAAATCGTCAAAGACCAGAGCTGAAATAGTTTGCGATGCATAAAATGCAACCCACGAAGTGCCTGTCTTGCAGAGTAGGCAAGAGAGGCAGGCTGTAAGCCTGTTGAGGGGTAGAAATAGAGCAACTAAAGTAGCACGACAGAAGGCGTCTCCCTTCCCCAAACAGCATTGCAGACTGGATTTGTCACGCGCCACTTGAAAACTAGGCCTGGTATCCGTTTTATGCATTACAAATTACTTTGACTTTCAACCTTGTCGATTTCAACTCTGACACATCCATACGGCCAGGTCTTGCCGTATTTCGGGTTTTCCAGCGTGTACACATCGTCCCAAGCATTGGATTTGCGCACCCGTTCGCGGAGAAACCGCACTTGTTGGTGTTGATGCTGCAAAAATAGAGCTGCAGGTTGTTCTCCTAGTCGATTGATGCGAATTGAACAAGAATTTGCCCTGCGCTTACTTCCAGTTTCAGTCGTGGCGCTAGTTGTTGTCGTCATCGAAGATGTCACCACGGCGCATAAACAACTTGAAGTAGTAGACGAAGAGGCCGGGCATGGGGAACTACTACAACCCAGAAACCCGCGCCAACGCTCAGATGAAGTCTGCGATTTAGAAGTGCAACTTGCAGACGAAAAGGCGCGAGCAGACATCGACACGCCCGCTGGTGGGCCGCGCATCGGTAATGACCACGCGTGCAAAGGAGCTAGCTAAAAACGCTGCTATAGTTTTTACCTAAAAAAACGAGTCAACTTGTAAACTTGCTATAGATACGTGATCCGAGAGAGTAGAGCCAGGCTCACGAAAATTTCTACTGATGCTAAATTTCTTCTTGCCATGATGAACACACACGCGGGTCCTTTTGTTCTACTTCTTGTCGCGTTACGCCTTGCACTTGCCGTTCATTTGTGTATACCAAAAACTGAAACGTGTATAGAAAGGAAGTTCGCGCCCTGTGCAGCAGGTGCTGGCTAGGCCTAAGGCTATCAGGTACAACTATAATTGACAAATAGATCGATACTTTGATTCTGGTGCCAACAACATTCATCGACACAAAAGTCGGAAGGTTGTCATGATAATCCGATCGCTGCTTCTTCGTTCCGATTCCTATCCCACACCTCAGAAATAAATTAGCTCGGAGAAGTGCTGACGTTGCGCGGAGGCGAAGCAAAGACGCCGGGGTAAGAACCTCCAGACGAACTACGCAGATTGCGCCAACGTTGCCCACCAGCACCATGCGCCGGCCGCGAAATCATACACACCGAAGTTTCTGCCGTGTTTCGTTCCCACATTTGTGCGACTACTTCTTGTCCCTTACCATCAAGGTCGACATCAATCAAAATCCGCAAATGGCGATCTTGACGTTAAGCTCAAGAGGGGAGCTGCGATGCCAATAACTCGACACTTTCACTACAGAATGCATAAGAATATCCATACCCCGGAGAGAGAAATTATCAATTGCGTGCTCGCTTCTTCAGGCGAGCGAGTAGCCGTTGTACATGCTAAGGCTAATTGAGTTCCTGAGAGTAAGTGGCTGGCGAACCGTGTCTCAGCAAATAATTGCCACCAGGACGAGACGAAAAAGTACCCGCTTTGATGTCGAACCGCCAAGCCTGGGCAGCGCACATGAGCTGAACACACAAGAAGAAAATGACAACATCATGATGGGCCTGGACGTGACATCTCGTCGAACAGCAGGAACGACGAGCCATGACGTGAGTCTCGACACCATACGTATATTGTTTGTCTTCTATGCTGTTGTCGTCGTGCTAGTCGGAGATCATGTTCTTAATATATATTCAAACTACACGCACGTTGTTCAATTAGGTAAATGAGAATTAGGGCAAAGAAATGGAATGCATCACGATCAAAACGAAAATCAAAACTGAAATTTTTCAGAATAACAAATTATATACTGTGTAAATAAAGATCTGCAAGAACAACAAGAACAAATAGAGTTTACAATTAGAAGCATGTAAGTAAGTATAGATAGGCTTTGCAGCTTCGTCGCTGGAAATCAGCGTCCATAGTCTCGTCTTCCCGCCTCGATATGGTATCAATCTGAACGAAAAAAGTTTGTGACAGTCACTATTTTTCGATTTTTTTAAAGTCGGCCATTAAGTCAAAACTGCTCCGCGTCATATTCACACTCTCGCTCCCCGAAGTGGCGCTGGCGCCTGTCCCTGTGAAAGTGTGCCCGCAAATAGTTCATCACGTTGATGCAAATTTTTGTCATTCATCGCCTTCTACGCGTTTGCCAAACATCGTCGCAAGCTCGACGCGGAGCATGTTCTCCAACCTTTCATCTGCAATAGTGTTGGATTCTCGCAAGCTAAAGTCTGCTTCTTTTGGATCCAATGGCGGAGGCACTACTGGCAGTTCCAGCACCAATTTTAATGCTCCGACCAGGCCTCCCCCTCCGTCTGTTCCTGGGCTGTCAGCGGCAGGCGGTCCATGCACGAGCATTTGCGTGGCTTTCGTTGCCAGGGTCTTCGCTTCCTTTGCCAGCTTCTTCCTCTCTGTGGTCGCTACAGTCTCGAAGCCGTCGCGACTACGAGTGGCGAGCGCTTCATCGCTGAGAAGATCTAAGAGGGGCAACAACGACGCCAAGCACTGGCTAGCCTGCGACGAGGCTGCTGCAGTTGAGAGAGCGTGGTCGACTTTACTTGGACTTGTGCCTGTGACCTTCTTAACTAAGGCCATCGGCCGCGCCGACATCGGTTCGGTCCTGGGTACTTCGAAACGTGGCAGCCATGCAGTGGCAGCATCCGTCATCGTCTGTGCGACATGTTCAAATCTTGGGCCGAGGAGCGCTTGATACGCTCCCTCCGCCTCGGCCGGGAAAGAATTACGTATCGCGCGAGCAATATCAACCCAGAAGTATCCTGTGCAAATGTGCCTAGGGGGTAGGAAAATCCAAAACTCTTAGGCTGATAAAAATACAGCTTTTTTCACATTTCTGGCGTTTTTGCTGCGAAAAAAGTGCGCAGCTTGTGCCCATCTGCGCACTCCGAATGTGTGTGCTGTGTCGCACTTTTTGACACGACTTTCGCGCGCACGCGTTCCGGGTTAGTTTGCCGTCGACGAATATTAAGGGCGATCACGCAGATGCATCAGGAGGTCGTGGCTTCTGGTGCTGGTGCGCCGAGCCCGCCTGCAACTGTTGCGCAAAACGTTCCAAAGCCCCGCCGTTCGTGCCATGTAGTTGCCAACTGCCAAGATTTCTCTGTTTGGAAACTGTAAAAGCTTGCACCTGTCGACTCGAGAAGTGCAAGCTTCTGCAGTTTGCATGACAATATCTATAATTCTATTGTCTATTTAAAGTTTGCATGACAAATGCAAACTTTACAGTTTGCATGATTTCCAGCAAAGAAACCGACTTTCGAGCTTCAGAAGCAAGCTGTAATGCCTTCGAACAAGCTCTCTTTGTATGTCGAGTGATATCACTTGAAATACAAAGAAAGCTTGTTCGAAGGCGTTTGCAGTTTGCTTCTGAAGCTCGAAGTTTTTATCAGGAAAGCATAAAGTTTGTCATGCAAAACTTGCTTTTGTGCGTGAAGGCTAGACCACTTCGGGAATTTTTCAATTAGTGCGACAATTGTCGCACTTTTTGAAAATTTCCGAAGTGGTCTAGCCTTCACGCAAAGTCAGATGTTTCTTTTAGAATTAAATCACTTTTCATTTGCCAGAAGCTGGTGTAGAAGGTGGTGAAGAAGTTGGTGCGGAAGCTGGTGTTGAGGTTGGCAATGTATTGCCAACCTCGTCAGCAGCTTCTGCGCCTTTTTCTACACAACTTCTTCTACGCCAGCTTCTGGCGAACTGCGAAAAGTGGTTCAACACCAGCAAGAAAAATGTCTGGACTTCTGGGCTCGCTCTTCCACCAGCAGCTCCTTCCGGAAGAGGAGCGTCTGGCATTCCAGCGGCAGCTGCTGGGATTTGGTCTTCCAGCATACCATCGCCCGAAAGGCGATAGCATGCTGGATAAATGCGGGCTCTTCTTCTCAACAATTCGATGCAATTTTGCATGACACCTACAAACTTTTGTAGGTGTCATGCAAAATGCGACGGGTGCAAGAGAGCACTGTCCTCCGGAACGAGAAATGAATCTAGTGCGAGCGCACCCGTGAGCTCGCACTATCTGAAGAACAGTAGGCGCGCTTGCTTTTTTTTTTTTTCCTCGCTCCTCTCATTAACTACCTGCGGCACCGGCTTCGGCACCAGCTTCGGCACCAGCTTCGGCGCCAGCTTCGGCACCAGCTTCGGCACCAACTTCACCACCGACCTCAACGCCAGCTTTTTTGCACCTTCGGCCTAATTTTTTTGGTGTTTACCCTACCCCCTAGGCACATTTGCACTTGATAAGAAGTGCTCGACGACAAAATGGAGACCATTCCCATCAGCTGCCGCGGGATTCCGCTTCCCCGAAAAAAAATTCTTAGAAGGGAAGTTTTTGTCAATTTCTTTGTTCGCTCGATGCGCATCCACCGCCAATTGATCTAGCAGAGACGCCCGCCTTAAGGCGTCATGAAGGGCCGGCGCTGCTGTCTCTGCCCAAATGGTCTGCGTCCACGCCAAAACCCCGGACAAGTGCGAAAGCCCTGAAACGAACAACACACGAAAAACCTCCCTCATGACTTGAGAGGCTATCAGGAGAGCCACGGCCAGATAGATGAGCTTGTTACTCTTATTCTCCTGCTGGGCGAAGTCCCGCCCCCACACATCCAACTCGCGTGCGATCGCTCTGCTTACCGATTCGCCTGCTTGGTCGCCGAGCTCCTTGCCTTCAGGTACCTCCGCCGGCACGGTCATCAACGCGCCGAAAGCTGCGGCTGCAACATTGCAGACCGCTTGCCCGGCAATCACCGCTAGGGGGGCCCCTTTCGACTGAGACTGAAGCACTTCAGCAATCCTGGCGGCAATCGTGCTTTTTTGGATCTCATTTTGAAACTTCGGAAGGCAGTACTGTATCTCGGCGAGTGAAGGGCTTTGGGTGGTCGGTGGTGCAAACAGGGCCGCTGCGGCGATAGTAAGCATCAAGAGCGCAACCGCAACGGCGTTCGCGGCGCGTTGTTCTTCTTGGCGTCCTGTGTTAGACAACATGCCCATGCGGGCCACGGAGTGCTGTGTCCCGGTTTGTTTTACCACGAGTTTTGTTTTTAGCCAAACCCGAAAACCAGAACAATCAGCCCCGCCTGCCTGGAGGGCCTTGTGCTTCCTATTCGAAAAAAACGCATAGCAATGCCCTGGCGATCGTAGTCGTTCAGCGCTCTCATTCTGCAGTAGTTTTCTGTTTCTTGCAACTTCAATATTGAACCTCCAAGGCGAAGAAATTATATACATCATAATCATATAAAATAAATAATGAGAAATGTTGGCATCGAAGCGCTACTTACAGGAAACACTTACACTTTTGAAGCGAAAGCGCTGACGCAACTATCTTGTGAACGATTCGCGGCATGGGTGTGCTTGACTGTGTGATAAGGATCGGCAGGCTTCATCTGGCGCCAGGGGGCAGAGTACTTGATTTGATCGTACGTCACAACAACTGCGGCGGCAACATCGTATGCTGTCGGCTCTCTTATTTCGCCACTGGTGGTGCGGTCTGGTGGCTGATGTGCAAGTAATGCTTTTGCTTGCGCCAAGAGCACCGGGGCGTCAGAGGCGGAACGGCATGTCTTACCGTTGTTGTCCTTCGACATGCAGTCTGAAGCAAGTCGTCGCGCAACAGTGCCAGTCGTGCCAATGATCCCCGCGGAGCCGCCGACCCCATTGGCCGGCGGGAACTTGAAGAAGGACTCATCTGCAAGGTCCTCCAGCATCTTCAGGGGCTGCTCCGCGACGTCCCCGGCCTGCACGTTTTTCGCGTTACCGTTACCCCCTGGTCCCGGTAATGCTAAAGCTAATGCCGTGCGGCTCTTGGACTTAATGAAAAACCTCTCCGCGTTCTTGATGATGGGGCCCGGCCACGACGAGTGGGCGAGCAGCTGGAGAACTGCGGAACCCCCCTGCCCGCCTCCGAATTCGGAAAGGGCTCCAGCCCCGCCAACTACCGGCAAGAGCACCGGAAGCATGCTGGTGCCATTTGACACGTCGCCACCAGTGTAATTATATCCCAACCAAGCCAAGAATCCGACTCCACTTCGATCACCCGAAGCCCCGTTTTCCAGGTCAGTGGCTCTGGTTCGTGGTGCAAAGCGACGGCTAACAAAATCGGCATCGCTGGCTGAACGGATCCCCGGACCCACAGCGCGAAAATGGTCAATTGCGCGCAGAGTCAATACCACCGTCCTCGGCACCGTTAAGAGGCCATGTGCGACGAAACGCAACGCGGAAGAGCCGAGTCCAATGAAAGACGCTATACCTCCCGACGAATCAGCGGCGAGATGCTCCGCGGAGCCAGAGTCTGGGCCTGCCACATCCTCATCCTGCTCCGGATGCTGTATCATGTAAGTAAATGTATTTATAATTCTCATTGGTAGTTATATCTTGTGAGAATGAGTTCGAAACTTGAGCCCGAGATTTTGAGCTCGAAACTTGCTCTTGGGCTTTGAGCTCGATATTTGAGCTCGACATTTTGGCTCGGGCTTTACGCTCAAGACTTGCGCTCGAGTTTTTATTTTATGCAGTTACCGCAGACGGGCCACCCAATGGATGGCCGCTCGGTGGGAGCAGTCTCCCGCCGCGTCGTCGAGGCGCCCAGGAAGATGGAGCACCTGACCCGCGATGGAAGATATGGACCTCTGTCACACCCCGTAAGAAAAGGGCGGCGCGAGGTCTTAGCGGCCCATCCGTGGCAACTACGTACCCACCTGAAAACAAACTGGGAACAAGAGAAGGCGAAACAAATACCACCCCGAAGCTCGGTGGGTTGTCCTGACTAATCTTCTCAAGTCCTCCTGGCTACCGTAAACAAAAGGGCTGAGGGCGGAAACGGGCATAAAATACCGCCCGACCATCCTCAGCCTAGGCTCAGAGGCTCGCTAGCCTGCTGCTGCCCCCCGGGCATACATTTATTAGCTTCGAGACGTGACTCACATCACAGATCGCATAATCGCAATGAAGGAAACCGGTGTGCGGCGGGGGGGCCCCCAGGGTGGGCTTCCGAATGCATTTCTAGATTTCTTGACCGCGAAGAACCGACCGTCTTTCGATACGAGCGCGGCGGGAAGCGGAAAGCATCCCGGGAGGGGGCATCATGGGGCCCCCGCTCGATTCGCAACGGCGAAAGGCTCTGCGTGGACCATAAAGACTCCCGCCGGCTCGAAAAATTCAAGTCCAAGAACTGACGATGACAAAAACTGTTGACGACGCGACCCTAGTGGAGCGAGGGAGGCGCGGGGAGACAGGGCTACGGGGCCCCCACTCGAACGCCCGCTTCGAAATATCGGCCGACGCTCGCGAGGAATTCACTTACAGAAAATTAATACTATAAATGTGGATATCCTAAACCCTGTAACCTAACCTAAACCCTTTCCGGATCGAACTTGTGCAGCAGGAGAAGGCGAAGATCGAAGGCGAGACGGTCTCGACGACAGTCATCCCGTGTCGGCGGCGGTGGCGGTCTACCTAAGCCTAAACCAAGGGAAAAAAACTGCTTGGTGCCAGTTGGGCCCGGGGAACAAGAGGCAGAGCAAAAAAGGAGGATTTGTAAAGCGATATTCAAAAAGATAAAGGGCAGAGCAGACTGAAGGCCAGGGCGTGCGCGCCCCTTTCTTCTTAAGCTTCAGCAGTGCTGAGAACGTTCCGACCCTAAACCTCGAAGTGCCGAAGCACCAGGAGATCTACGTACGTATGCGCAAGAAAGCTCGCCTGACTACCTAAAACAGTCGACAAAAAAACGAGGAGTCTCTCGGGGAAGCCGACCAGCCTCATGTCGACAAGCTCAGGCGAAACTCAGGCGAGGCAAAACATCTCGGGCAAAGGCGATAACAAGTCGACGTAGCAATGGCGATTAGCAGTGGCTTCTCTTCTCAGGAGCAGGATCGAAAATCGATTTTTCGAGCACCGATTTACATTTATCGAGCGGTGGCAAACCGATAACTATAAATAATAATAATAATAATAAAAAAGGCAACAAGACGAAGACCGCAATACATTTACATTTATTGCTTGACGATGCTCACTAATGTTGATCGCAAGAGCGCGCTCGAAACAGGAACACAAACAAGACGGAACATGACTGCGTCGCGCTGCAAGCATGCGACGGCGGATCACTCTGGCTGCCTGCCCGCGCACGGGGAGCACGGTCTCGAGCAAGAGGGGTTAAGGGGTCCTCCCGCAGGACCAGGAGGCAAGACTGACACAAAGACCCGAGGCTACAGCTACGGGCAACGTTGAGCTTGAGGCGGGCTATCCGCTCGCGTCGAATAGGGCAGAGCTGCCGGGGTTTCCCTCCTCGGGACAAAGAATCTGCGCGATCGAGCCTGCCCGCGTTTTGCTCAGAGCAACACTCTCGACTAGGCTTTGGCTCACCCAGACAGAGAACACGGCAACGACAAGGACAAAGGGTGGGGGTTGCTCGAAAATAAATTTCCCGCAGATTCCAATCGCAAAGAGCGCGTCGTTGGTCCTCTTGAGCTAGGAAGGGGGGGAAGTTCGTTGGAAGGGTGGTGTTTCGGGTCTCCCTCCCCCCAGGAGAAAGAAGCTGAAGCTGGCTCTGGGCTTCCCTCGGTTCTTCGGGCCGCGAAGAAGACGAGGCAAGAAGCAGGGGGTACGGGAGGGGGGGTTCCCCCTAGCGACCGCAGCGCCCGCGACTTCGCCGCTAGCGAGCGCAGCTCTAGAAGACTCTCGCACTCGCAGTCATACGCCATGTAAAATCCACAACACAACAACACGTCGCTGGAGCGCATTGCGAGATTTTATTTGCGTTTCTTGAAGTAGACCTTAACTGCTAATGCTTGGTCAAAAGTGAGGAAAGCGAAGGAAGAAACAAAGCCTAACTGGAATAGGTGGCGGCGCGACGTGTGGATACTTCATCTGCTCAATGTAGTTATACCGACTGGCTGAAGACTGAGCGCTTTATCCGGTTGTTGTTTTTGTAATTGTAGGTGTTCTGTAGCCTCAACCTATATAAGTCTCAACCTAAAAATATCAATCCCAACATCGAGCAGGCGAAAAAAAGGCGAAAAGAGGAGTGCTGGCGGGGTCGTCCAGACTGCTGTCGCGACCGGCTTCAACGAAGACATCTTCACTCCCACATAGATAGGTAGTTGGAATCCCGGCGTCGCCAGCCCATGGCAAAAGGAAAAGAGAAAGACCCAAGAATAAGAAATCCAAACCCCAGCCAACAGAGAATATGAATAAGAAATCCAAACCCCAGCTCTACCGGCAGAAAAATACTAAGGAAAGTCACCAGATGGCAAGCACGAGCCAACGCCCTCTGAAGCCAAATTCTCTGCGGGCCTCGTTTCTGCCAGCCACAATTTCAGTCCTCAAGATCAGGTTGCGGGGCTGCTGATATGTGCAGGGGCAGGCGCGTTCGCAGTAGAGCTCAGAACGTCACGTCAAGATGGCGCGAGGCCGCGTTCGAAGTAGAACACAACAGTACCCCCCGGCTGCATGTGATCAACAACATCAGCTACACCAGTACGAAAAAAGTAAATAAATATTTATAGCACTAGCAAAGGCGCCGGCAACTCGTTCCAAGGCAATTTCCTGCAGAAATTGAGCCGCCCAAAAGACTAGCCAAAGAAAAGAAACAAATAGCCGAGGGCAACCCCATGCACGACATACGGCCAGGCCGGGCGCAACCCCGCCCCCATCCCCTTCCAACAGCTCCGGAGGGGGAATTTTCAAAAAGGCGCCCAAGCCAGAACGGGCCGGCCGCGCGGAGCCTTCCTCGTGAGACCCGAGCGGTGGCGTAGGGTGCGTATGGATCGATGCGGGGGCGGGCTGGAAGGATGCGTCCATATGGACGAAGGGCAGGCAGCCAAAACGCAGCCCCCCGGCGCTCTGGCCTATCATCGGTGCCATTTTTCGGGTTCCGAACACGGCAGGGCGCGGGGCCCCACGCGCCTGGCTGAAAGGAAGCCAACAGGAGCCTGGCTCGCTTCTCGCTCCCGGGGCGAATCCGGCGCCGGCCTGCGGCGCCGGAGTCGGTCCGTACGGCTTTCGCCGGCATCCCGCTAAAGCGACCAGAACCCCAAACCCTAAACCTCAAACCCTACGCAGGTCCGTGGAGGTTGAGTCTTTGGCTTTTCTCCGCCCCTATGAAATAACTTCGCCATATGGACTTTCTCCGCCCCCCTGGAGGTTGAGTTTTTTTTTGGTCTTCCTCCGCCTAAAATTAGTTTCGCCATAGATATGGACTTTGCGAATTTACTTCCGAGGGCCGCGCCCGAGGGCATGGAGATGGGCCCTATTATCTGGCTGCCAGGGAGCCAGGGCACCCGAAAAGCGGCAGGTATACTAGGGAGCCGGATCTATCCGAAACTGAAACATGCGGAGTGAGAGGGTTCATCGCCGGCCGTTTGCACAACTGGAACTGCTTCGCCCCTTTTCTTTATCTTTTTGGATATTGCTTTTCTTTGAGGGGCACGCCTTTTGCGAAGCTGCTAAGAGCCGCCGCCCTCCCTTCGCAGTCGCCCCTCCGGCGAAAAGGCGGCCCCCGCCGAGGTCGCCCGAAATGTTCAGGAGCCACAGTCACTCTCCGTGCGCCTTTTCTGGGCGCTCTTTTTGCGCCTCAAAATGGTGCGGAAGGGAGGGAGAATGTACGGTGGCGCAGGGCGCTTTAGAAAGGCCTTCCTTTTGCTGGCTCGCCTGTGTTGTTCTTTGCGGCAGTGAAAGGTGGACCCCTCTCGCTATTCGTTGGCAGCAGAGCCAAACAGGTTAGGCTAGGGCGCTTGAATACCTACATAACATTTCAAGTACACGAACGCACTCTAGGCTTTAATGTTGCGGACCTCCGTTTTTGGCAGTGTATGGCAAGAAAAACGCCAGGCTAGACCCGCCCTGGTGTGACCGCAATACAGGTACATACAAAGAAATAAAGGGCAGCATCCACCGAAGAGGATGAGGAAGACATCCACCCAATAAAAGCAAAGAACTATGTACTACACCCAGTAGATGTAAGTAGATGCGCTACTAAGTTTAAGTACCGCTTCTTCCACCGTACCAGCAGCACCTGGTCTTGTCGGACTGCCACCCACGGAGGTCTTCGTCCAGTTGCTCAGAAGGTTGGACTCGACGCCTATGCGGGGGGGATCCTGCCTCGGCGACCCCACTTCGCTCAGCTTGTCTAGAGGCGGGCGTTCATCACCATCGGTGCGCGTGAAATTCGAGATTGCCCCTCGGATGCCCAGATGAGCGCCGGTCGCGACTAAGGAAAGCAGCTGCAGCGACAGAGAGACCCCGCCGGAAGCACACGACAATTTGACTGCGCGTCCCATCAATGTCAGATCTACGTCATCTACGCCGCCAGAGTCGTTAACTTGTTTGTGGTCTTTGTCTGAGATTTTTCCGATCGCGAAATTGAACGAGGCGCTTCACCTCCTAAGTACTCGACGTTCTTGTTGGACGAATACGAAACGGATCACACCGATCGGACTTTCTTTTGCGTGACAGCCTGGGTGGCGAATGTGCAAGAACGCAGGATGAAGATCAGGAAGAGGAACCTAAACCTATGGATGGACGTCGGAATAATAAAATCGGGAGGACTGCGAGCAGTTCAAGTTCTCAAGCTCCCTGAAAGTAACCCGCCAAATTTGCAACGGTTCTTTTCTTCCTGTGTTCGTCATCTGTGTGCCATCATCTACTGTGTCATCTACTCTCAATTCTAACTAATAGCGCAACCATTTGCATTTATCTATGCGCTTGCGATGCCGCTAGTCAGTGGTAGTGATGCGAACAAAATACGAAAAAAACTATGCTCAGGCTCAGGTACCTTTGTGGGGAAAGCTCCCCGCTCACCGTTACCATATCAAAAAATTACAATCAAGCCCAATCCACATCAGGAGATACTGTGTCACGGTGTTGGCTTTTGCATATTTAGAATGGGGTTTCCACTTGTGACAGGGAGGATGGGGGTTACATGTGGTACTGCCTCTGTTTGGGTTTGTGATTCTGGTGGGCCACTGACATTGTGAGGGCCACTCAGCGATTACCCGAATGCAAATATAGCCGCCTGGGTCGTGGGGGTAATCAGCAGGCCATGGCCGCTTGATGAACTCCGCCTGGGCCGCTGGCCGGCCGCGATATTGCTTTTTGGGGGGCCGCCACGCCCTCGTGGATCACATCACGCCACATGGGGTGGCAGGCACGACTTCAAAAACGTCGCGGACTTTTGCAGATTCAAAGCACTCCTGTACCTACCACGGTAGCCAGCCCCGGCGGTATGGGGCCGATGCGGGCGTCCCGGAATGGTACCGAAAAACGGAAAAAATCTGGCCAAGCAAGAGCATCACGACAATTTTTAGCCTCACGAGCCTGGCGCGCTTTTTCTTTATTATGTTTTCACTTTTCACTGCCACACCTATTCAAGAGCTTCCGGGGCTTAGAAAACGGCGAGAAGGCAGCCGCTTTTGCGACCTCCACCAAAAGTGAGCAAGAGTGAAGGTCTTTGTACCATGCGCACTCACGCTCTTTTGTTTTTTGCGCCACTTTTTGGGCGCCCCTAACCGCCAGAAGCCAGAGCGGTGGGCGCCGCAGACAGGCGCCACCTTTGCCGGCTCCTCTGCGCCGTTTTATCAAGCAGCGACGGATAGAATGCGGCGGCGATTCGGTGCCAACACAGGCCAAACCATTCGGAAACTGCGATGCTTTTATGTGGAAAAACAGTTCCTGTCGCTTGAAAATGCCGGTCGTTTTGCGCGGGGCACGTCAAAAAAACTGCAAGGTTAGAACCAACCGTTCGGTGACCTCACTACATAAATCTGATGAGTCCCGGCCGCCTTGTGAAGCGCAAGGGCCTGCTGAACAGCTAAAGTAAAAAAATTACGCGTCTACGGCCGAACAAGACGAATTCGATTTTTTCCATATTCAAATTCATATCAAAGATTTTTCATCACATCGAAACAGCGAACCACCTGTGGACGAGCCTTTCTTCGATTTCCGCGTGAAACAAATACGATGACATACAGCAATTTAAATTTATTAAGTATAGCCATAGAGGCGCGTCACAAAAACAAATAAAGCTAGAGCCACGATAAAGCAGATGCGACGATGGACCGAACAGAGACAACAAGTTCCCAGACAGCGGGAGTACCAAACATCAATCACTGGCTTTTCAAGTCGGTGGGAAATGGACGATACGAGAACGACAGGCCCTGCTGCGATATCTATGTAAAGAACGAAAATACTCCGGGGTGGTGAGAAGTGGGACGGCCACAACTCGTCAAAATTTGTTGCCCCGCTCTAAATACAATGCGAAGTACGACTCACCGACATGCCATCTTCAGCAGGAGACCGAAACGAAACTACGAAGAACTTTTTTGAAGTGTTTCGCGGCCGGGAAATCAAAAAAACAATACGAATACATACGAAGAATGTGGTCGTGCAATATTCTTCCCGCCGTCGTTTTTTTGGCGGCCCTGTCTGGTGGGCGCCCACCTTCGCTAGAATCTGAGGCGGTGGGCGCCTCAGAAGGGCGCCGCGTTTCCCTGCCGGCTCTTCTGCAGGCGATAAACGTAAATGATCTCAACTCGACGAAATTTCATCAGAGCCGACTTTGAATATTTAAAGAGAAAGGGACGCTGTGAAGCCTAGAAATCAACGGACTCCGCTCGGGCGAGGTCGTTTAAGGTTTCCCGGGAAACCTTCGGGCTAGCTCGTGCTAAAGTGTGTTGCAATGCAACCGAAAACGCGGCGCGCGCATGGACTCCGCTGCTGTTTGTGTACACAACCGCGCCGCGTCTGTGTTGGCGTCTCGTGTGCTTAAATCGCCACAGTCGGCTGCGGATTGCGAGCAACCTGGCGGCCCCGGCAAACCGGCGCACATTTCCCGCGGCATTTGCCTCGCGGATTTTCTGGCCCAATTTGGTCCGCCTCGGAGGGCCTTCCCCCGATGCTGCGGCCTCGATTTCGGGAGAGGATTCCACAGAGGACTCCAAAACGCTCTCCGGAATCCTCTGGCCCAAGTTGAGCCGTCTTTGTCTTTCGCGCCCTTTCCCCGACGGCACTGCCTCGATTTCGGGGGGGGATTCCACAGAGGATTCCGGAGAGGCTTCCAAAATCCTCTCCGGAATCCTCTGGCCCAAGTTGCGCCGTCTTTCGTCCCCTTTCCCCGACGGCACTGCCTCGATTTCGGGAGAGGATTCCAGAGAAGATTCCGGAGAGGATTCCAAAATCCTCTCCGGAATCCTCTGGCCCAAGTTGAGCCGTCTTTCGCGGGCGCCCTTCCCCCGACGGCACTGCCTCGATTTCGGGAGAGGATTCCGCAGAGGATTCCAAAATCCTCTCCGGAATCCTCTGACCGGATTCGCGCCGTCCTTCGCGGTCTTTCCCCGGCGGCACAGCGTCGATTTCGGGAGGGGATTCCGGAGAGGATTCCTCCGGAGACTCCAAAATCCTCTCCGGAATCCCCTGGCCCAATTTGTGTCGCCTTTTGCGCCCTTTCCCCCGTGGTACACACTACCTCAGCCGGGCGGATTGCCCCGGGAAGAGTCGGGGCGGACCCCCCGAAGCGAGGGCGGACCCCCCGGGGAGCGGGCGGACCCCCCGGAGAACGGGCGGATCTTCCGGAGAGCGGGCGGATCCCCCGGGGAGCGGGTGGATCCCCGGGGGCGCGGGCGGATCCCCCGGGTGGATCCCCGGGGGCGCGCCGGCCGCTCTGATGCGGCGCCACGGGCACCGCGGCAAACCGGCGCACATTTTGGAAGATTTTGGAACGCACTCGAGTGCAGGGCATCGCGGCAAACCGGCGCACATTCTCTCGGTTCTCAAGGCCTCGGGTGGTTGTGCGAACGGCTCTTGTTTCTGTGTGGTTGTCGCATCTCGACTCTTTGGCTGTCAAGTTGTCTAGCTGCTGCTGTGCTGTGCCGGTTGTCAAAACCAGCACAACCACCGCACAGGCTGGCAACTTGTAAGAACCAAGCCGAAGCAAGAAATGTGCGCCGGTTTGCCGGTGCCCGTGCTCACCGCCAACGCGGCAAGGGCGGGGACCCCCAAGGCCGGAGCCTCTGGCGCAAGGGCGCACCCGCCCCGGGCAGCCCGGGTGCCTGTCGGGGAGGGAGTGAAGCCCCGCAAGGCCGACGCACTCCGAAGGGCTAGCACGAATATCGGATCCCCCCTGGCAAGGGGAGATCCCCGGAGGCTGGAGCGAACTCACCGGGGCGAGGGCGGATCCCCCGAACTGAGGAGGACCCACCCAAAGAAAGTTCGTAGGCTTCCTTGACCCCCGGGCAAAGGTGCGACCCAGGGCGCGCGGATCCGCGGGAGGCGGACCGGCCCTCCGGGGCGAGGGCGGATCCCCCGAAGACCAGGCGGATCCACCGAGGTGAGGGCGGATCCCCCGGGCGAGGGCGGATCCCCCGAAGAGCCGGCGGACCCCCCGGGGCGCGGGCGGATCCCCCGGAAAGCAGGCGGACCCCCCTCAGAATAGGCGGATCCCCGGGGGGCGGGTGGATCCCCCGGAAAGCAGGCGGACCCCCGGGGGGCGGGTGGATCCCCCGGAGAACAGGTGGATCCCGCGGGAAGCCGGTGGATCCCCTGGGCGAAGGCGGATCCCCGGGGAACAACGGGCGGACCCCCGGGAAGCGGGCGGACCCCCGAGTAGCAGGCGGATCCCCCGGGCGAAGGCGGATCCCCGGGGAACGGGCGGATCCTCGGGGGGCGGGCGGATCCCCTGGGCGAAGGCGGATCCCCGGGAAGCGGGCGGATCCCCGAGTAACGGGCGGATCCCCTGCACGAAGCCGGATCCCCGGGAAGCGGGCGGATCCCCGAGTAAGAGGCGGATCCCCTGCACGAAGCCGGATTCCCGGGGAACGGGCGGGCTCCTGGGCGAAGGCGGATCCCCGAGTAACGGGCGGATCCCCTGGGCGAAGGCGGATCCCCGGGGAGCGGGCGGATCCCCGGGCAACGAGCGGATCCCCGGGGAACGGGCGGATCCCCCAAAAAAAATCCACAAATCGAAATCGCGACGCTATGCTTATTTTTTCCCCCCATTCTAAACACAAGAAAACCACGCTGCCGTCGTGATTCGTTGGTTTAGGTCTCACCAGAGCGTCAGGGTCTCTATTTAAAAACAATATCGCTTAGATATTGTTGTTTTTCACTCGCAGGGGAAAAAATTCTAATTTATTTATATTGAAGACTAAAATCCCAAAGGGAAGTTTGAAAATAAGCACTGTAGCATAGCGAACTGAGATTATTTGCGCAAGCACATCCTGTGGAGAGTTTTTTGAAAATGAAGAAGGAGGCGACTGCGTGAGTGTCCCTAGCTCGAAATGGACGCTGCGCGAATGGGAATGTGGATATATATTTATATTGAACTTGGATGGAAATAAATATACTTAATAAATGAATTCATACTTATGATATGTTTGTGGCATTCGTAAAATGGTGCGGCAGCTAATAACTTATCACAGTTCCACCAACGTGGCTTCTTCTGACGTCGCCGCCTCACGAACAGCACCGCCAGTGAAGTAGTTCCATAGACTACAGTGGAAATTTCTCAAAACACAAAGACCCGGAAACAAGACTCCAAGTAGTACAAACGCACCAAGTAAAATGCCAAGCGTAGGAACGTTCACACCGATCCACACGGAAGCACCAATGCCGAAAATTGCCCTTAAGGTAGCATCGCAAGCCTTTCGGCGTGGGGTGCTTTCCGGTAGTTCACCAGAACCTTGTCCTCCATTACAACAGCACCATGCTAAGGCCTCGCATGGACAGCACCAGCATGTGTCCGCGCTATGGATGGAAAACTGCAAAACGTTTCATACCTATAAAGTACTAGCTAGCACGGTCGGGCACTGTTATGAGCACCATGGCGATCATTCTTGGCATTTTTGGGCGTCCCCACTAGCACGGTCGGACCGTGCTAGAAAAGCAACCAGCCGCGTGCTAGTAGTGCCTATGTGGGCGAAAAAGTGAATATATATCCAAAAAGTGGGCCGCATATTTTCCGGCTTCGAAATATGCGGCCCTTTTTTTGGATATATATTCACTTTTTCGCCCACATAGGCACTACTAGCACGCGGCTGGCTGCTTTTCTAGCACGGTCCGACCGTGCTAGCGGGGACGCCACAAAATGCGAAGAATGACCGTAATCGTGCTCATAACAGTGCCCGGCCGTGCTAGCTAGTACTTTATAGGTATGAAACTTTTCTACATTTTCCATCCCTAGTCCGCGCAGAGATATTCTCGCAGCATGCATTGGGGACCACAGCAGGCTTTTTTACTATGTTCTGCCGCCTCAGTCTGAAACCAGCGATTGCACGCGGTCATCTCAGCACAACATTCGCCACACATCGCACGACACGAACATGAGCTCTTCGAGAGGCCCGGATCGTCATCACCGATGCGCTCGAGGAGCCATGCGTCCTGTTCGTCGGTGCTTTTGTTTGAATTTTCAGACGCTTTTCTATAGCGCGCCTTGGTCGTCTCATCTCCTCCGCAACATGTTTTGCAGCACGTACAGCAGCAACAACATGGCAACGAATAATTTGTGCAAAAGCGCGCCGTGCGGTGACAACAACCCACTCCCACTTCCATTTTTTGCGTGATGCCCCTGCCCGCGATCGTTATTAACCTTGCTTGTTTATGTGGTGTCCCCTGCGAAGGCGTGGCTGCGTCAGCGCCAAGTACACACATGGGCAGTGTGCTGGCATGATTCTTATTCGCTGGCGGCAAGTGAACAAGCTCAAATGTGCCGCCCAAGATGGCGCACGAGGGAACTTGGCCTGCGTCTTGGTGTATCGCGAGTACGTACTCCCGGCGCGGCAGGCTCTGCATGTGATTGTACACATACTCGACTCTTTCCACTAGCTTGCCCAGGAGGGCCTGCTTTTCCTCTATTGAATTTTTGCCGATGATGGTAGGCCCAGTCCCAGAGTTGCCCTTGCCGCGGCTAATGCTAATATCATTAACAAGGGACTGCATCTGAGATTCGAGCTTTTCTAGATGGGTTGCAAGGAAGCTTCTCTGTTCTCTAATCAGGTCTTGCAATGAAATCCGCTCCTGCGCCATCATGTCGCTGTACGACTGCGGCGACTGGCTTCCACTTGGTTGTGACGGCTTGTGTTCGGTTCTTGTTTCTTTCTCTAGCATCGGCTGGATGCCCGCTTTAGCGTCGGCTAGACGCGCTCCGGCCCAGGCCCTAACATCCTCCAGATGCTCCCAGTTGCTCCTTGGTCGCGTCGTATCATGCCCAGAATCTGCCTCAAAATCTGCCTCAAAATTTTCAACTGCGAAACCAATGCCAGGGCCAAATTAAGCGAAAGAGCGCTGCTGCGGGGGCTTCTCTTTAGTCTCTGCAAGAGCCCCAGCGCGGCCCTTCGTTCTAAAAGGGTCGGGGCGCGAATGCACACCGAAACACGCCGCCCCTTTGTGCTACCAGCCGAAGGCTGGGGGATCCCAAAACGCAACAGGGGCATTGGTTGCTGCCGCCCCACGAAAGCGCCGACACACGATAACGGTGCCCCAACCTGCCATATTCCGGGGCCGGGGGGGCGCCGCGGTCCCTCTGCGTGACGCTTCGGGTGTGAGCGGGCTACCGAAATACCCTTGCCATGTGTGAATCAATTGCCGCGCCGGCGGTAAGGCTGCGCGCAGCTACAGGGCCGGGCGCCTGATTTGACCGGCGCGGGCGCGGGCCACGCGCCCGCGCCCAGCCATTCTTGAGGCAAAGGCAAAGCAGCTTGTAACTTTTGCCGGGGCGGTACAAAATTCGCTCGGCGTGGCCGAAGGTAAGGCGAACGCGTAGCCGGCCACGCCATCTGCCCTCTCTGCAGGTAATGCAGAATCGGCCGCAAAACACTGCCGGCCGCAAAAAATTTTTGGTGGCTCGAAAACTGCCGCAAAATCGCCCGCCAAAAATTTCTCCTTCTCCGAAAGCCTGCCAAAAAATCGACCGCCAAAACTGCCGCAAAAAATTTTTGGCGAGCCGAAAAACTGCTGCGAAAAACTGCCGCAAAATTTTTACAGTGGATTTGGGATTGTTTTTGCGTTTTCGGATTTTAAGGCAGTTTTTGCGGGTGATTTTGCGGGCGATTTTTGCAGCGCCAAAATTTTTTTTGCGGGCGTTTTTGCAGCGGATTTTGCGGCCGTTTTCGTGACCTGGATTTTCTGTTTGGGCAGAACCTTGCGGGGGCTTTGTCGCGCATTTTCCGGAATCGGAGGTCGGGTTCTCCGCGAGATTTAAAAAAAAAAAAATCTTTTTGGCGGATTTCGCGAAGCCTCCCTGTGAGCCTGGGCGCCGCGACAGATTTCCCGCGGGCGACGCGGCAGAACCTTGGCACGGTCGTCGCACCTCCGCACGAAGCGTGCGTGAGTCCGAGCGTACCCTGATCCAAGAGACGGCATTCGCGAAGGGGAGCGCGCCTCGTTCTTGGCGCGGCCTGCAAAATTGGAAAGGCCGTAAGGCCTATCTTCTGGGCAGCCGACGGAAGGCTGGCAATGGAGGGAAGTGCTGCCGAGCCTCGGGCGCTGGGTCTGGTCGCGTTCTCCTGTTGCAGAGAGGCAGCGGCAACAAAGTCGGGAGGAGGGGACGGCGCGAGGGTCTGCTACGCAGTCCTCCCGGGCGCAAATGCCGGCTGTTGCGCGCACTGCGCGGCGCGCGTCGTGCACTACGCAAAGACAACATGGCGCATTCTTATCTTTCGAACAATGGCAGTCAAAAATTATGTGGCAGATTGTGAGGCATTTTTTGCGGCTCATATGGTCCCGGAGGCAATAGACTAGCGTGAGCCCGATACTCCTGAGGTGATGATGAATATGAAAAACTTCTTTTTTCTTGTATCTGGGTGAAGGACATGGACATTTCTTGTGTCCTCTGCTGGGGCGGCAGCGCGAGGACGTCGGAGGTGGCATTGTTAGTAACGTAATCTGCCAAAGACTGGGGTCCTCGGCCTCGTTGTTCCTCTTTCGAAAAATACAGGCTCGTCCCATTTTGTGGTGACGACGCGCGCTGCAGCCAAGAGGACGCTGTCGAAAGTGCAACCGTGCGGCTTTGATGTGCGCTGCATGTTCCACGCTGGGAAATTTGTTCCTGTAGTTGCTTTTGGAAGATATCCTGCACACGTGCTACCTCTTCCAACCCCTTCTCGAGCGGCTCCACGTCTTCATCTTGCGGCTCGCCATCTTTCGGGAGAGCTTGCGCCACGCTGCGAAACTGGTTAATCACTGCATTTTTTACCGCAAGCACAGCCTTTAAAGTCCCGCTGTGCCTCAATGGCGCAATAACGGGAGACAGGTCAGGAACTCTTTGTTGGCCAGGATCCGTGCTAGGAAGAGAGTTACTGATCTCCGCCAGCCCAATCCCCCTGCTGGTACCTCCTTCCTCGCCTGCCGCTGAGTCGTCCTTGATCTGTATTTTTACTGGGTGATGCACGTGCAATACGGCATCAAGGAGGCGAAGAAAATGCCACACAAACACGCGGAGGGGGGCAGGTCGCTGTAGTTCAGGTTGCCCGTGTCCGGTGATAGTCGAGAAGAAGACTTCAGCATCCACCCGTCGGGCCTGGAGACCTTTCCCCGCCTGGTGGCGGAGCACAGGCTCGCTCGGACTCCGTTCTTCTTGCGACGAGATGCCGCTGTGGAGCTGGTTTTCCGCCAAGTCAGGATGGATAATGTAATTTTTCTGGATCGGATAGACACGAAGTGGCCCGCTTCCTGTCGTACCACGCTGGCTCGTCCCGTCCCCGGTGTAGCTGCTCAAGCCCTTTGTAGCGAACTGTTGCAGCATGCCAACGAAAAACTTCAAATGGGACGCAGTCTTCTGCTTTCGTTCCTCGTACAAAGCGGGAGTGCCTCCAGGCCCTCCGCTCTCGCTATCCTCATGAGTGACTTTTGCGCCGGCCGTCTTTGGTGATGGTGGTGGCGCCGTTTTTTCACCAGGGACACTTTTTTCAAGTTCGATGTCGTAGGACGCACGGGTGAACACATCAGCAAACTCGTCAAGAAGTAGATCGCTCAGGCCTGACAGCTGAAGCGAGGTACTCGACGCGTCCTTGACAACTTCAGCCCCGATCTTCACAGCGTCCGCCTGGGTGCGGGGGCTGGACGCTGAAGAGATTTTTATTTTCTTTATTTGCTCGACCCCATTTCCTGCTCCGCCTCGTTCCACCCAAACAGGGGCGCGCTCATCAAACGTCATGTATTGGGTTGACGTTTCGCTTTCGTGGAGAAGCACGGTGAAACTCTTGGTCCCGCCGCTCTCCACCCCGCCCTCAGAATGATCAGGAAGCCGGACCTGCTCCAGAGTCACGAGCTTCTTGTTCAGCGGCGGTATCTCCGTCTGCTGCCCTTGTGTTCCGACACCGGCTCCTCCGTAGTTCTTTTGTGCGCTATTATCACCGAAACCGTCGACACTGGCGACATGATCAACGACATTTGTGACCTTGTACAGGACGCCTAGTTCACACGGCGGTGGATCCTTACCAGCAAGCACCTCGACTTCCTGCAGCAGGGTGATCCAAGTGCCCGCATTCAACTTCTCGCTTTTAATCGGGACAGACAGGTCCGTAATCAATTTCTCAAGTGGCCCGACATTCGCCTTGCCATCCTCGGCATTGTCATTGACATTGGTCGTGGACGTGAAACTCGTGGCGGCGTCGCGCAATCCCTTCACGGCCTGCAAGATTTCCTCAGGAAATTCATGCTGCGTGCCCGCATCTGTATCCGCCTTCGGAGCCAGTGCTTCCACTAATTTTTTGATTTTCTTTTTCATCGAATTCATATTGTCCATCTGCTGTCCCTGTTCCTCCTGTTTAATCCCGTGCTCGCCTTGGCCCTGGTTGACATGGGTAGCTTCTGCTTCTTGCTCGGTTTGTTTTTCATTTTCAACTTTTGATTTTCTTTTTCCTAATTCTTTCACCAGCTGCTGTAGCAGCGTCTCCATTGCTTGTACCTCCTTGGGTTTCGCCAACTCGTCCTGCTGCTGGGTGCTATCAGCATTCTGTTTTTGTATCAAAGATGGATCGGACATCAAATCAGCCGCCGCGTCAAAAATGTGACGAAGTTGGTTCTTGTTGGTTCGGGTTTCGTCTTGGGAAAAAAAACCCATGGCGGCGGCATGCTTGGAAAGTATGTACGCCCAATCGTGCAGGATCAGGGTGTCTTGCAATGTGACACCGAGCGCCTGCATAAACTGTTCTCCCAAACCCATCAGAAAGAGAGGAGTTTCGGTCAGTGGCTTTTGCCCCGCTTGTCCTTCAGCACTGCTCGTCGTCGTGGATCCCCATAAAGTAGCTTCCGCTTTCTGCCACTCTGGACTGTCGGCCCATGCAGCCGTCTGCTGCTTCTTCAACCACGCCGAAAAGCCTTCATCTTTTCGCCACACGTCGTAAAGGTTGTCGGCCTTGGCAGGAAAACTGGAGGGACGAGAAGCGTTTGTCACCATTTGCCAAAAACGCAAGTTCAGGTACAGGTTCCTTTTAAAACCTTGCTCCTGAAGCTGCCACCAATTCGGCGCAGTATTCTCGGGTGTGGCATGATTGGTAGTAGGGCTACCGTTACTGCTAGGCGTAATACCCTCCAACATCCTCTTCCTCATCCACTGAAGGTAAGAGGGGAACTTGTTAGATGCTTCATCTTCATTTCCGTCATCTGTTCGCTCGAGAAAATCCTGCGCCCCCTCGTCCAGCGAGTCGGAGCTGAGAGCCCTCTCGAGCGCGAGAATAGCGTTTTGAGCCGCTTCGAGGTCATCAGGATCGGCCGCCCCGGCGTTTGGAGGTTGCTCACCTGCAGTGGGTTTTTTCTTTGTATTATCACCTTGAACTTCCTCAACCTGCTGTACTTCCTGTCGCTGTCGCTTTTTCTTCTGCAACCCTTCCCAGAACTGGCGTTGAATCATCGACTCGGGCGGTCCGCGTGGTGAAGCAGGAGACGGTGAAGCACCCTCGCTGCCCTTGGAAGCTCTGCGCGGCTTGGAACCACCACGCGCGCGGCCATTGCCTGCACTTCCATCATCTCGCGGTTCCGGTTGGTCAAGTTCATGATCTGGACTACTTGCGGCTTGCTTTTTCCTCCTACGAACGAGTGCGGGATCATCGGCTTCATCCCCGTACTTCCCTGTTTCGCGGGTTGCCTTCTGCCTCCCCCGTCCTTGATGTTCCATGTAGGATTGTGGCGTAGCTGCAGTAGTTTTGCTGGAAACATCTTCCGCGTGGTCAGGGTCCCGCGTCTTTCTCTTTCGTGTCTCGTCAACACGGGTCGTCGACATCTTCGGCGGGAAGCTCTTAGTTTTCGACTCGTCGATAAACTCGTAGGTGTCCTCGAGGACCCGGTGAGTATGCATTGCAAATTATGTGTCTGGGTCTGGAATGCGTGTCTTGCATTCGCATTCGCATTGCGATTGCTGAGAAATTTGTTTTGCATGAGAGGCTGAACTTTATTTGTCGTGCAAGAACGGAATTTCAATTTGTAAAAATAAATGCGTGCTAGGGGGATGAGAAGAAAATCAAAATTTGTCATGCTTGGCTGCCATTGCAAGCGCAATTGAACAACTCAGTATCCGCAATTCAGCATCACAGGTTTATTCCAGAGACCGACATATTTGCAGTTGATAGTCAGAATGGTCCGGCAAAAATTCGGACTTGTCGGAGAACGGAGGAGCTGGAGCAGAGGTCGGAAACCCATCGTGCTTTCTATGAGAGTGCACAACTGTCCATCCGACTATCCCCCGCCTCATTGTCATTTGTAGGGCAAGCAAGGGCATAAACAAAAATACAAATCATGCTTGCGTCGGGCTGGCTCGGGCTCGGCTGCTGGTTTCGCATGACAAATTCGCATAGGATTACACATAGTACTGTTTCTTTGGATGCCAGAACGACCTGGTGTTGCGCAAACAGTGCTAGCGCTAGGAGGTAAAGATATCACATTTTCACGCAAGTACAAATTATAGCCACATACTGTATAATATACAGTATGTGGGCTCGAGGAGGAGAAAGACGAAGAGTTGTGCTGCGCTCTCATACTTTTTCTCCGATTCTTGCACGTGGATCGCCACGCTGGGTGTCTGCACCAGCGTAAAGGACGACATGGCTGTGGTCACCGAGCAACACCAGGAATTACAGGAGGAGCAGCCAGTACAACGACCACACGGCCCGTTCTTGCAAGGATCCTGGTCCTTCCGCCCTGTTGGTACCTGATCCATGATGTAATTTGGGTAGAATTTGCTATATCGTGGCGCGAACGCAAACTTCTTCCCAAATCCCCAGAGCGCTGGCGCCCCTCGACGGCTGCCAGCTTTACTCTGTATGCTCTCAAAAGGTCACACCCTTCACAGTGGTGGAACTCCGGCTCTGTATAAGTAAAGGCGTATCTGCGCTGCTTCGCAGCGTCTTGTGTACTACTACTAGATACAGCAGCGAGGCGTGCAGCAGGGACCGCGCCGCGACGTCCGCGCCACACAGGTGGCTGCGGGCGTCGCACTTGTCCGCCCACAGACGTGGGTCGAACCGTGCTCCAGCACTGCGACGAGAGGTCGCAGAGCCGGGCGCAACAGAGGCTGCAACAAGTCCCGGACCCTCCCCAACAGAGGTCGCTAGCGGGCAGTGGCGGGCCACCACGTCGCCGGAGAGAGGGGCTGCGAGCCTGCTAGATTCTACATATTAGCGTCATAGACGTCAGGATGTCGATGTGCCTTGCTAGTGTGGGAACATAAAAAAGGGTGAGCAACAAGCCGCGCGTGCTTCTCTAGCATGCGCGCGTCATCTTCGCCTCCCTCTCCAGGTCGTACATGGATATCGGCGTGGGCATTGGCTGCGTGTCTGCTGCGCTCCTGCGGTGTCATCCATTTTTGTAGGCAAGGGCTGGCCACGGGAGAACAAAAATGGCACCACAGAGGTGGCTAGCCCATTCCGGCCCTCACGAGGTTCGCGCTGGTGCTGCGCGACCTAGTCCTATTTGTGACGCCTAGAATGTGATGTGGCGAGTGCGTTGCTTAGATTGAGAATGAGTTAGGTACCTTGTGGGCGGCAGGAGCGCACGGCGCACGATTCCTCGCCGAACTTGCCGAGCGGTCGGCTGCACCTCGTCGGCCCCCCGCCGGCCTGGTCGGTTGCGCCATTGACATTGTCCTCGTTGTCGATGTTCTTCCAACTGGCGTGACAGGAGGAGCGACCCGATGTAGTCGAAGAGATGTTGAAGCTGACGTGCGTGGTCGTGGTCGTTGCAGTGCAGATGAACTCCTCCTTTTCGTGTAGTTTTTGTGCAGCTGTATCTGCGGAAACCTAGTTGTAGGTCTTGAGTGAGATGTTATTGAACGTGGTCGTGGAAGAGTATTGGCACTATTCCTACGTATACGCCGTCTACCCTGCTATCTATCAGTCAAGGTAAAAATCTTGCTAGTAAATGTAAAGCTTCTTAAAAATGGGCTTTTTCTAAAAAAACGGTACAAACTTGGAAAATACATAACAAAAAAAAAGACAAAGCGAAGTGAATCCTTGGGAAGGACCACAGATTGAGATTACTTCTTGAGAATGGGGACAGGGTACTGGGTAAGGTAAAGATTGAAATTGTCAAAGACCTAAATGAAAATCAAAATTCTAACTCAAGGGCTCTTGCAGTATATCTCATCAAACGATCACGAGTCGCAGATGAACGAAACCGAGGACGACATCACAACTTCAACTTCTTCATCATTCGCGACATTTTCCACAACGAAAGCAAACCTTCGGGGGGCGCTCGCTACATCAAAAATCATAAACATTTCTACAAGACGAACAAATACAAAGATGAACCAGATGCTGTTCAATGCTACGCCTGAGCTTGTTCCGCCGCCGTCGGTTTTTGCAATGTGGATTGCAACTGCAACAGATGTAGATTTATTTTGCCACACCAAACCGTTTCTTGAGCTGTGGACATGGCTGCTGCTGTTTCTTGACGAACGAGACGAAGTTGTAAATCACCGAAAAGAAACGATGTTTCAAGTGGACGAAAACGAATATTGCGAGGACGTAATCCATCAAGCTGTCTTCTCGAGAGGACCAATGTACGAAACCGACAGTAGACTGACACGTAGTAGGTACCGACATGTGTTTATACTAACGCAGCGCGCCGATGGTGCGGCTGGCCTTCCTGAAGTTGTACGGATGCAGGAGAAGGAGTCCTGCCTCGTGCTGGAGCTGGTGTCGTCGAGAAGTACATGCATATAAATAAGATACATAAACAAAATCTCTGTTCTGCCGATCCAGAGTGATCGAATTGGAACCTCAATTTCAACGACAACGATTTCTTTCTTGAACGAGACTGAGACGCAAGTCGTATCAGAATTAGAATTACAGTTCGGGCGTGACCACGATTGTTGTAGCGCCATTTTCACTCGGAAAACACCCAGCAGAGACATCATGCCTTGTTACACAGGCCAGCATACCCCGCCAGTTGACTACTTGCACTTCTCCACAGCCGCCGCGCCTCAAAAAACGAACTGGCTGTCGTCTCTCTCTTCCGTATCCATCCTTTCGCGAAGAAATAAGGCAATGAGCACAAAATTGCGTTGCGTTGGTCATTGAAATTAAATAAATTGCGTCATACCAACAAATAATAAGTAAAAGCACCTAATTGCAATTCAACAAAGTAACAGTTCGCTCTTGCAATTGCTCGACTTTGCTATGCACACTTCTGTAGTACTCTAATTTTTATTAAGGCAGAAGAAGTAGTTCTTGTAGTTCGCCAGCATCAAAGACACCAAATTGATACACATCTCGCACGCATGGTGCGGGTGAAAAAAGAGAAGCTCAAAAGTAAAGGCGAAGGAGAATGAAGGTCTGCGCACGAAAAAAAAAGCTCTTGAATACAAGTTCAATCAGAACTTCCGCTGCTTACAGACCTATCATGTATGGGCGGGAAAGTCTGTAAACAACATTAGCTAAGAAAGATACTTGCGCATACAACTGGTACTTACTGATTATTCCTGTTACAGAGCACCAGCAGGAGGGGAAGCGTATTTCTAACTTCGCTGACGAGGACTATATATTTTTTTCTAGGAAAGAAAAGAATTAGAATTGAGGTTCTTGTTGTTGATCTTTTCAGTAGAGCTGTGAAGTTCAGCAAAAATTTTCCGCCCGACCGCTATAGACAAGAAATGAAAACGGAACGGGCAGAAAAGTCTTGATATCTAATTGGTGGACATCCTCGACAGATAGACATGCCACCGCCAGAGACAGATGTCTTCTGCTATAACAGATGTAGAGTCATCTGATGACTCTGCTGGCCGTTGCGATTAACTATGATAAATATCATGCCGGACAGGAAGTTACCGGCTCATTTTGCGGATCGATTTGCATCGGGAGTAGCTGCATGAGTCGCAAAGACAAAGTATCCCTAGAACGATCCACGAGGCACCGCAGCACTTTATATATCTATATATCAATAAGAATATAGAACTCGCAACAAAAACGGACACGGCAAAGTAATTCAAAATGGCAAGAACTACTACTCGAGAGGCCGAATAATTATTCAACATCAGCATCAGGTATTTTAGAATTTAATCGCGTCTTTCTCTTTACCTCATCAGAATGCGGTTTTTAGTACTGCACCGCAGACGACATGAGTTGCAGAGACGAAGTGTGAAGAAAAGTTCGCGTTGTCGTGAATTCATCACGCGTTGTACTATTTGTAAGTATACCATGCTACTTCCCCACGACAGCACCATGGCCGTGCTCTCCTGACCGTTGTGCCTGCGTCGGCTGCCGCGGTCTTTTCCGCTCGATACCCTGGTGGACTGCAGACGTGCTGGATGAGCTATCAAATGCAAAAACGTCTGGGTCTGGAAGATTGCGAGATTTGTCATGCTTGTCTGGCATAACCAAAAAGTTTCTGATGCGTGTCCAAGAATGAATGAATGAATGAGTGACGCCCCCTGACGCACCTCGCCGATCCGATCGCTTCACCAGTTCTTTTTTTCCTGGACTGCCACGAATGCAAAACACAGCCAGCTTGTCACGCATACATACTAACCAGCAAGCGATTTCCTGTCATGCAAAAACGCAGTTTGTCATGCCGCGAAAAACGCATATACAAAGAAGGGCAGATCATATTTCTCATGCTTGGCCATGCATTACTTACAGAGGAGCATTCACTATCACTACTCCCAACGCAGCATTACAAGTTTCCAGACCCACACATATTTGCAGTTGATATGAACCAGCCGCGCGCAACTTCGCGTCGATTTCGTCCTTCGAAGAGCTGCTCGACGCAGTGGTACTTTTCGTCGTCGTGCTAGACGTGGGAAACAAATTCGGCGCGGTCACGATGTTCGGATACGGGTCCACTTTTTTCGGCCGGTCGTCCATCTTGTGCAGCGTGATCGTGATGTCGCTGGTATCGATGATGGTCTTTTCCAGAATCGCCCGTGGGGGCTCCTCCCGCTTAATATTTTGCGACTTCTGCGGGGGAACCACGCCGCGCGTAGTGCCATTTGTTTTTGTAGTACTCGAGTTACCAACCACGCCACTGGCAGTCGTGTTCATCTTCATTTGATGCGTACCATGATGCCTCTTGGCGCTCGGCCTAGAATCCTCGTCGTCATCATCTTCGCTCTCCTCCTCCGAAGAAGATTCGGATTCGTATCCCTCGTCATCCGAGTGTGGCGCTCTCAAGCGTTACGCTCTCAACTGTTGCATGATTTTTTGTCATGCAAAATTGCCTTCAGAGTCGACACCATCAGGCTGCTTCGCGTGACAAATTCTCAGAGGGCCAACCAGGCTGACAATCGGCGCCAAATCTGTCATGCAAGACGCGCAAGATCAGCCCTATCACTTTTGCCATTCTTGCGTCATAAATTCATGTAACAGTTGAGAATGTAACGTTTGAGAACTCCATACCGAAACCTCCATGATCAGAGCGCCGTCTTTGTCCGTCATGTCTTGCAACCTCTTCTGGAACGCTTCGACTTCACCTGGAGAGGCGTAGTTTATCTTTATTGGTAGTGCCATGTTTTTCCGATTTCTGTATATGTTCCGCTGTTGAAGTACTTCAATTCAATTCTTTTTTATCACAACCAAGACCTACTAGTTGTAGATGACACTAGCAGAAATTCAAATTATAAGCTGCACACTACAAAAAAAGAATGATATATGAATATGATTTCCCCTACTTACGGCTCATGTGCTCCAGCACCGCGGGTGGCGGCAACGCCGGCGGGGGCCAGGGCAAGCTGGGGTGCGGCAGCGGCGGCTTCTGCTGTTCGTAGTGGTACTTGGCCATGTAGTATGAACTGCAAACATGTCTGGGTCTGGAAGGGTCGGGGCTTATCAAGCACATTTTGCATGACCGGTCAGGTCTGTGATGCTGGTGCTAGCATCACAGATTTTTTGAGAGCTTCTTGATGCTAGTTACGCATGACAAAAGCCCTCTCCGCGTGCCAAGAACTGACTCCTCTTGCTGCTCATGCAACACAGGACCTGTGTTGCATGAGCAGCATTACAAGTTCCGCCACTCTTCCAGACCCAGACAGATTTGCATTTGATATGTAGCTGCGCTGCGCCCGAATGTACTGCCACCCAATGTACGCCCCCGCGAAGCTGATAATCGGCACGGAAATCTGGACCAAGTGCGCGACGTTGACGGCGAGGGGCAAGGCCTTGGAGATCACGGGAAAGTTGCCGAGGAGAAGATTCTGAATGAAATCCACGGTCCCGACGGTGCCGTTGATGAACGTGATCAGAATGTAGGTCTTTAGCCTGATAATTATAATAATAGTGAAACGACTTTGCCCTCCCCCTTTGCTATAATCTATAGGAGGCACTTAGAAAAATAATTCTAAACGAATGTGCTTAGAAGGTCTCGTCTAGAAGCTTCGTGTAACAGATTCAACGCCTCCCCTGTATCTGTACGCCATACCGTCGCGCAGAGTGTTATGCTGCACGCCCTGGCGAGCCGCAGAACAAAGCCGCGCATCAACTTCAGTGTGATTTTGATACAGAAAGCGTCGACAAGCCCGACTGCCCCTGTTTTCCCGCCCGAAAACAGGGATCAACTCCTCGGCCATCACTTTCCGGCACGGCAAAGGTGATGGCCAAGAGCTCCCCGGCGATCTCTTCGCCTTCGCTCGGGCAAAAGTGATGGGTGGCCGGGAGGAGCTCCTTGGCCATCACTTTTTGACCTTGCTTTTCGCTCGGGCAAAAGTGGTGGCCAGAAGCTCCTCGGCCATCACTTTTTACTCGGGCAAAAGTGAGGGCGGCGAGCTCCTTGGCCATCACTTTCCGGCCGGGCAAGAGTTGGGCCATCGCTTTCCGGTCGAGCAAACGTTGCTTCCTGTCTCCCCGGGCAAAAATGGCGGCCAGGAGCTCCTTGGCCGTCAATGACCTTCCGCTCGGGCAGGCAAGGTGATGGCCACCCAAAAGCAGCTCCTCGGCCACTACTTTTGGCGGCCATCGCTTTGCTTCCGGTCGGGCAAAAGTGAGGGACGAAAGCTCCTCGGCCATCATTTTCCGATCGGGCAAAAGTGGTGGCCGAGAGCTCCTTGGCCATCACTTTTGGCCATCGCTTTTCGCCCGGGAAAAAGTGACGGACAAGAGCTCCCCGGCCATCATTTTCCGGCCGACCGAGCAAAAGCGCAGCGATCACGTTTGGCCACCACTTTCCGGGCGGGCAAATGTGATGGCCAGAAGCTCGACGGTGCCGTTGATGAACGTGATCAGAATGTAGGTCTTTAGCCTGATAGACGAGACAGTTGTTGTGTTTGTTTTCTTCGTAAGAACATCATGATGTCCGAACCACGACACGGACACTGCGGATAGTTAGGGCACAGGAATTTGAAATGATCCTACAGCTGCTAGAGGAGGTTGATGAGAGCCAAGAAGAACATAACAAACAAGTAATATCAGCATGACGTTGATATACTCGACCACCAGCAGCATTTTTAAAAATACCAGTTCGCCGCGGGTCCCGGGTGTCTCGAGTTGTACCCAAGCGTTGCGAGCATCAAAGCGTAAGCGCCACCAAACACGTCCCCGAGGAAGATCCTGCCCAAGGCGAGACTTCCTTGGCAAAAGGTAACCACGAGCATGCCGTTCTGCTGTGACGACATGGACCTGCAGACAGAGTGTGGAATTGATGAAATTCATCATAGTTTTTTTTTTTTTGAAATCATCGTCAAGAAAGAACTAGACACGCAACCCTTTTCAAATTTTTGCTGTTCCTTATCATACGTTATACCAGTTCTCCGGCATGACCTCCTCCAAATACTCGCCCATTTCCGCCAGCAGTGGATTGGGACAAAATGCCATCGCTACTCCGGCCGCCGGCGCGGCCGCGCCCGCCGCCAGCAAGCCCCCGCTTAGCGGCAAGATGGCCAACATCGACGCACAAATTTGCGACACGTTCGCCCGGGTGGCTGCGTTTAGCGCTCTGTTCACGCTGTTCAGCAGTTGCACACTGTTCAACATCGACATTGTCGTGGGGAACACCTTCAGGTAGTTGCGATCTTCTCGGTCCTCACCGTCGTGCTGCTTGCTGTAGTCTTCATTCTGGTTCGACGACGAGTCCTCGTCGTTTTGTCCTCGGTCCTCCCTGTTCGCGACCTTGTTCATCATACCGATACTCCACTGGGGTCTTCGCGCTGAAAGTGCACCGGGTGAGGGACTGCGCGAGGCGGTAGTGGTCGCGATCGCGTCGCGCGTCGAGCAGGTAGAAGTGGAGCTGCAATCACGCCCGAAAAGACCGGTCCCGCAGGACTTGAAGTTGTTTACGATATTCACCGAGTTGGAACAACTCGCCGAGAGGGCACCATTTGGACTCAACATACCCCCGCACGGTGACCTTGTAGTTGTTGAGCACGATCTTCTCCTGGTGTCTTCCTCCGCAGCCTCAACAGCGTGTGCGTCGTGGTGGTCGCAGTTCATCCGCCTAGAACCGCTAAATCTATTTGTTGTATCGCTGCAAGAGGTAGAGGTTGCAGCGTTAGTACAACTTTCATCTGAGAACGGCGAATAAAACGATCCAGGAGCTGACGAGAAAACTGGTCTCCTAGCGGTGGAGCTACTGCTGTTTCCCGACTCGAAGTTTTTCGTTGAAAATGTCTCGTCGTCCCGCACTCCACCACGACTAGGTGGACTACCACAAGCTGCTGGCCCGCCAGTGCAGGAGCGTCGAGTTGTTCTTCTTGTCGTTGTGAAGTCAAAAGAACCTCGTCCACGACCAGATGAAGGTGGTCCACCTCGTCCTCGTTCTCTTTGTCCTTCCCCTCCTCCGCCCGCGTTGGCGCAGTCTCTACTGGTGCTGGTGATCCAGCGGTCCAGAATTTCTTCTTCTTCCTCCGCCAGCATGATTCCGCAGGACGCGATGGTTCCCGCTGAAATACTGTTGCCACACGAAGCGACGCTCTCACGCTGCTTCGCGGCCTTGCGGTTCCGGACCAGCTCCTCTTCGGAGTCCGAAGAATAGACACCCTCCGCCTCCTCCTCTTCGTAGACATCCTCGCTCAACTCGCCCGCATCCGCGACGCTGGTCGCCGTGTTGTACGAAGTTGTCATTCTGCTCTTCAAGTTGTAAAATCGAAATCCACCGCGACCAGACGCAGACGCCCCGGAACAAGTTGATGTCGTATTTGCAGCAACCACATTTTTTCTTGCCGTGTTCCAGCGGTCCTTCAACAGCAACACCGCATCGCCGAGGGCAGGCGTGGCTCCGCCGCACGAAAAGCGCTGGCGCTTCTTGGAGCTGGACGAGCAGCTTGTGGAGGAGGAGGACGTAGTGGGCTTGTTCTTGGCATACGCATACTCGCGAGGACCTCCGCTCGGTCGTGATGTTGTTCCGAGGTTATTGTTGATGTTCGTATGAACAGCCTTACTACTTCTTCTTGCCGTTGTACTCTGGCTGCCGGTGCTGCTGCTGCACGAACCAGCAACAGTACTCTTCCACTCGTCGCGACCTCCCGGCACTCCAGATGAAGCTGCGAAGTGGTGGTCTATCGGCCTTGAAGGTGCAACTTTCGTGTTTACAACTGCGGATGAAACTACACTCGCGGTGGAGGCACTGTTCCCGCTTGTCGTTACAACTCGTCGCGCACGATCATTTTTAAGCACCTCATGCTGGTTGTAGAGAGAAATCGTGGGTCCTCGACCGCGTTTGTTGTTCGCGTAGTTGTTTTTTATCCTGCTCCGGAGTGGGAGTCCTCCACCTGCTCCCACGGAACTACAGGAAAGCTCCTTCAGATGTTTGCTAGAAGAAGAAGAAGAAGAACCATCACGACCAGTTGGCTCTTCATTCGTGGGTGGAACTACTGCACCGTCGTCCTTGTTGTGCGGCGAGGTAGTTTTTATCTCCCTCGTCCTTGGTCCTGCCGCAGATCCAGATGTGCTTGTAGTTGCAATGGTGGAAGATGTATTTTCAACACTGGAAGTGGAAGGTAGACGAGAGGCAGAAAGTGAAAGGGGTCCTGGGTTCGTCAATGTGGTCCTTCTCCTGTCGCACCCGTCACTGTTGTCCTCCGAGGCAACGTCGCCGAAAACGGTGATTTCTGAGTTGCACTCCTTGTCCTGTTCCACCTCCGCGCCCAGCTTGAGTTGCGCCTCGGGAATCCACTCGAAAAAGGAGCCCCGGCTGGCGTCGGCCATCTTCTTTCAAGTAGTGAGGTTGAAGATGTATTTCCGCAAAGTAAGTTTTGAAGATGCGCTCGTTGTTCCTTCGGGGGGAATGAGAATGAAGAATGAATCCGACAAGTGAACTGCTTCGTACCACTCCAATGCACTGCAGAGATAAGTAGCTCCAACAACAGCAAGCCAATGTCTATCTAAATCTAAAAATCAGCTCTTACAAAAAACGCACGCGCTTGCTTTGGTGAGGGCACACATGAAGAACAAAAACACATTCATAACCACGAAGTGGAACTAGATAGAAGCAAAAGATGAGTTCGGGGACGAGGACCTCAGTTGCAGCACATACAGGACAATCATAGAAGTTGCAAAGCGACACTTCTTCGACTTCAACATTGGCATGCGAAGATTTGCAGCGAACTACAAGAGTACGCACTCATCTACTCAAGAAGCAGGAGGAAACTAACTTACCACCAGGGACGCACTTCTTATTTCCGCATGAACAAAAGAACGAGCTGCTTTGCACTATCTCGCTTTCGTTTCGTCTCTCAATCTCGTCAACGACATGATGAGCAAAACAAGTTGATTTGCTTTAATTCGCATAGTTACTTCTCCAAAAACGAAGATGCCGATATTTTTTTCGTTTTTTCACGCTATTTTGCTATTTGATTTTCATGATCTCGAAGTCGAGTCCACATTTTTTCACTTCAACAACACTCAAAAGCGACTCGAAAGGCGAGGCTGAGGACCAACCGCTGCAATTTGAAGCATCTCATCTATTTTCGAGGGACGGTTTGACGGAAGTTGCAAATTGATAAAAAAAAACGAAACATGTACAGCGACAGTCGTTTTCAGAGTTCTGTACTACTATTCAACATCGCGATCGCCCGCGTCGATTGATGGGCCACATTAGCTCGGCAACCGAAAGAAACAGAACAAGTCCGGAGGTCCGATATTTCAATATCGATTTGTCTTTGTGTTTGTTCATCTTCGTACTTGGCTTATTTCCAAGTTGAGTTCCACGTGCACATCGCCACCAGGATACATCAACACAAAACACATGATGCTACGCTGATTGCACTTGTTTCTCTGCTTTATCTTCAGCTCCAGAAGGTATCTTCAACTTTGGCTTCCTGAATTGCTTTACAATGGTCAACTCTGCGTCATCCAACACCTCTCGGGTGCGATCCAACTGCGCTTTTACCTTTTGCATCGCCATTCCAGATTCTTTCCCGACCTGCTTCTATCAACTGCAAAAGTAGAAGTATCGTCCTAGCAGTAGCATGCTTTGCACTTTGTAATCTGTATTACTGTGAATATCTTTTGAAGATGAAATAAGAAGATGCAATCTTATTTATCTGTCATGCAAGCTCAGGTAAGATGAAACCAAAAGCACGTCCGTTGATGAAAGAAGATTGCAATTCAAATCCATATGACGTACGGCAATACTTTTGCGACAGATAGGTCGCACTGGTTTGCGATCTGCGGAATGCGGTCCTTCTCTGCTTCGCAGGCCTCCGCGGACTTTATCCAATGCAGGGACTTATGCAGTCATCTGGGTGTGCATGTGCTGGGAATTCGTATTTGATCTTGCTGATACTGGAATTTACAGAGTTTGACCCTGCTTGCCGATCCACATCCACGTCACGACCCGGCACAACACTAACTATAGAGAAATTCTTTCCCACCTCGCCGGGGGCTTCTTCCGAGTTCATTTTTCATGTTCAGTTTTAGCATTCCAAATCCAAACTGCGTCTGCCACGAAAGAATGAGCAACTACACGTAGAAATGCCGGCCGTATCCTTATCGTCATCCTTCATTGCATGGTACATCAGCATCAATACATATACAGCTCCTGCTGTTTTTTCAACGAAATACTATATTGCATCGGAAGTCTCCGTGACCTCCCAGACTACTTACATAATTTTGCACTTTGATAGATTCCGTGCAGCGGCGAATTTTCGTGCGGAGGATGTCAAAATAGCTCTCCACAATTCCCTTCGTATCTAGCCACGTCCGCAGACTGTCGTACAACCGCCAGAGTTCGTCGCTTAAGGCTTTGTGCGCTGCATCCTGAGTGGGAAAAGAAGAGGAAGCTAGAGAGGATGCGGAGCTTGTCGACGCCATTGATTTTTTATAATACTCAAAATTAGGCCTGCTTTTGAACTGTCTCGCTCGACCTCGTACTTGCGCAACGATAATAACAATGAATCTAGGCTGGCCTGAGCCTGACAAAAAAACTAAGATGAATTACAATTAGATACATTGAAAAGACTACAAAACTATTTGACTTTAGCCAGCATCAGCATCATTCATAACACAATAAACACATGCATCGGAAAGAGCAGATCTTTTTTTCAAGCAAAAGCGACAATGGCACGCGAATCATGATGATCAATCGAAGCGATTTTATTCCATGCTGCGAAAGCGAAACGAGGACGACTGCTTGGAGGTATCATGGAACAACTCGAACTTCCAACACGAAAAATAGATGACGAAAAATCGACGCCGTAGTAGAACAAGTCGAACAATGATTTTAATATTCAGGAACAACCTACAAAACTTTCGATGTGGCGCTTGGTCCTTGGTGCTCTTTAAGATGTCTTTATTATGTTTATTGTTTTTTCTTGGGCTTTTTGTTCACGTGAAACATTCATTACTTATAGTTTTTCCTTGCATCGGCAAGTACTTCTGTTTCTCATCGGCACAAACAGAGAAGCAACGTAAGTAGGTGATACAACAATCGCGCTATCAATTTTGGTTTCTTGTTTCATCTTCTCGCCAACAAGCACCCTTGCTCTCAAATTTGTCGTGTAAACACTTGCTAATAAAACAAATGGTTCAACATCCAGAAGATGGCGGCGCGAGCACGTACTGACTTGCTGTGTGCCTCTCCAAGAATGTAAAATTTTTACACGTTTGTCTTTATCATCCTACAACGATGCTTCATCATGATACGTGCCGGTGCCATGAAATTATCCTGGGAGCGAAAAGCTGCGCCTTCTCCTATGTATCATCGGAAGAAATAACGTAGCGACACTCCTTGGATAATAATTTTAGGTCGACGTCCTCTGTTTGTGCTCTTATGGAGGTACAGAACTCAGCAATCCTCAGGAGGCTCAGGTTCTTGATTTTTCACTACGGCGACCGAAAGTAGTTATTCTTCAAACTGGTACATTATTTTTTTTTCATTTGATGGTGAACAGTGCAAGAACTACCTACGACATCTACTTCAAGCGGAGACAAGAAAGAAAGTTCAGTTGTAAAATTAGCGATGAATCTATTCGTATTCGGGTCATTTCAATGCCGCAAAAAGGAGCTGTGTGCTGTACTTTACGTCCGATTATAATTTCTCGCTTTTCTGCTCGGTAGCTGCAGCTGCTCTTGGGTGCTGAAGTTTTTTTCCCTATTAATGGTCTATATTGTATAGTAGTTTGCTCCTGAAATTGCGACCACCGGGGGTCTTTTCAAGATGCTCAACGCCCCCAAGCAAGCACAGCGCGCTAACACTAAGTACGTCGCCATTTATTCTCCTTTGTAGCAAGGAGCTCATCCTGTCAACAAATTGCAAATTGCAGGGTCTTGCAACGAAGCGACGACTTCATGTGCTGCGACGTGATAGCATAATCAAGGAGATTCTTTTGTTTCTTCCGACAGGTATGGTGGGTACTATCACACGACCGTTCTCATGATGTCTAGTATCTGATGTAGTTCTAAACTACTCTTACACGACGACAGCGATCTTCGGCTTCGGGGGCAGGTTCGCTCGGTGTGCGGCGGAGGCGCACTTGCAATCTACTTTTTCGCCCCCGGTCCGGTGGAGAAACCTTCCTCACTAGTTCATCTAGATGCGCTGTTGTTCAAGAGTCTCAGTCTTCATCTTCTACCTATAGACCTCCGCACGTATATTGTACATTGATATTGTACAGGACAGCAGATAAAATTAGTCGTATTCTAATATTCACTACACCGTGGTGCTAGTAGAGGTGACGTCGTAGATCTGTAGTCTAATAGCTTTCCCTACTTTGATGTGCTCCTGGTTGTCCATCGTTCCTTGTGGAAACCCGCACTAAAGTTGGAGAGGAATCGCCCGATGGGTATTGCAGGCGACATTTCCGACATTTTTCGGATGCAAAATTCATTTTTGCCAAGTCGCGGCCAATCGTGAGTTGATATGGGGCCCCCTGCGCATGGCCTCTCCTTTATGGCTGTCAGCTGCACGGCACGGAGCACGACGCACACTCACCCCCATGAGGGCGGCAAGGAGATGGCGCTGCGGGCTAATCGCCTGGATGATTTTCCCGAGCGACGCGCCACACCGCAAGGGACACCATCCGGAACCCCTCCGCACCCCCGCAAAGCCATTTTTACCGCGGCAGCACGGACCCCGTGCATTGCCTCGAGGCCCATTGGCGAAACCGCCAGACAGCCTATCTCAAGGAAAGGCCGGGGCGCCTTCTGGCGCGCCTACTTTTTTGAAGCGACCCAAGAATGGGGAACGGCCATCAGCGGCGAGGCCGCGTCGCGGCCTGGGCGTGTGGTTTCGCCCCGCTGCGTTTTTTGTCGCCCCCGGGACTGCGCCCCATTCGAGGGGCGCGGGCGCGGGCTCCTTTTGCCTTTAGAGCTGCCCCCGCTGCCTCGCGACGCCCTTCCCGGGCCCAAAGCCCCAGCCTTCGCGCCTGCGCGGGCGGGGCCGGGCTATTCGCGCCTCCTTTTGGCCCGCCCGCCGGCGACCTCTTCTCTTTGCCCGGCAGCCGATGGCGCCTCCGGAGAGCAGGAAGGCGCACCGGGGCGGTTGCGGCGCGCCAGCATTTTGCGCGGCCCGGCCGCGGCAAGCGCCGGGCGGAGCTTGGGGAATAGCGGGAACAGGCTTCCGAGGGTTTGCAAGAAAGAACAAGCAGCCGCCAAGGGGGGCCGGGGCTTGGCGGTTGTGCATCGTTCCCTGGTTGTCCATCGTTCCTCGTGGAAACCCGCACCTCCAAAGGGCGATGAGGACCGTTCAAAATATCTACGTTTCCACGTTTTTGTTTTTTCGGATTTCCATTTTAGCGGTCACCTTATTTACGTTCTATGTTTTCGTTAACGATATCAAACATTACCAGGCTTTGTTGTACCTCCGCATGCCAATGGTGCTCCAAGTGGAACTAACATCATGTTCCAATAATATTTTCTATTCGAAATAAACTTTTACTGAAGTATCCAAAGTTTTAAATCCAAGAACACGAATTTTTCATACTGATCTATGTTTCCAAGAATAAGTTTATTTCCAATTAATATCTTCAATGATCTGACAGAACTATCTTCCATGGCTGCTGCTCGATCCGGACGATCCTCGGTCGAACCAAAAATCAACCTGATAAGCAGTGGTCCGTCGAGGTCGGACACGTCGCTGAACTGGCATCACCAGCTGCCCGACTCGCACCAGTTGCAGCTCCCCTTTTCACCGACTTCCAGCCCGCAGCTGTGCTCTTATTTCTACTTCCTGGTAAAAATCTTTTGCCTCGGGTCTTTTTCATCACGTGATCCAACTGTTTTTCTTCGACGGACAACTTTTTGCCCGCGATCCTCGGATAGAACCCCGCGTAGGGAAATTCCTTCAGAACCGCCACGCCCGCAGTTGAGCTGCTGCCGTTCGATGTCACAACTCCGCCGGGGGCACTCATCGCGGCGAATGCCTGAATTTTGCTCACGATCCGCTTCACCATGGCGACGTCCTGCGGCTTCCCTTGCAGCGCAACTTTGGCTTCGGCCGGGATGCGATGACCGGTGGAGATGAACAGTCCCAGGGCGATCAGTATGCAATTTTGCAAAAGTATCACACTTGTTCTCGTGGTAGTAAGTTTTGCAGTTAGGCATGACATCAAATCTGGCTAGTCTTAGGTATCAGCATTACAAATTCAATTTTTCCTACTTCAGAAAAAATTTGTGAAGATGCTACTTATCTACAACACTCGTAGCGTGATCGTTGTACTTTTGCTTCATTCATAATCAGCTTGACGGGGCAATACAGTGCCTCATCCAGGATGGCAGCGGAGATGATCTGCTTCGCGGTCAGTTTGAACCGGAGAGATTTTATCTTCTGCTCGATCGCCTTTTTCGGGGGATCGTTCATGATGATGTCCTGGATCTACTATCCTGTGCAAAAATATCGTACTCGTTCGTCTTCGTAGTAATTGCAGTTATGCATTACAAATCTACATCCCAAGGTAAAACAGCATGACAAATTCCATTTGTCATGCTGAGGTAATTTGCAATGCAATTTCTACTAGTACGATGCTTTTGCAATGCATATCCACTCCCGCTCCGCCATTTCCTGGAGTAACGCAACGACCGCGAAGGGTTTTTCCACAGTAATTTGGAAATTCAGGGCGGTCAGGAAGTTCAATTCGTTCTCGACTGCTTTCTGCCAACAAAACTCCGTGACCCGGGCAATAGCAATAGAAGTAGCATTTTCGCTCGTCTGGTGGTTTAAAATTTTCATTCCGTCGTGGTTCTTACTAGCCGCACCACCTGCAGGGCCAGGTGGAAGTCCTTGTTGTTCACCCTTGTCACCATTGTCAGACAGACGCTGTAGGAGATCAGAAAGTAGTCCTCCAGAGTAAACAAACGCCATAGAAGAGGGCGACGTCTGTTCTGCTTCTGTGGTTGTTGCCGTACTAGTAGTCGGAGGTCCACCCGCAGTTGCGCTTGTTCTAGTGCGACTAGCAGGAGCCGCTCCACCACGATTTTTGAAAAATGTTTCGGTTTCTTCGTCCTCGTTTGACGTATTATCATAGTTATAATTTTCGAAAAGTTGCAGGCCGAGGCCCTTGATGAACTCGGGCTTGATCACGCATTCTTCCGCCTTCATGGCGACAAGGATCGCGGTCAACAGTGCAACCACCCACTGTTCCTCATCGTCCGCGGGGATGCAGACGCGCGCCGCGTACGCGCGAAACAGCACCACCGCGGAGTACAGAGCGGCGGCCGACATGCTTTCGCGCAGCTTGCGGCAGCGGTGGAGCAGAGCCTGGATTTTCGCCTCCTCCGACGCGATACGGTCGTCTTCGTCCTTGCTGTATCAAATGCAAAAATGTCTGGGTCTGGAAGGTGCAACTTGTCATGGTAAATCTGAATCATGTAAGAATCTGTGTTGCGTGATTCCCAAAAGCTGTCCACTTTTGACCAAGTTAGGGTGGAGTTTCTCATGCAGGATAGGCATGGCAGAGACCTCGTCGCAGAGTCTGTCATGCTACGAGCCGCATTCCAGACCTCATGGGTCATGGAAAATCTGCATGACAAGTTTACACTTTTCCAGACCCAGACATTTTTGCACTTGATATGCTGGTGCAGGAAAACCGCTTCCGCTTCGCCAGGGCGTGCATCTTCTTCTCATCAAAAACAAAACAGTGACACAGCTTACTGCTATAGTAATCCGTCAGCAACACTCGTTCCGCCACGGTCAGTGAAAAGAACGTCGGCTGCGGAACGGAGACGGAAGTTGATGATAGGGGGGTAGAAGAAGAAGTTGTTGTGCCAATGGTGCCAGTCTTGTTGTTAATAACAGCTGCTCCTGCAGCCTCAGAATCCAAATCCTGCGCGCCAGCGCCAAGCTCCACCTCCTGCTGCTGCATTCTTTTGTCCAGCGCGGCGACGTTTTCGCGGCTGATGCGTAACGCCTGCTCCGAGGGGAACTGTGCCAGATGTTGACCAACATGATGTTGTCCGGAGGTCGACTGAGAGGCTCCTGCAGCTGCGGGGCGGTGGTTCTTCGACGTAGTAGTCCTCGTGGAGGTCGTTCTTGGGGCACCTGCTGTGCCTGGTGGGGTAGAAGTAGTAGCTCCGCGACGGGCCGACATGGTCGCTACACTGCTAGTGGACAATGTTGAAGCAGCAGCTGCCTTTAGGTTAGTAGGCTGTAGTACACCTCCGAGGAGTTGTTGTTGTGTTCTGCGAGAATTGTTGCTCGAATGCTCGTGTTCAGAATTGGAAAATTGTGATTGTCTCAGAACGGGCTTAGCATAAGGACCACGCACCATGGCTACAAGTTTTTTGTGTGTAGTATTGGTGATGAAACAAGTTTTCCTTTTCGCTTTCTTGATAATTATCGGTGAAACAATCGCTTTCGCTTTCTTGATTTTGTACACAACAGGTCGTTCTTGTACTTAGTACAGGGTTCTTGGTTAGGAAAAAAATATGATGAAATGGTTTATTCTAATTTCTCGCAGATGATTTGCCAACAACCGCATGTTCTTCTGCCATCAAGAATCTTCTACTTCGCGGCGGCTCTATTTAACTTTTCCGTGTGATCAGAGGATCATATTCTGCCGCATATGTGTTATCCTCTAGGCGCAACAGAAAGAATGAACGCTACTCTTTTCTGCCACAACTTGAAAATAGAAAAAAAGCGACGATGAAAAAGCACGAGCTACTACAAGTAGAATCAATTATTTGATGAGTCATACAACATGCGCGACAAAACCTGTGTCGCCTTGGGAAATCCAGAACAATTCCGTAAAGTTTTTACTTCAGATGTGGCAAACAAAGTATATCAGAAGTGGGCACGGATAAAACTGAAAAAAAAGTGGTGGTATCTTAGTGTGAATGTGAATGTGAATAGTTCTTGTGTTTATCAAAACACTTCTGGCAGGACGGAAATACGCGGATGAGGAAGTAGATGAAACCAATTTAATGCGTAGGGCGTCAGTCTTGACCAAAACAAGCTACTCATGTACTATCTGTAAACAGTGACAGCACCGACATACAAGTTTCCGAATAGAGGCCTTTGGTTAAAGAGGACAGTTCCGATTATATTAGCGGAATGAAGTGTATTGCCTCTTCTGCCTTCCGATCTTGGATCGCGATATGTATCGCTATCGGGCAAAACGACCTGTCTGTTCGACAAACTTTAACTTGCAGTCGTACGTATTTGTCTACTTCTTCTAGGTAAAGGTACCGGATGCGGAAGAACTATCTTTGTAAAACAGGTGGAACAAAATCTTCAGTGCTGATATGCCGCTTTTCATTTATTGTCTCGTAGTCTCATTGTCTAAAAGAAAGTGCTAGTCCACATCCTTCAGACTATGTTTTTTTTTCCGCCTCTGAAAGATTTTGGTTTTGGTGTAGCATAGCAATGCTGGTATAATACACGACAACTTGAAACTGATGGCTCCACCGTTGTACTACGGGATTTCTTTTATTCATTTGTATCTCGTCTAGTCTTTAAGTTTTTCTTTGGTTCGAGATATTCATGGATCCTTCTGCTTTGAATTTGATTTTGTTTTTGACAGTGCCGGAAAATAAAGTAGCAGCGAAACATTCTGTATCTTCTGCTTCCGGAACACACGACGTTTACTTCGTGCATAAGAAAACCTTGATAGAGCGACTGGCATTTTTTCCAGGCTGCAGCCCTGAATCTGCACTACTTCGAAAAATCTGCAGATCGATTCTTCATCTTCTTCTTTCGACATCATGATCATACATGCATCTATCTACAGCAACATTTCTGCTTCTTCCTGCCTCGATCAAGATCTACCACGACCTGCTTTCCGTTTGTTCCTACTGAACAACGCGAATGTTGAGGTGGTAGATCTATCATGGTCGTGGCTCACGAGCCCGATCACCTCCCGAGCCATAGTTCCAAGCAGAAGAACTATCCACTCGAGGGTTTAATATTGCGGGAAGAAGATTCTGTCACGGATTCTTGTTCCACATTTGATCGGCATAGCGTGGCAAATGGCTGCTTCCCGCCTGAAAATTCATTTCATCTCTTGAAGTACTAGACCCACGAACTCCCGCAAAAGAACGACCCGAGTCCTTTGTCTTTCTTGTCCCGTCCTCCGGAAAAAACAAGTGATTTCCCCGCGGCTTGGACGAATTATTTGCGATATTTTTTACACTCCCCCTGCCGCTTCCGCCGCTCTTGCTACTCGTCTTGTAGTTCGAGTTCGAGTTGTTTCCCCCTGTCGCAAACGTCGCAGGTTTGGTGCTGTTATTTGCACCATTGGTCCTCCTGCTCTTGGGCGAGATCATACTTGTTGTACCTCCAAATTGATGATAGCCCCCGAACAAAGAAACCGGTGGTTCCTCTCGGGGCGAGAAGGTGCCCTTCAGTGCGACTTTTCCCGGATCGAAGTTGTCGTAGCCCATCCGCAAGTGTTGATTTTCCTGCATCACTACGTCGAGTTGTTTCACGAGCAATTGCCGGTCGACCTGTGCTATGCTTTGCAAATATGTCTGGCTCTGGAAGATTGCCAAATTTGTCATGCGTGTCTGACATGACTCGGACCTCTGTCATGCGTAGGTGCAAAAAGATCGCTTTGTCTGTCATGCAAAAGCGCAGTCTGCCATGCGGAATACGCTACACATAGCACCTCAAAAACTTGCCATGCTTGGCCACGTATGACAGTACGCCCAGTATTCCCTGGTTTGCATCACAAGTTTCCAGACCCAGATGACATATTTGCAGTTGATATGTGCCGCCTTGATCTTTTCCTCCAAGTCGGCAAGTAGTTTCCACTATCCTGTGCAAATGTATCGCACAAAATACTGACTGCAGTCCTGCATGACAGATCTCTGGCCTAAAAGGGAAATCTGCATTACAAACTACGGCTCGTCACTTGGAAAAATTTGTATTGCAATTCATACTTAGTACGATAATTTTGCAATGCATATCCACAGCTCCGCCTTTTCACGGACATGTTCTTCCAATCTTTCCGTCGCTTGCCGCACCTCCCGCTCCGCGTGAAACTCGAGTTTCTGACACAACACGCGCGCGTCGGCTTCCGCGATGCGGGCGACGTCTCTTATGGCGTTCTCAAACGTTACACTCTCAACTGTTACATGAAATTTGTAATGCAAGAATGGCAAAAGTGCAAGGGAAAACGTTGCGCCTTTTGCATTACAGGTTTGGAGCAGATTATAATGCTATCTAGCGCGTCGAGAACTTGTCATGCGAAGCAGCTTGGGCATGTAGATGCTGGCGCTATTTTTGCATGACAAATTCATGTAACAGTTGAGAATGTAACGTTTGAGAGTCCCATATCTTTTTCCTGTTCCTTTTCCACCACAACTTCCTCCAGATTCGCGATCCGTTCCCGCGCGCGTCCCAGTTCCCCCAGCGTTTCGCCGTGCTTCGCGATGTCGCGGGCGCACGTGCGGATGGATTCGGTGAGCTGCTTCAATGTCGTGTCCTTCCGGGCAGCTTCCTGCAGCAGCTTCTCCCGCTCCAGCGCGGCAGCTTCAAGTTTCTGATTTAGATTGAACACAATCTCCTTGTCGACTTTTGCGTTTACCAGTAATCTATTCTTTTCTGCTTCCGCGTTTCTCCTCATCATCGCGTCGACGACGGCGCTTTTCACCTGCTCGGGCAGACAGCAGCTGGGCTCCGCGAGTAATCGCAGAAACTGCCAGCAGTCGCGCAGCAAGACTTGGTCGGTTGTGTGCGCAAAAATGTCGTAGATCAGGAAGGAAACGCACTCCGTGGACTCCAGCATCTCGTAAAACGCAGGCTTGGTGTACGGAAGGACGACTTTACTAGTAGTTTTTGCAGCTGGCAGTGTTCTATTTCGGGAGGTGCAACTGGGCGTAGTGGCATGGGAACAAGCTGCTGATGTTTCTAGTAGTGTCGAATCCTGATTTTGGTGAAAAACGGAATGTGTAGTGGATTTCGTTGCGGAGTTTGTGTTTAGCAACATCAGATGTTGATCGGGGGTATAATTGGCTATTCCAGCGTACGCCGCGCTCGATGACGAACTGCTTGGTGCAGCCGAATGCTTCGACCGCTGCTGTGCCTGTGGCGACGCAAGAAATTGTTCACTGTCAGCGACTGTGGCGCCACTACCCGGTGTGGCATAGGAGTTGCTTCCTACTAGTGGGACTTGATCATGTCCACCTGCTCCCGCACCCGCACTAACCCCAGGCTCGTGCTTCATGATGTCGTGCACCGTGGTTGCCCGGTCGCACCGTTCTTTCGCGAGCGCGTCGTCGATGGCGAGGCCTAATTGCAGCAGATTGAAGAATAAATTTGTGTTTGTCGGCTTTTTCTCCAACACCCGATTCGCGTTTTGCAGCAGTAACTGGTACTGGTCTCGACAGACCGCCAACGCGTAGGGCGTCACCCTCTTCTGCACCATCAGTTTCAACAAGCCGCAGGTTTCCTCGTTCTGTAACGCTTGGCGAGACAGGAACAAGAGCAACGGGCGTAAAGCTGACTCGGTGAGCGCGACGCGGTTCGTGTCGAACAGGGTGAGATACAGCAAGCGCGCCGCGGCTTTACTCACCCCCGGGTGCTGCCTGGTCGCCAGCTCGGCCAGCAGCGATGCGTGCCTATTTTTATTTGCACCACCAGTAGTGCTTTTACACTCCTGCTCGGACAGCATTTTCACCACGTTCTGCCGGAAATGCGCGGACTTTTCGACCAACACCTTTTCCAACAAGGACAAAATCGCCTGAAGCACGTGGTCCGTGTTCTGGAAGGTGTGCAGCTGCTCAAAGAGCGCAAGGTGGTAGTCGACGCTGAAGTTCTTGTCGCTGTTCAAGTAGTTGAAACTACTCTCGCCTTCTACCCTTTGCGGCGACGAGCCGAGGTTATTTGCTAACCGGAGTTCCAGCTCCATTTGTAGACTGTCTTTTTTCCTCAACATCCCGAGCCCGATTGGAGAAGTTGTAGTTGTTGCCCTCCCCACCTCCGCATTCATAATTGTATAAGAAGCCAGTGCCCGGTCGACCCCGTTAGAAGAGACTTGCAGTAGATCGTCGAGTAAGTCACGTGCGATCTGGAAGCGGGACACGCAAACGCCGTCCATGCAATCAGAGTGCGCGTTGGGGAGATCGACGACTTGTAACGCCAAGTGAGTGGCATCGACGAGGTTGATGGGGAAGCTGCCAGGATCGGCGTTCGGCTTATTTGCGCCATCGATTTGTCGTGTAGCTGCCAAGTACTGACTGGTGGATGAGAGCAATGGTTCGAAAATTCCGTGCTGGGACTGCGCAATACCCTCTAACGAGACCAGAATCTGGGCCGCGAACAGCTTTTGCGTGACCATCTCTTCGTCGGCTACTCGTCGTGCTGGAGAGGACAAAGCAGCATAGTTGTTTCCACGCAATGAAGTAGAACCACCTGCTCCACCCCCACCTCCTGCATTTGATTGTTTTTCGCCCCGCCCCGCCACAATGGCGTGCAATCCGCTGCAAAATTCATCGTACTGCTGCGTCTCCGCCTTCACAAAAGACTGCACAACGCTGTCGCCGCGAAGCAGGTTTGCCAGAATACCCAGGCTCTGGCGCTGCGCCGTCTGGTGGTTTTTGCTTGTCGAAGGTCGTGTTGAAGACGTGGGGGCTGGTGATGCCGCTACAACAACTGAAGAGAAACTTTGCAAAATGGCTGCGACCAGCTTCGTGACTGCAACTTGCGGACTGTGGGTTTTCTCGCGCCAACAACGGGCCGCGCCGCTTGTCGTGTCAGCGGCTGGGCCGTGATCAGCGCTTTTGTTTCCACCTGAAGGAGCCGAACAACCACGACTACTTCCGTCGACCACTAAATCCGCTTCGTAGGTAACACAGAACAGCAGCGGCCACAGCTGCGCGGTCGGTATGTTCGAGCAGGTCCGACTTGTTGTTCCCTGCTCAAGCAGCTCCTCGCGGTCCGCGCCGATGATTCCCAATTCCACCGGTCCCGCGTGCAGCCCCGCCACTGCAGCTTGGTCTACCAACGCCGCGAAGAAACGCGGAAAATCTGTTGAAGTCCACAACACATTCCGTAGCGTAGGGTTGTGGATCAACTTGACCAGGGTGTGGACGTCTGATGCGGTTGTAGTTGCATAATTGGCTGTTGCTGAAGCAGCCTCGTAGTTACCTCCCGACGAGGAAGAACGTGCTGATTGTGAAGAAATCGCAACCGTGGAAGGACTTGTGGATAAAATCCGCTGCAGTAGGTGTGGCACCAGACCGCGGATAAATGGCTCGGATTCCACTTGCCAAAGATCCTGTGGCGCCGCGTATTTGGCATCGAGCCAGGATGTGTCCATGATGCAGGCGACTACGAAAGATTTTGATTCAAGAAATTCGACTGTCAAAAACGAACGTATAGGTATTTTAGAATCGATCTGTATGCGGTTCGCGGCTTTTTATTGGAAAAATGAAAAGCTGCACCTATCAAAAAAGAGAGAAAAAGCTCCTTCATCTTCCAGCTTGCTCACCGCCAGCTCTCAGCCCGTCCACAGTTACAGTACGCAGATTTGGCTTTGCATCTTTGCAACGACGGGCAAAAACTCTCCTTCGCTCGTGTTTGCGTTTTGTTTTTTTTGTCGCGTACGCAAATTATGTGGTAAGTGGTCGGCCAAAAATCCAAGATCAGATAGAAAAAACAAAAAATGTCCAGAAGCCGCCGTTTCGTCTACCGCTCCAAAAAAAGTGAGACCTGATGTACTTACTTCCGCCCCGATTTTCTGAAGTCAAGGTTTTCACAGCCTGCTTCATCTTTCGTTGATATCGTCCTCCAGAGAGGAAGGGGCCACCTTCAACACGCGATTCCTTTCATCTCAATGCTAATGAATAATGTTTGCGTTTCAGTCAGATTTTCATTTAGGATGAGGACACGGCCGCGACGGGCGCCTGAAATTACAAAAATTAAAGCGAAGTTGTATTTCTATTTTTCATTTTTATGTACGTATAGTATTCATTTTTATTGGTCATCAAGCAGCGCACGCATGCTCGTCAACATTCATACATATAGCGTCTATCCATTATCCTTGTTGGAAGAATGAACCAAGCATGTGAATAGTGCACTAAGCTAAAGGAGGTCGCGGATAGAGAACTTGAACGAGTGCGCAATCGGCGACCCCCGCGCACGCTGCACCCCCAGAGCCAAGATCTACGGTGCGGAAGCTGCAAACTGAAACTCTGCAGGAAAATTTTACGGTCGAGCTGGCAAGACGCGAGGCTAGCACGTCGCGCACCATGATCACGACGTCGTTGGACTTCGTTCGCCTTCGTCCTCCTCTCCAACGTCATCGTACTATCCAGGGTAAGCAAAGAATCCTGAGTCAGGGAAGAAAAAAAGCTGCTCGAGCTGGTGCTGCGGTCTACACGATGCAAGCACCTTGTTGGGGAAGGCGAAGCAGCAGGGTAGCACTACATACAAGGATCGCTGTGCATGCATGTTTGGCAGCGGGAAGCTTGAAAGTTCTTCCTTCTCTCAGGAGGATTCTCCGCGGATACAGGCACTTCGTTGTTCCGGCGCCGACAGCAGCAGAAACTGCAGCTATCCAGCCAAGGGCATATCTAATAAATTGAAATTGATGTTGTAGAGATACTAAACTATGTACAGTACTGCGTAATAAAGGCCCTAAGACTAACATTAAGATCAAAGCTCCAAAACGTAGCACCAGTCATCTGTCCACCTGCTCACGGCTCTTCGTAAAGCAAGTTTCTCGTTCCAGTGCCCTGGTGAGAAGTGCTGGTGGTGAATAACATGAAAACTGGGCCAGAAGTAGTTCTAGCAGCCCTTGTAGTTGTTCTGAACGGGGGGCAGGAGTAATATGTTGAAGGTCTGCATTTACGTACCAAGTCCGCCACAAAAATGCCCGTGCCCGAGGCGGCCAGGCCCCGCGCCAGGTGGTACAGCAACACGCCGCACTGCTGCGGTCGGGTTAGAGGTGTCTTCCCAGGTAGCCCTTGCAGGTGATCCTCCGTCTCCCGTGCGGTCGCTGTAACCGCGTTCGACACGAGCCCCGCCCCGATAATGAGAAAAGCGCCTTTCTGTGCGAGCTTTTGCAAACGGCTGTAGTTGCATCTTCGGTCACGAAGATCTACGTGGTCCTGATCGGATTCATCTTGATTTCCTTCGTGTCTGCTCGCACCTCTTCTTCGTGCAAGGAGATGTCGTCGCCTACGACAGCACAGTGCTTGCACACCTCGCATGAATCTCGTGCGCAGGAACCGTGAGGATGAGCCACCGCTAGACTGTTGACCAGAGTCTTCTCCAACAACGCCGCCAAGCATGCTTCTGCGCACCGTCGGCGTCGCCCCGACGTAGTTGTGAAATGGCTGACCGTTAGCAGTATCAACACCATTCCCGCCCCCTGCCCGCCCCGCTCCCGTCGAGTAGTGGCGGCGCGCGCAGGGGCTGCTCCACATCGCCATCCAGGGTCGACCTTCCAAATACTCCACCTCCTCGGCGACCTGCCTCTCGAACCGGCGCGCCGCTATCTCCGCCGGCGTGCCGCCAGAGTACAGGCGAGAGCAAAACCGTACAAGCAGGTCGAACGGTTCGGAGGTTGACACAATGCTGCCATTTTCGCTGTCCCAATACCCTCTAGGGAGAAAGACGCCACTGCGGCGGAGCTCGAAAAAGTTGTATTCATCCTCTCCCGACCATTCCCGGCAGACCGGACAGCGCGCGCGGTCCAGCACGGGCGACCGTGACCCGAGGAAGGTTTCCCAGCACTTGCGGTGGTAGCAGTGCGCGACCGGGCGGTTGTCGCAGTTGTTTACAAAACTACCTGGTGCAAGGTCGTCCAAACAGATCATGCAGGTTGGGTCCGCCACCTGCACGCAGTCCTCGCCGAGGGGTCTAGCCAGTTGCAGCAGGCGATCGCGGAAATTCCGGAACCGCAGCCGCCGGAGAAAACGCCGGGGCGAGGAGGTGCTGCTAGAGGGTCGTGGGGCGGTAGGGATGGCGCTGGAGGGGGGAGCAGGAACGTCGTTTTGATGTTGTTCTTGTGCATGTTCGCTTGTTGGTATTTCGCCGGCACTTGTTGGTGGTCCTGCATCTGTTTCTTCCACAACCGGAGACACCAGTCGACTCGAGGCCCTGGGACTTCTACTGCGGTTTCTGAGGCCTATGAGCTGCGGTCTCTGGTAGGATTGACTTCTTCCCTGGCCGGGAAAATGCTCGTCGTGGACTGCTGAAGAAGATCCGAAATTGGCGCCAGAAAAGAGCAGACACGGTACTAGGAAGAAACCGGGATGGCGATGATAAAAAAGCCTCGGTGCTGCAGGAAACATCGTTTTCGGATTTGTGGTGATGCATGTTTGGCTTCTAGTACTCGCAAAGTATGGATCGATGCGTGTGGAAGTAGTTTTGCTTGGCTTGTTTTCGGGAGATCTACTTTTTGGGAAAGTGCCAAAGTGGATGAACCAATCGGGAACACAAATTGCGGTACTGTAGAAGAAGAATTCTAGACGCAGGCGCGGACTTCCGCTCAGCCTTCATCTTTCAGCTCGAGCTTGCTATTGCTTGATTTCAATTGCGAGGATTATATAATTGCTTGAATCTATGTTAATGCTGTTGAGTTTTATCTTGGATAAAAGAGGTGAAGCTTTTTCAGCTGGTGTGCGTGCGCGGGCGTGATACTATCACATTCGACGATACACATCCACATACTCTTTTGCAGAAGAGACGAACTCTTGCTTGTAGCGCCAGGTCGAGGAGAGGAAAATCTGCTACAGTAATCGCATTCGCATCAGATATTCGAAAAAGAAAACAGGAGTACAAAGACATACAAGACAAGAGTTGCATTGTCGGCGCATTAGCATTTATGTTAGTATATCTGATAAAGTATAGTACTGCTCGCGCAGGTCTTGTCCACGTTGTGATCTTCAATTCATAGCACAGATCAAGCCGGTCGTGGTCCTGCACCTGCTCTCTAATCCGCTACCATTTACAATTTCTGCACCATTTCCTCTGCTTTCCGAAAGGCGGATATGCACTCCATCTCCCGGACTTTGTTGAAACAGCACAGTATCCCGAACGCGTTATGCAATACAAATTTCCCGCACACGTACAAAATGCACCACAAGTAACTTCCCACGCGGAAGAGGTTTGAAGGACGAAAAGTTTGTCATGCAGAAGCCACATTTGTACAACGCCGTCGTGTAGAGGAAATTTACTGTGGATACACGTGGTGCAAAAACTCCTCGGCCTGGACGACACCGTCCTGATTTCGGTCCGTCTTCGCGAACTCCTCCGCGGTGCACTCGGTCTCCAGCTCCGGTGGGTCCTCCAGTGTAGAGCACAGAGCCTCGCAAATCTTCTGCACCACCTGAAACCACCGCTCCTTCGAACAGACCACGGAGGATTTGTTAGTGGCTTTATTGTCCGCAGCTTCGTGTTCAGTTGTGGTTACAACTTCACCATCGTGATCTTTCTTCATCGCTTTGGTTCGGGTCTCGTAGTTCGGCGCACAGCAAGCGAGAAAGAGATTGCTCCCTTCCATCAGAAGGGCCGGCCTGATGTGGTGTGAAAATTTGAAGATTTCCGGTAGGGAGGTGAAGTGCTGTGCAAGAAAAAACAAAGACGATAGAAACACTGAAATGTAAAAGCTAAAAGCATGAGAAAGAGTGGATGAAGATATTGAAAAACTTCAACTTGCTTGATACTTGACAAACGGGTAGTTTTTGCTCCAGGTCCCGATGTCGTGGGAAAATTGCAGAAACTCTTCTCGAATCGAGGCTGCAGCGTTGGTAAAGGCTTTGTTGTCTTTGTTGTTGTAGTTCATGTTCATGTGCTTCGCATTATTATTTGTATTTCCCACACCACCAGCATGATGGTGCTGTGCTGCATTTATTTCGTCCTCCGATAGATACTCGTTGTCCTCGGCACTGCTTTCGGACTCGGATTCGTAATCCCCAAAATGGTGGCTGTACTCCGCCCGCAGATCGTTCAAGCTCGACTCGGCTTCCATCAGTTCAAAGTCGTCTAAAGCACTGGCTTTTGCCTTGTCTAACCCGAACCCGGGGTTGGTCCACTTCAGCGGATTGTCCAGGTCCAGCGACTCGTCGTCGGAGAACTGTTTCAACAGCGGGAAAAACATCTTTTTCGCGAGTAATTTCCCCGGCATGAGGAAAAACACCTGTTTCAGGCCCGGAAAGCTGCTGCTGCTAACCACCACCTGCCGTAAAATGTGCGACTTACGCCGGAGCTCCGGCCCGGCGGACGGGACGACCAGGGGACTGCATTTCCGACGCGTGCAGGCAAATTTCGCCCGCAGTTTTCTGTCAAAGTCGAAAATTTCCTGCGTGGTCACGGCGGCTTTTGGAAAATGATGCTCAGCTGCGCTCGCTCCTTCTCCTGTCGAAATTGTGAGTTCTTTCGTATTCGCGACGCAGAAAGACACGCAGCTGGAGGTCACGTCGTGCTTCTGCAGGACGCTTTCCGCTTTTTCCCCGAAAATCTGTAAGCCGGCTCCAGGGTCGTGATGCGAGACGCAGGACATCGTGACCAGGAAGTGGAGGCGCGGAAAGGGCACCAAGTTGTGCTGCAACAATTGCACCACGTGCTCTGTCTGTCCAACGTGTGCGAACGTTTCTTTCAACAACTCCTCTTCGTTTTTTGAACAGAAGATGCACAAGTGGCAGAAATTTATCAACCGACTCATGACGGGCAAAAACCAAAAATTCTTCGTGAAGGCGTCGAGCGGGCTCTTTTCGTGGTCGTCTTATCCTTTGGAAAAACGTCCCAACAATCTCAGCCTTGTCGTGCGAAGTGGCATGCCTAAAATGTTTCTCATGCGCAGCCCCATGAGGGCCATTTTCCAATGCAAAAATCGGGTAGTTTGTCATGCTAGTAGAATGAGGATAACGATAAGGTCCCGGATTTGTGATGCGGCTTGACTACCTAAAGGGGTGGGAACGGTTTTGCTCAGCATACGTCTAAGACCATCACCACCGTAAACGTCATGCTGTCCATGTGGGCGTCATTCAACTCCGAGAGTGCGCTTACGAACTTTGTGTACTTCTCCTCGGCGGAAAAATCACTCGGTCTGCAGAACAGTACCACGTACTCGTTGTCTATGTAGTGCGTCTTGCCCACCTTCTCGGTGAAGTCTTCTTTGGTCAGGCCCGCGACGTCCTTCTGAAAATGCCAGATCGCGGGGCGGTGCGGCCCCGGCGGGCAACACTGATTTTTGTGTTTCTCTTTCATTTGTGCAAAAGCTGGTTCCTCGTCCGCGTCTTCGAGCTTGGGCGTGTTGGCTACCATGGTCGGCTTTCCGAGTTTCGAAGGCACGACGATTTCGTCCTTCGTCGCAGTGCGGAGAAATTTCAGGAGTGTGTCAATCGCGTCCTGCTGCTTCTCCCAGCCGTGCGCGACGGCCGTGTTCGTGAAGGCGCGCCGTTTGTAGGCGGCATTGAAAAACTTGTAGAACATTTGGAGTAAATGCTTCCGGTTCCCGTAAATTTTCACAGGCTTGTGGTCTTTTTCTCCACCACCTCCTTCCGGGTTTGATGTTTTATTTCTGGGCAGCAGCAAGTACCTCAGCGCCATCTCCGGGTCACTGTAGTAGCTGTCCAGACAGCAAACTTTCAATTTCTCAGTCGGGTTCATCTCTACTTCCTTGCCCGACTTATTTTCCGCCTCCATAGTGCTGGTCACTTTCGTCAACAACGACGTTGCTGCCTCTAGGGCGTTCATAGCCACCTCGGCACAGGAGATGAATTCCGGCCGGGATTCCGCGGAGGGCATCAACAAAACGACCGTGCAGGAGTTCTTGTCCCCGTGGACGTCTTCATCCCGCAGGCAGAGCCGTTTCGCCACTTCCTCCGCCATGGCCTGGTTGGCCGCCAGGTGCCGGCTGTCGATAATCGCCACCTGGTGGGGTCCAGAGCCGACCGTGGTATCAAGTGCAAAAGTGTCTGGGTCTGGAAGAATGCGCGATTTGTCATGCAGCTTTTCCATGACCCATGAGGTCTGGAATGCAGGACCTAGCATGACAGATTCTGTGCGATCCCTCTCATGCCTATTCTGCATGAGAAACTCCCTCGCGACTTGGTCAAAACTGGACGACTTTTGGTAATCATGCAGCACAGATTTTTGCATGCTTCAGATTTAGCATGACAAGTTGCATTCTTACAGACCCAGACATTTTTACACTTGATACGTGGTCTGCTGTTTCAAATCGTGCTGCTCCGGGCCGCCGGCGAAATGGAAGGTGAACGTCATTTTTCTGCGCGTGGGTGTCTGCACTAGCACTCCTGCTTTCCACTATTTATTATATGAACGAAAAAGGATCTGGATCATGCAAGGGGGAACTACTTACAATTTACAAAGCGAAGCTACTACAACTACATGGAAAGCTGCTGATGAAGTGGAGTGACAAGCTACTGCTACATCTCCTGCGTACGCGAGTAAGTATTTGGTAAAAGTAGGCACAGAGTGGTGGCAATTCATTTGCCAGATTAGTGGTGGACAAAGCACGAGCACGAGGGAATTGACGACCGAGCACCATCTGTCGGAACCGAGGACATGAGCATGACACTAGAGTAGATAGTACTTACGACGTTAATACAACAAACATGCACAACCGAGAGGAGCGTAAGCAGAGGCACAGTGACAGTGTGAGTGTTCGCTTGTTCCTGCATAGCTTTGCCTCTACCGAAAATGCCGCGGGGTGGCTTGTTGCCATCTTCTGAACGGTCGTGTTGTCACGCGGTTGTGCACGTACCCTCCACCAGCGACCGAAATAAGTAGAAAACCAACCGAATTCAATTTCATTTTGGGTGAATGCCTCCACCAGCCAACCGATGGTACTTTACTAAGTACGCGTGGACATCTTATTCTTAATCTTAATCTCTTTCACCGATACATGACTTTTTTGTACGAACGATGTTGATGTCTTCTTGAGCAAAACTACGACGAGAACTTGCTTGCTATTGCTTCATCTCCCTTCCTTTCGTCAGAACAAGGAAGAAACGACAAACAAGAAAGCACCTGCTGCCAGCATTTCTTACTTTCCAGCAGGGCCATCTACAAGGGGCCAGAGAAGATTCCTCTTCCAAGATTTCTATTTCCGGGTGATGCAACATGCGGTCGCTTTGACTGAGCAGCAGTCCGCTTGAGATGGTGAGTAGGTTCATCATCAAGCAGAACAGCACGAAGACGTCGAATTCGAAGTCCAATAAGTAGAAGCCCTTGCATAAACTCAGTCCCACGTCCTGCGACAAGCAGCGCGTGAAATTCAGTATCCTGTGCAAAACTATCGTACTCGTACTAATTGCAAATATGTTTTTCCTAAGGCAAAACAGCATTACAAATTCCGCTTTCCTTCTTGCCAAAATTTGTCATGCAATTTGTACTAGTACGATACTTTTGCAATGCATATTCAGCACGACAAATTGAAACTCCAGATCCTCCGTCCCGGCGTAGGGGAGGAAATGCCGCAGCAGGGTGGCGTACACGAAATTCAGCTGCATACCCAGCGCCACCGCGCAGCACTTCTGCGCACGGAGCACGTGGCGCAGCACCACGGTGTTGTTGGTCGCTAGAAGGAAATTTACCAGCGGATTGTCGTCGTCCGACACCAGGGACGGCAGTCGAGAGGAGTCTCCTGTATCTTCTTCGAAGGTAGCGCCGCTTGTTCTGGGAGAGCGAGCTGTTGCCCCCGCTGCTGCTTGTGTAGTAGTTCCCGACCACTGGGAGGCCGTGCCAGGCTGCTCCGGTGTTGTAGAAGAAGATGCAATAATTCCACCACTTCCTGTGCGGTCTGGCGTCGCAGCTGCTCTCGGTGCCCGGTGCGGGCTCGGTGACGAAGACGAGCTGCTCGCGGGAGAAAAAGCACCATCAACCTCAGCGTCAGCCATCTCATTTGATGCAGCTGCTTCCCCGCCGCCCAATTCTGGATCGGCAAAGTTTCGCAACGGAAGCAGCTGCTGCGTCTGCCGCTCGGCGGAAGATAAATTGGCGGCACCGCTGCTGTTACTTCTTGTAGCCCGGGCAGTAGTCGTGCTACTGCTCGACGTCCTGGTTGCGGTGCGCAAGCCCTGAATGAAAAGCTTCCGGAGCTTGAAACCCAGCGAAGAAACACCCTGCCAGCATTTCCTCGGTAACAGAAGCAGCAACAAGCACGGGCGCCGACCAGAAGTGCTCATCAAACCCCCGCCGAACAGGCGGTCTATGGGCAGGCACTGGTCGGGCTTATCCAGGTCGCAGCGGTCGGCCTCGGATAAAAACCCGCAGAGACCGCGGAGCTGTAGCAGGACAACTTGCAGGAAGAGAAACACTCCGGCAGCCACCGCGACCACGACGAACAGGGGCATGAAGGCGCTGTCCTCCACGAAAATGCGGAACAGACACAGCACATCCCCGATGGTCGTGCACCGGCCCACAATGCCGAAGACGAAGGCCACACGGTCCCAAGCGGGGGGTAAAACAGACACGTTGCCCGCACTGTTGTTCTGTTTTTTCACGATCAAAAGTAGCATGAACACGAAGAGAATCTCAAGAAGCACGCTGCCCCAAAGCAGGAAGTGCAGCACGTGAAACAGGTGGATCTGCCGTCGCGCCGTCTTTTCCATGGTGGTGGATCCCGGTTCCGGGATGGTCACGCGCATACTGTCCTTGTCCACGTTCCAAAAACCCGCGGAAAAAGGGTGGTAGTGGTCGTAGGCGCGCTGCTTTTCCAAGCCGTGGAAGACTGAGGCTGCTGAGGTACCGCCGTCGTGGCTAGAAGTTGTTGTGCTATCAACTACATCAGTGCTGTGGGACGATGAATCTTCAACTGCATCGCTGCTCAACAAAGATCGGCGCTCAACAGGACGGAAACCGTCCTGTGTTTGTTCCCCTGGAGGTGGTTCTTCGACCCCTTCAATGCCGCGCGTGTAGAAAAAATGCACCGCTTCCGCGTGGCCGCCTACCATCCAGGGCCCGGGGAGCGAAAAATAGACCAAATAGCCAGCAAACATCACGTAATGCACCACGAAAAACATGATCGCCAGTCGGTAACCGTTTTTCGACAGGAAAGCCACGGGAAGAGCTATGCGGGCGAAATTTAATATATCGCAGAATGAGAAGTAGAAATGTGTTCACAGTGAGACAGCTCATCTGCCGTTCTTGTGCCACCCTTGTGTAGTTAGTACTTCATCTCCATAATTATCAGGTTCTCCTCGTTGTAGTACAAGCTACAAGCTGATAATGCACAGAAGTTCACGCGTGACAAAAGTCCCTTTCACATTCACCCTGATGTCCCTTACTAGTCCAACCAATACATAGACAAGATTTCGCTTCGCATAGCCGTCCGGAGCAGGTCGTGCGGAAAGTTCTCCGGTGCGGTTGCCGCAAGCTCGCGCTCCAGCGCCTCGGGGGAGTTCATTTTTCATGTAAGTAATCTAAAAATGGGTTGTATCCGTCTGGTGTTCTCGTCCTGGTCATGCAGTGACGAGCGCCCTCTGAGGCGGTTACTTATCTTGGGGCGGCCGCGGCGAAACAGGAAATTTCAATTCATCCGCGGTTAAGGCCGGGGCTGTTGCAGATGAGCGGAAATATACCGGACGCTAACCGATGAACTTGACTTTCGCTGTACATGTGTCTCTTGTCGCGCGGAAACAAAGCAAGAACACAAGACGTTCCACCAGGGTTGGTTCCGCACAATTTTTAATCGCCCGATCATGAGATCTTCTGTCTTCGCTTCTTCTAAATCTTTTTGCTTCCCTATTTCAAGCGACGGCGAATATTACGAAGCGCCAGCGCCGCGATCAAGTAATTGATTATATTTACAACTTGCAAGTGATCTGTCTCCTCGAGTCTTACTGTAACTTTCCGTTTCGCAGAAATAAACAAACTCCGGTTGCTTATGCAGCTTTGCTAGCCTCTACTTCATTTGGGTTTGTCAAACCATCACCAGAAAGCGTCTACTTGCGTGTAGTAGCAAGTTGTACTCGAGGTAGGATATGGTGGGAGTCTTCAAAAAGCCAAAACGAAATCATCAAAACAGATGGGAGAGCGAAAAGGTAGGCCATGACAGGAAAGCGAAAGTTCGTAAAACCTGTAGTGTCTATTGACATGGACGGATCAGCTGCTATCTAATGCTATTCAATAGCAGTTCGTTGTTGTTGATACTTACTTTACATTCAAAGCGTCTCGTTCTTGAAGGTGACGCCCCGAGAGGGAGTTTATATCGTACCCAATCCACAAGTGTAGGTCCTTTTGCTTATGCGTTTCGCAGAAGATACAGAAAAGTTTTTTTTCCTTTCATTTTCAATGCTACGTAGTAAGTGGTCAGAAAAATGATGTAACAAGTTTTGAGTTTCCTTTTCGGTTCAGCAAAAATAGGGACTTTTTCGGTACTTTTCTGTTGTTTCATCGCGCTGTGCGTTTTACAGTCAAAAAAAGTTGTGGTTGTGAGAAGCTGGGTGGTGCGGCTTAGACAGACTTAGAAGTCTACATAGAAGTGGTCTTCTTCATTCAGGTTACAACAGGCCCCGGTGGGTCTTGTCAATTTCGATGCTCTGGGTTTTGTCGCGCACGAACTCTGCGTCAATGTCGACGCTGGTGCCCGCATATTCCGCCGCCCGAAAAGAGAGCTCGTCCGTCACCTGCTCCACAATGGTGTGCAGCCTTCGGGCGCCCGTATTCTCGATGTAAGTATTCATCTCCGTTGCCAGTCTTGCCACCTCCCGCATCCCGCTCTCGGTCCAACTGATAGGGATCAGATTAAGTATAGTAAAAGTAAATTTGGTTTCAATTGATGTGAAGGTGCAGTCACACTACTTGCAGCTCCTGTCTTCATTCTGATTTTAGCTTGCTTTCTTCCACGTCAGAGTCCTCGTGGAGGGAGTAAGCACAGCAATAGGAATAGCAACAACCCACAACAGAATTTGTAAAATTACTGTACTTGACATCCACGCCCTCTGTGCCCAAAAGCGCCTTGTTCTGATCGACGATGCCGAACTCGGTCTCGGTCAAAATCCGGTAGAAATCGCCCTCCGTAAGCGGATGCAGTTTCATCTTCACGGGCAATCGGCCCTGCAATTCCGCGAGCATGTCCGACGGGCGGACGGCGTGGAAACTCCCGGCGCAGACAAACAAGACGTGGTTGCTCTTGATGTTGCCATACCTTGTTTTATTGTGTGGGTTCGAGTAAATTCCTCGACGACTGCTATGCGTATGCTATGCCTAAGCCTATAATCGCATTTGTATAAACTCAACTGCATCACAAATTTGCTCAGAATGAGAAATGGAATTTGTAATGCGGTTTTATCAGAACAATAGGATTTGTAATGCATGATTGCGATAATTGGTACTTTGTGTTGATCGTGGTGCCTTCGATGATATCCTGTGCAAAAGCATCGTACTCGTAGTAATTGCTTTTATGCATCACAAATCTGGTTCGCAAGGCAAATCAGCATGACAAATTCCATTTGTCATGCTGCGCAAATTTGTATTGCAATTACTACTAGTACGATGCTTTTGCATTTCATAGATGATGGGGAGCAGATCCCGCTGCACCCCCTCGGAGGAGGCGTCTGGACCGTAGGAGCCCTTGGGACTCACGATTTTGTCGATCTCGTCCAGGAAAACGATGCCCTCGTCTTCCACCGACTTCAATGCGCGCTGGACCAGCTGTTGCATTTTTTCTAGATAAGATTTTTGATATCCACATTCATTCATTTACATTTTTCTGCTTTGTTGTTTCCAAGACGAATTTCAAGCACAATGCTCTTTTAGAAGGTTTTCAAGATATCATTCCCCAACAGCACCACTCACTGTGAATCATCGCAGTAGTATGTACCTCTTCCTGCGTGATCCGCGCGTCCAGCTCGGCGCGTATGAGTTTTTTTCTGGCCTCTCGGATGGTGAGCTTCCTTTTCTCCGTGCGCACCGCGCCGCCCTATTACAATGAAAAATGCCCCCACCCCCGAACTTGAAAGCATTTGTATTGCAAATCTTTCCAAATGAAACATTCGCCCTCTTGCGTGTATCAGCATCACAGATTTCCGATCGTGAATAGCAAAAATTTGTATTGCAAAAGATCCCAGCAAGAGCGGTGCTTGTCATGCAAGCGATGCGAAACACGACTAGAATCTGCATCAGAAAGATTCTTACTCCTTTGATGCATGACAAAAAGCTTTCATTTGGGAACTTCGCATCACAAATTGTTGCAATTTCAGGGGTGGGGGGCATTTTTCCCTTTGATACGCCCCGGTTCAGGTTCAGTTGCAGTCGGTTCAGTTCCCGGTCTTCGGGGCTATCAAATGCAAAAGTGTCTGGGTCTGGAAGAATGCAGGAGTTTGTCATGCAGATTTTGCGTGACCCATGAGGTCTGTGATGCATGACCTAGCATCAGATCGGAGGTCTACGGGCTGTTCGTCCCTTTTGGCATCATGCCCTACGTAAACTGATAAAAATAATCATAATAATAAGCAAAACCACAATGTAAAGAGAAGTAAAAATCAGAAAAAAGGGGGAGGGAAAAGGCATAAAAACATAAGCATAAAAATAACATCAGAGATTTTGCGAGGGCTTTCTGATGCTCATACCGCATGAGAAACGCCCTCTCCGCGTAGCACAAATTACACCTCTGTCTTTTGCTGTTCATGCAATACAGATTTTATGTAAATTCCAAAAGTAGCATCACAAGTTGCATCCTTCCAGACCCAGACATTTTTGCAATCCATAGGGGCTGCTGCGGTATAAGTCGTGGATATCCGGAAACCCGCCCGGGCCCGCGCCGGCTGGGCCCGCCTGGGAAGGCGGGGGCGTAATCGGAATATCCACGTACACCGTGCGGTCGTCGAGCCAACTGGGTTTTGGTTTTGTATCGTTTTCGTCAGCGAAGAAAAAAACTTACAGTAAGTTGTACGAGTTGCTCTAGTGTTGCAAATCCACAGACAAAGCTCCTCCTCAAGAAGTAGAATTTCATTACTTAACCTAGCGTTAGCAATAGCAAACTGTGCGAGAATGAAGATGAACTATAAGGATGTCCTCCAAAATAAACCAGCGTACTGATATCTACTAAAACTAAATACCCTTTTCGAAAATGCCCGAGCCAGGTTAACTTGTCGGCGTCCTGACTGAGTTCGCCCAGCAGAGCTTCGAGCAGCTTTTCCTCGACCACCTCCGTGGCGACGGGCGTGTACTCGGCTTCAAGTTTTTTCTGCTGCATTTTTATCCCCGCTTCCATCAAATCTCGCATCACGCTCTCGATGTCGCGCCCGTGAAAACCTTTGTGGGAGATGCTTTTGAATAGAAATCCGGGCACTGTGTATTGAGTTTGAAAGATAAAAAGTTGTATAAGGAACATCCCTAGCCCTTGCTTTGTGACGTTTCCTATCAATCTGTTGCTCTTCTATTTTCTGCAACCACGAAGATGCAAGTGTGCAGCACTCGATCGTGATCGTGATGGTCGTTTCGCTACAACTTGCTTGTTGGAACAGAACTTGACGGTCAACACATCGATTTCCTGCACCGCCGGTACCACCCATACACAAACACGACCATGAGTACTCTAGTAGTCATAGTAGAAAAGGATTATTTCGAATTCGATCAGTAGCAGTACCAACTTCCGTGAATTTTGTTGCTTCCGCAACGACGAAGGGTGCGTCGATGATTTTCGCGAGTCGGCGGGCGATCTCCGTTTTACCACACCCGGTCGGGCCAATCATCAGGATGTTTCGCGGTGTGCAGTCCTCCCGCTTCTTTTCGTCTAGTTGTTTCCTGCGCCAGCGAAAACGGATAGCGGACGCCATGGCGCGCTTCGCGTCTGCCTGCCCGATGATGTACTTGTCCAGCTCAGCCGCGAGCTGCGGTGGCGTCATCTGAAAACACTCCGTTTTCCCGATTTTCGAGGGGTCCTGTTCATCCCCCGCCGGCGGGCTGAAGCTCGGAATGTCTTTCTTCGGTAATTGTGCGCTGGAACCTGAGGTTGGGTTTTGTTCAGGTGGTTGTGCAATTGATTTCTTTCGATGTTTAGCCCGTCGCATACACAATGGAAGGAGTACTAAAATTTAAATTTCGGAACCACGACGTCGCTCGGGTAGAATGAAAGGGGTAATGGTAAAAAAAACAATTACAATTTTACTTCACCCGCTTAGAAGAATAAAGCTGATCGAGAAAAAGTACTCATCGCTCGTCTTCCGACGCTGCAAGTCCCGGTTCTATCGCTGCTCGTCCTGAAGCGGCCGGCGGACGATGATGCGCTTGCAGTGGCAGGACATGATGCTAGCAGCTGTTGCTGCGCTCGTATCGCCGAGCCATTCCGTGCGTGCCGAGTGGCTGCACGCGCAGCCAAACGCACCTGCACAATGGCGGCTTGTTGCATCGATCTTGCTCTACAACTAGGGCGATCTATTGAAGAGCAAGAGCTCTTGCAGTTTTATCTATTTCGATTTCCCCAGCGGCTCTACAACAATCTCAACTGCGACCCCTCTCGTTCTTCGTAGCACGACGGACAAGGGATCTCAGACCAACACTGTCCGACCGTTCGTGCTTGACAAAGCAGAGCCACACACTGCTGGTCGCGGTTGCTGCTTCGGTTCTAAACAGACGCAGAGTTGTGCGACCACAAAAACAACTGCAGATGATTTTGTCAGTAGCAAAAATTCTGATTTTTATTGAAGGACAGTAACCAGAACTGAGCGATCGATCTTGTGTCTTTTCTAGCTGAAATAGCGAAGAGAAGCGACGATGCAAATTATACTTCTGTTGTGGGTTATCGTTATTCTTCTATTGGTACTTTAGATGTTGAAGAAATGGTGATGGGTCATCTACTCTACAAAACTTGTGCCTGGGTGGGGAAACTAATTGAAGCAAGTATTTCTATTTTAATCAACAAAAACTCGTCTGTCTTACGTTCTGCTTCTGCTTCTGCACATTGAATTTGAAAATAAACAGACGAGGCTAAAAAACGAAAAGCGGGTAGACGACTACTTCTTATGGGTACCAAAATAGCAAAAAAGCATAAAGCTATGGGCAACAAGATGACGGGAAAAGAGGCCTGCTTGGATGGTACTACCAGCAACACGGACAATACAATGATGTAGTTCACTACTTTCAGTAAGATTAGAAGCAACTCTTCTGCTCTTTCCTCACACTCTCTCTCCTGACTCTGCGGCTCCCTTGCCAATGCAAATTGCAGAATGTCATGCGTGTCACCTATTTCTTTCTCTCTCTCTCCCCTCTCTCTCACAGTCTCTGCATCAAAATCTACAAGAAATTGTGAATGTCGGAAATGTCTCCAAAGCGATCCACTCGACCTGCATTCTATCGCTCAACAAACACTATTCTTTTAGTTCCGCATTCGGTCGGTTGGATTTGACATAAAAAATGTCGCTATTGATGCAATTGCTTTTCTCTCGTCATCTTCATGTCTGGAATTCTATCTACTTGTGCTAGGCTTTTCCTATCCCGTAGTATTAACCGTGCTAGCCACAAAGGAACACCAGATGGAAGCATTGGATAATTTCTGTCGAAAAAGAAAATTAATAAGTACGGCCTTAGCGCCGATCGCTTCGCGGTATTCGATTTGGCATAATCGGCAATGCATGCGCGACTTGACCTTCTAGAGGCTCATCGCAATAGATACTCGACGAGCACAATCACTTTATCCGCACGAAAACAACTTCAGGAGAATTTTCGCACGAACACCTGGCGCTCCAACAGCTCGCCGTGTCTCTCTGCGTCGAGGACGACTAGCACGGAGAGAAAACAGACCACCAGATCGAACAGGCCCTCAGACGCCGCCACGAAGGTGAGAAGACAGTGCGCGGACAGGAGGGCGCGGTAAACCGCCAGCATGGCCGCCGACCGCCGTTTCAACGTCGCGACCACCGCGAAGGCGTGCAAACTCCACAGCCCGGCGTACCCCCCGACCTGCGCGGACGTCGGCCACCGCGGGTAGAGGTCGTCATTTCCGTCAAAGGGAAGTACGGCGAAGCCGGAAAAGACGGCGACGCAGACGAGAAACTGGAGGAAAAAGAGGAAGAACGTTCCGGCGCACCGCTGCAGCGCGAGCGGCCGCAGCACGGCCAAACGCGGGACGGTGGCGTGGATGACATATCCTATCTAAAAACGTCGTCCCCAGCCCCTGATAGCTGTCATGCTGATTTGCATCTACAGAAAAATTAATCTGTATATGCACATCCGGAAAAGAGGGATTTGCCGTCGTGTTCTGGGATTTGTAATTCTGTAAACAGCATAAGGAGGCATCTTTGTGATGCGGCTGTCCTTGCAAACCAGCGCTAGTGCGCTGCAGACGGAACAAAGGGAAACCTGTCATGCATAACTCCCATAACTTGGAGATTTGTGTTGCAGATTCATTTACCAACTTGACTACGGTGTGGGGACGTTGTTAATCAGGATATGACAAACCCATGGTTCATGCTAGCTTCCGCCTCCGTAGTCCCGTCGTCCTCCGTGTCTTCGTCGTCGATGTTGTTATTTTCTACTGGAGTTGATGTTGTACCACCATCATCTACAACTTCACTAGCAGTATTCGTTGAAGTAGAGGTTGGTGTCGTTTCCTCATCCTCATCTTGCTCTTGGGCTGTGGTAGTGGTTCTTCTTCCTGACAATCCCGCAGAGGCCGAGGAGGGAGAAGTGGTGCTCTGTGTAGCGCGTGCATTGTCGCCCTCTGTGATCATGTGCGGCTCGCTTCCAACAGCACCGCGGGCCGTGCTAGCTTGGCTGTCCCTTGCTTGATCGCGAGAGGAACTGGTAGACCGGGAGGACGGTGAAGTAGAAGTGCTAGTTGTGGAGGCATTAGTACTTCTACTTCTTGCACTGCTTCGCTGCCGCTGACTCGGGCGCGGGTAGGTTTGAATTCGGTCGATCAGGGTTCCACACACACAGCGGTCGCCGGGGAGAACCACTTGCAGGGGAATGTTCTTGCGGGACGCAATGCGGGAGAAAGCCTGCTGGTGGAAGAGCCACGGGGAGTCGGCATCAAACATGCGCAGCGGCACGCACCGCCGCGAAGAACTCATCGAGGAGCCTGACGAGGACACGGAGGAGGACATTTTGAGTTTTAGAAGTTGTATTTGAATTTATTTTTGCATCCTTCGCTTAAACCTTTGATTCTATCGATACTTGACAGACGAGGACAGGTAGATGCCGTTGGGAAACGCCACACCCTAAAAAACAACACAGCAACGCAAAAAAACAAAATCGCCCCGGCCGCTGGACGAGAAATGAGGCACGAAAAAGCAAGATCGGAATGTCGTTCTGCAACGCAGGCGAAGCTAGGAGTAGGAGGCTGCTCAACCAGAACAATGTTCCTCTTCACTAGACTTACGTCATCATCTCACTCTCACCTGGTAATCGGAAGATATCACCCGGAGAGCTGGTGCTACTCTAGGAGGTGGAGCAGAATCACATATGAGTACTCCACTGTATCGGCTTCGCAGTGCAGAAGACACACAGGGACCGGTCAGCACAGTAGCGATGGCACTGAACCTCCACACTGAAGACCAATTGTTAGAACACGACATACACACCACCACGCGCAGAGCGCGGCCCTACCACACTGCCAGACGACAAGACCACAACATTATTAAATCCCCGCAGCGGTGCCTGCGGAAAACGTGTCTCCAACCCCCGGTGCCAGGCATCCGCGGCCGGCCAAGCAGCAGATCACCGCGCGGCGCATCCCACCCCCCCGAAAGAGGAAGGCGGCTCGCTCGGCGGGGTATGGCAACAAAATATGCGCTTGGGCGGGACACTGCCGCGGCGGGATGGGCGTTGCCGCGGCGGCATTGCCGGGGCCGGCAGGCTTGGGCTGCCGCTGGCCTCCGTCCGTGGGCCGCAGAAGCGGCCCGCCCCGTTTCCCGAATACGCACCCGCGGAAGGCCTCGCGGGCTTGCGCCCGTTCCCCCCCACTTGTGCCGCTTCGGCGGGATGGGGCGGCGGGCGCGCAGCGCCCGCCACCCCACTGCTGCGCGTCGAGCAGGGCGCTCCATGGGCCTTTCGTCGAAAGCCTTTTCGTGCAGCGATCTGTTCTGCAGAATCTCCATCGATAGGCCCCTCCCACCGTTTAGCAGGGCGTTCCAGGGGCGCTCTGCTGGCGGGCGCCCTGCTGCGCGACTCGGCGAGCGGCTACGAGATCCACGGCGACGAGACTCAGGCTTGGCGAACTGATGCGGGGCGCATGTCGTGAAACGCTCGCCATTGTCCCGCCGCAGTTCTATGGAATTGCAAAAGCATTGCTGCACTGGCTCACTGACCGAAACGAGGGATACAGAATTGATATGCAAAGTCCAAGGGTGATGAAAAAAAAATGCTGTCTGTATCTGTCCTGTCTCCAACCCGCCATATTTCTATGGCGCTGCTGCATATAGATATTTATACATATTTATTATACTTTGATTGTTTATAACGATTGGCCAGGGGCTGACTCTGATACAACCGTCCTGGTCCTTCACTTGCTTGCGCTGGGATGCCGCAAGCGACCTTGCCAGGCCCAGAGCTGTGACTTCTATCTTCACGACAATGCCACGGGCCCGCAATGTTTTTGCGGTCTTAACCGAAACGGACCGCCAGCCTGAAGGCCTTCCCGCCGTAATCCGTTTACGGATTTCCAAAGCCAGCTCGAACGCCAAGACCTTCCCGCCGATTACTTAAATCGGCGGCCGATCCGACGAGTCGAACGCCGGGCACCCAAGCAGAGGACTTTTGCGCGCGGGCGTGGAGCCCGCTTGGTGGGCTAAGCAGCGCAAGCCGCAAGGCGACCAGAAGGGCGGGCCCCACGAGCCGGTGGCTGGCCCTGCCCATCGGCGGCCAAAGGGGGCGGGCTACTACATTTCTGGCAGGCCGCCGCGCAGAAGCGGCGCGGCAACAAGCAGCCCCGATCCCTCCTCGGTCCCGCTGGACTCATGAAGGCGCGTCAGGTCTCCATCGGCCACCAAACCCAAAGTGTCTAGCTCGAGCGGGCCCACCATGCTTCATCTCAGAAGTGTTTGCCGTCGCTCCATCTTGTTGGCCGGTAACACGCGCAACTGATGATGATGATGATGATGATGATGAACCGCCGCTACGCGATGTCAGCGCTGCCATTCTTCATTTCAATTTGCCCCCGAGGCTGACACACATCGACTAGAGATGTATATTCAATAATTTCAAACGGATGCGCGTATTCGAGTCAAGTTTTATTCTTTGACTTTGTCTTGTGCAATACATCATAGTCATACACAATTGGAATTTCTCCTCTGTTTTTCATTCCCGCGGCTCTTGGAATCACTCTCACTCATCGTCATGTCTCATGTCGCTCACGAAGGGAGGCACGCAGCTCTGCACTGCCTAAACTCTCCATAGCATACTCTTGTTTCAGTTTTTTCTCGTCGGGTGAGGAAAGAAACCTATCCACCCGACAGTAGCAATCGGCCATTCCCACGCAACATCAAAGTTGGTGAACAAAACATGTGCATCGATGCCCAGGCTAGGAACACTTTGCCTCCACGCGGCGAATAAATATGGGCATCTTGATCTTTGTGAGCACGCCGACCATAAAAATGTCTGGAAAAATACGCAGCTTCTGATGCTAGTCACAAACATCTTTCGTCTGCTAGGCCAAAGAACCCAGCAATTCGCACACGGCCGCCTACTCTGCGAGTCAGCCACCTAGGTGGTGCGTAGGAACGGTCTTGCGCTTTTCAGCGAGCACTTGCTCATCGCCACGTCCTTCGTCTCTGCCATCCACAACTTTCGTCTCATTTTCGACCCGACAACTGCTCGTCGTTTCCGGACAAGAACCTACTGTCCCTCCTTCTTCTAGCCGATCAATCGCTTGCCGTGTGCGCAGGCGTCCCGCAGCTTCTCGCAGCGCGTTCTCGTAGGTTTTTGCCCGGTGCGAATCCAGATGCTGGCGCACGGTCTGCAGTCCCACTTCAGCCTGCTCCACGTGGTAGCGCCAGCCGACGGGAATCGGCTCGAACCCGAGAGGTACGTCTCCGACCTCCTGCACCGTGCCGCTTTCGCAGATGTAATAGAAGTACTTGCCGCCCCGCCCGGCTGCCAAATGCTGCATCGCATCATGCCGCACGGAAATGCTCGTCTGTGCCAGCTGTCGTGCCGTCGACTCCATGTAGTCGTCGCTGCTCTGCGTCCTGACGAAGAGCTGACTCTTCTCCGGCGGCGGCGCGACCAGCGACGCGGGATTATAGAGACGCTCTTGATGCCCTGGCGGTGCTGCGGATCTGGCCTCTGCTGGTGAGCTCCCCTTCGCTCTCGAATCATGATTCTCGGCCTCCCCGTCCTCGTGACTACCACCGGCGGACGTCCCGTTGCGCCACATGGCTTGCAGCCGTCGGGCGTCGTCCACAGCGTCAGACAGCCGCATGAGCATTGCATCCTCCTCGAGTCGCGAACTGCACTCCGCCTGCAGGATAAACTGAATCTTCTCGAGGAAGGTCCACTGTAGGGCCTCGATGCGCTGGAGGGTGAGCAACAGCCGCATGATGGACCCCACACTCAAAAACGCCACCAAGTCGTGTTCCATGACGAAGGGGTAAGACTCCAGATTTTTGATCGCGGAAAAGTCAATCACGTTGCCGGACGGGGGAGTCGTGCTACTGCTAGCGTCCTCACAATCAGCAGTCCTGCCATAATTTCTGTAGTTTTTAGAATCATCTGTTCTCCGAGCAGAACTCTTGTCGCTTTTGTAGTTGTCGAGAATGCTGCTACCGGCAAATACTTCGTCTAGCGTCTCGGGCACAAAAGCATCAGCTTGCGAGGTTCCAGTTCCATGATCGATCGCCATTTTCCGTGCTACCGGCGGGCCCGCAAAGGACCAGCACTCGATCTGCACATCGTTCCAGCTCTCCACGCCGCGGCGCAGCTGTGACAGGAGAAGCGCTGCGATCTGCGCTACGCCGCCTCCCAGGGAGTGGCCGCAGAAGACGACGCGGTTGTACCTGTCCAAGTTTTGCGCACCAGCTGCGCCGTGGTCCCCGAGCTCCCGCTCCACCGTCGCGTGCGCTTCCTCCAAGACGTAAACCGCGGAATTGAACATACCTTCGTGGAAAGTGAGGGCCGAATTCTGCAAGTCGGGCACGAAAACCGTGCGGGTGTCAACCATCAAATCCGTCATCACGTCGTCCAGAGTTGCGGTTCCGCGGATCGCAACCACAATCGCGCTTCGGGACTCGTCCGTGCCCACCACGATCTGCGGCCGAGCAAATTTCTTCTGCCCGATCTGGCTGTCGTCCTTTTCTCGCCGTGAAAAGAGGACTCGGTCGAAGGTCGGGACCGTTGCGGAAGTCAAGCTAGTATGGCCACCACCCGGTTCATCATCTTCAGGTGGAATTATAGCTGCCAGGTTTTGAGTTGTCATTGAAATTGTGTCCTCTTGTGCTTGTGATTTTCCGTTGCCTTCCACGCTCGTCCCGCCCTCCAGCTGGGATTTGTTCATCTCGTCGCCATTCGCATTCATCTCTGTGGGAGACAGTTTGTAGGTCAGGTGCGCGCACTTCATGTATCTGGCAGCGCGCTCGAGAAACTCCAGATCCTTCACATCTTCACGACTGGTTTTTTGCGATCCCCGTTTTGCCGCTGACGTGGCCAAATACCGCTCTGCGGCGGTAAGCATAGCCAAATTCATCAGCGGCTGGATGTCGACCGCACTACTGGACGTTTTCGCTGCGTCGCTGCCATCCGCATCTTCTTTGTCGGGCGAGCCGGGCCGCGACTTCGCGGTGCTGAGTGCTTCGTCACTAGAGGACGCATTAGAAGCAATTTGTCCTGTTCTTTTTTTCGTGTCTTCTCTGGCATTTTTTTCGTGTCCCGACGATACAACTGGGTCGCTCGACTTTCTTGCCGAGGAGGTAGAAGTAGATTCTGGTGGTGCTGGTGCGCCACTCGCACTCCTGGTGTGGAGTTTTATTTCTTGGAAGGTCCGCCTGGCTTGCTCGGAGCGCGAAAGCTCTTTTTCGAAGACGCTGAAAAAAAACCGCACTTGCGCGAGCTCCCTGCCGTACATTTCCTCGACCCGTTCCTCGACGCGGGCACGCAATCCCGTGGTCCCGCTCGTAATAGCGTCGTACCACCATCGCAGCTCGCCATTTTTGCTCAGAAAAAAACTCGACGTGGTAGAAGCAGTGGGTGAAGACGACTTATCTTCCCGGGCTGCGGGTACAACTAGAGGGTTCTTCCACGTCTCAGAACCGACAAGGGAGCTCCACCAGCCCTGCAACACTGAGGACGTTGTGGTACTTCTACCAGAAACAGAATCATCATGAACTGATATCGCTTCTTCTTCAGATCGCGCGCTTGTTTTCGACGGCGCCGAGGCAACATCTCCCGACGAGGAACCTGGATCAACATGCGCAGCACCGTCTGAGCCCTTGACCGCACTGCAGGTGGCTCCATTTGGCCCGCCGACATCTCTGCGTCGTGCGGACCAAGATCCGCGAGTCAACTTCTCCTTCAAAGCGCCCGAAATGCGACTACGCATCGTCTCCTCGCAGGAAGATGTGGACTGGTGCTGGCCAGAAGCGGGCATACCGCGGAACAGCGCTTGGCCCCGGCCCGCGGCTCTTTGGGTGTCGCTGACGTGTCCGACAACAGATTTCCACAGGATGGAGCAGGTAATGAGAATCCTTGCTTTTTGTCGAGAGACAAATATGATGAATTACAACTATTCACGGAGCGAGGGCATACAAGATCAAGACTACTGCTGGGTTGGAAGTTGAAAAAATATATGGCGCTACGGATTTTGTGCGGCCTCGAGGATTAAAAGTAGGTTCACCTCCTGTATCGCTTCGTTCCGACCATATCTTATGATAAGTTGGGATTGTTCATCTGATTCTCGTTTTAAGTTGATTTTGAAAATAAAGAGCGGGGCGGGTGCAGAGGAACGCGTTCATGTAGCTTTTGCTTTTAGTTTATTCCTGCCATTATTAGCTTCCAAGAGGAGGAGAGACCTAAGTCTGGCCTTGCGATCGTTGGTAACTGTGGTAACCGTAATGCCCATGGCTCACAGCTTACGATCAACACGAGGCGGAGATCTGCTTCGCTCGATGATCTGGAATTAGCTGACACACGCACGGCTTGGCGCCACACTTTTGATTTGGCTTCTCTGGCTGTAGAGGCATCGCATCATCTTCTATATTCGTACTCTATGAAGAACACTTGCAACCCAGAGAGGGTTGCGCTCACAATCAATTTCAATCTCTTTACATACCACTACAGGGTGGCTCCTGTAGCGCACGCAGCCATAGCGAAGCTGTAATGACATGAAAGCAACAAAATTCTAGGTTTAAGGATTTAGGCAAGTGCAGCTGCGCCTGCGTTGCACAACTATGTCAGGTTGTCTAGGACGCATTTTTAGGGTTGCTCTGTAGTTTCTTCCAGCTGCTACATGGGCTTCCTTCTCGCCTGTGCACAGGCAACCTTGATCATCTCACTGACTAGAACGTGTGTTTGGGGTCGCCTTTTAGCAGCAGGCTTAAAAATGGCCCCAGATCTCCGATTTCGCTCTCTGTAGTTATGCTTTTGTATGAAAGGACCGAACGCCATGATATATGGTAAAGACCCAACTTCCTATGCCATGTCACCTCAGCTTCAAGTTCAAAAGCGAAGATCTTTACTATATTAGTTATGTGCGAACGCTCTTTATTGATCATGATCATCATCATGCAGATGCAGCGGTCTCACACTCACACCGACACTCTACTGGCGTCGCAAAACAACTCAGACATCGCTGCCATTGAGGTCGGGGCCGCCAGTGGTCTACTCGCTTTTCCTTTTTCTTTCTCCACAAGCAATTCCGACGCGCAGAACAAGAATCCGACGACGCCACCGCCAGCGCTTCTTCTTACAAAAAACTCCTACAACTACCGCGGCACAGCTTCTTAGCTGCCCCGGAGTCGGAGAGAGGAAACAGAGCTGCGCTAGCGATGAAAGAGCTCACTCATAATCCGGCTGCGGCCACGCACGACTAAGATAGACGCCCCCGCGCCGCACTGGGTCTACCAGCCTACCCTACCAAGGAAGGGCGGGCGCCCCACCAGCCACCAAGCGCCACCGGCGCACGGGCATGGGACTGGCAGATGCGCATAAATATCACTGAGCGGGGGGACTGCGGGCGTTGCGGCCCAGCCGGACCCCTGGGGCGGGCCTACGAACGCAAGGCCGCCGGCACTGGTGGGGCGGGCGGGCGCGGACGCCTGTTGGGGGACGGGCGGGACCGGCACGGCCCCCCCCCTCCCTCGGGCGCCCCGCCGGCCCTCCCGGATGGGCCGAGCCTGCCCGCGGGTCGCCGCTGCAGCGGGCTCTTCCTGTCCAGGCGGTGCCTCGCCACTGAGATCCAGCTGCCGTGCCCTGGAATATAGAATCAATCATGAAGGTTGCGCATGAATGTAACCTGCAATCTACTTCCGAAGTCTGCCTTTGCGTCGCGCGCTAGCATTTGTTTCAACATCCGATCATCGCAAAAATAAGCGCAGACACTAAGTCGCTATTTGAATTTGTGTACAGTCCACGGATTATTCACTACCTCAGTCACTTCGCAACGCCGACACTCATGCACTGGCTTACAATATGAAAAAAGTACCTGCTAAGGGGCGGCAACTGGGCATCACTTTGGTAGAAGCGGCGGACGGCGGCTGCCTTACTGAAATTGCGCCTCGGGCCGCAATTTCTTCGATCCGCTCACTTAGATTTATCGCAGCCTCAAATGAGATGATTTTCAAAATTGTGCGCTCGTGAAAGAAGGCGAACAAATCTTGCAAATTTACTCCATCCCGCTCTTTGATCCGTTACGCTAGGGGAGCCCTCACACCTGCTAATAATTATCCTGCCCCCGGCCTCCATGGCGGGAATGGAGCTCGCTGTGGTGCAAATTGGCGGGAATGGAGCTGTGGTGCTTTCTCAATCGAAAACTTCGCGCGAAATAATGACAAAGCCGCTGCCGACGTAAAATAAATGCCAACGCTAGCAGGCTCTTGGTCGCGTCCTGAGCTCTAAGCCAGAGGACAAGCAGAAGAAAAAAAAGGACTAGCATGCAGGCTTGACTTAAAGGCGAACGCTCCCGGGAAGGACCGTGGAAAAACAACCGCGCTCGCTTCTAGGTGAGCGAGGTACTGTCCGGGCACTGTCAAGCTTTCACTTTCTGCGGGCGAGTGTCTGCCTCAGGGCTGAGCCGAGAAACATTTTGTAAGGCGAGGCACTACCCGTTTTTAGCGGTGAGGGTGGCCGGCCGTGACAGTAGAAAAACAATATGGCGCAACATTCTTCGGCACTGTAATAGCTGCTACGAAGGTGAGCCAGAAACAGCTCCCGAGTAGAAAAACAAAAAAGAAAGGATTTCCGGCACAGGACAGGAGTTTTTATTTTTGCGCAAGAGAAGCTAGCAATAAAAAAGAGAAAAGTGGAGGGATGACTTACGCACAGCAAACGCAAAGACAAACTGCATCAGATGCAAATCGAATTCGCGCGCTGCCTTTTTTCCGCATGATGTCAAACAGCTACAGCGAACGCCTTGTAGTGCGAGCATTATTCCGAGGCTCATCTACTGTCTTGTTTGGCTGTGATAATCTTCTGCATGTGTGCCGTCGCGTTGCATTTTACGCAAATACCGACACCAATAGAAAGCGCCCCGTCCAGACACATCGAGTCGGCGGTAGTAGCGATCATTATCGTACAGAAAACTTCTAGGCAGAGAGCACGAACATCATCAGCGTCGCTTTTATTATTCCATGCTTAGAGTATTAAACTTAACTCTTCGGCAATCGCCAGTAAAGTTCTTAAAAGTGTGCGCTCTGCTAGTAAATTTCTGCACGATATCCCCAGGCGCGACACCACTATTGAAGAAATTAAACCGCTCGGGGACCCGGACCGGAGATCTCCTTCAGAGCGCGCGCCCCAGAACAGGAAGACGAAAAACTAGGTCCGCGAGCGGCCATAGAGAAATATGTCTCGATCCGGCCGCGCCGAATCGAAGAGGTAACAAACCAAAAGCGACAACTAAGCCGGCATGTAGTACACTCATCTCCTCTACAACTTCTGCTTCTTCTTTTTGGATTTATTTTGAAAAAGGTAAAGAAGCCTTGTGCTGGCATGCGAACAATGACGCGAGGAACTCTCAACATCAGGATTTTTATGTCGCTGCAACACTCTGGAAAGGGAGACACTCAAATCACCAGTAACTCTCACACTCCGTCATCGACACCCTCACAGCACAAGACGGCTTTGGAGGCCGATAATTTACCCGCTCGGTGTCGGGGAAAAAAACGAGCAAAGCGCTAGCCATGGAAGTGCGAATGCTCAAGCCAGCGGGTATAATATTCTGCCAAAGAGCACACTTAGAGGGCCCGGAACACTCACGGCTCGTTAAGAACAAGTTCGGCCTGGGCCTTCCGGTATAATTTACAAAGCCACCGTCGGGGCGAACGCAAAAACAAGGATCGGGAGAACAGATGAAATCCCAAAGACAACCGCGGCCAAGGGACAAAATCGCCCCGCGGCGCTCAGCCAACTCGGGGTGCCCTTCAAGCCGGCCAACCAACACAGGATGGCACCGCAGTGGGGATGGCCAACGCGCGCGGACCCGGCCGCTCGGCCGGCAGGGCGACTGTGGCCCGCCCGTCTGCCGCGCCTAATTTACCCGCTCCGGGCTACACACGGGGCCGGCCCCTTGCCGGCGGGCGCGCGCCGCGCCCGCAGCTCTGCGTGATCATAGATGGGCACGGGGAGCGGCAACCGCCGCGCGCCAACGCCCCACCTACCGAGAAAAATAACGCACGCGGGCGCGCCGCCGGCGCGACGGCGCTCGCCACATGGGCGCGCGCGCAATCCGCTGCGCGCGAAAGCGGGGCCGGGAAACGATGGCACGGGCGCGGCCTTTGTTTGCGACGCCAATAGCATAGGGGACGCCGGCCGGCTATAAGTTTTCGCGTGGCGTCCGCAGCTTTGATTTCTGGGGCCAAGACTTCCCCCGGGCGCCCTCGCCGGCTCTCCTCGGCCAAGGTGGCGGGCGCGGTCGGCATCATCTTCATCCCCATCGCACGCCCTTCCTTTCTTTGCCGCGCCATAGCTGGTTTTCTTGCTGGCGCATGCTTTCCATGGTCTGCAGGACTGTTGTGGCTCGCCGCAAGAGAGGAAAAACTACGTCCGCGAGCGGCCGTAGAGAAATATGTCCCGATCCGACCGCGCCGAGTCGAAGAAGTACCAAACCAAAAGCGACAGCTAAGCCGGCATGTAGTACACTCATCTTCTCTACAACTTCTTCTTCTTCTTTTTGGATTTATTTTGAAAAAGGTAAAGAAGCCTTGTGCTGGCATGCGATCAATGACGCGAGGAACTCTCAACATCAGGATTTTTATGTCGCTGCAACATTCTGGAAAGGGAGACACTCAAATCACCAGTAACTCTCACACTCCGTCATCGACACCCTCACAGCACAAGTCGGCTTTGGAGGCCGACAATTTACCCGCTCGATGTCGGTGCTAGATGTAACAAAATTATAATGTGCCACAGTGGACGCGGACAACTGAGTACTACTAACGTCACCGTGCAGAAGAATAAAGGAACTACTCCGATGACCTTGCTTGAGCCGACCGAGGGGCGTCTATCTGCCATCCAGGTCGGGCTCGCTCGAGGCTGAAGCCACGCACTCTTTCACTCGCAACTCCATTTGGATTGAATATCTGGAAAAACGCGTTTTGGCCAGCTATGGCCATAACATGGATTGTTTGCGTTCTGCAACAAGAGAGCTCTCTTTTTCAACAGACAACAAAACTGGAAATTGGAATTGCATAAGGAGATAGTATCCAAAAAGACCCTGGGACAAAACTAAACTAGAGAAAAATTGAGCCGGAACACAACTGTGGCAGAAACCACGAGAAGGACCACAGGACCAGATCAAAACTGCTTCAAGAACGACTCTCGATGAAGGTCTTGTTTTTCATTTTCCCAATTATTTTGTACAGATAAAATGGCACTTCTTCACTCCCTTTACTGTTTGGGTTCGTGCGTAGCTAGAAAAGTGTAAACTTTGAAACGGACATGAAGTAACAATCAGAATCAGATTTTGTAACTGGAAGCTAGAAAAATGTAAACTCTGAAACGAATAAATACGAAATAATGGTCAGAAGGATGATGTGAACTAAACCTGTGGAGCGGGTCGGTAAAACTGTCATAGTAGCTGCGCGAAATTACCGCAATTGGGTTTGCGACAGGCTATGATATCCATTACATGGAACAAGCACTTCCGCGCTCATGCCTATTTGACAGTTATCAAGTGCACGTACTCTATTTGAGACGTACAGTTCGTAAAATGAAGCGGGCTTGTCTTTTTGTTTTTATAAGCATATAGCATTATTCTTCTTGATTTTCATATTCCAGGTCCTCTATGCCTGGCTTGTAGGTCGTGTAGAGGACGGCCTGTATTCTTCTGTATTTTCATATTCCCTCCTGTCTATGCCTTAGACTACTTGTAGGAGTAGAACGAAAGAAGTAGAACGTCAGAAAGGACAGTTGACAGATATCAACACGACATACTACCTCCAGAAGCAAAATTTAATATTGTACTTTTTCAATAAGTACTTAAACGTGCTGGCGCTTCTGGCGCGCCCGCAACAGTTGCTTAAGCTTCTCACCTCCCACCGATCGTGTTGCCCCGCTCCTGCAATCTACCGTCGAGAATTGCCTTCTTTTCCGTTTGAAAGACCGCGAATCTGCTCGCCGGTGGGACGGGGCTGATGAGCTTGGTCCGCAGCAGGTCATGGATTTGCTTATTTGTAAATCCGTCCCAATCGAAGGGTATCAGGGGTGTCACACCGTCGTCTTGCACCGGGACCAACCCGTTCGGGCCGAACAACGCCAAGTACGTTCTCTCCGCGCGGTGGCGTTCAAACTGGGTGCGATTCTCGAGAATGCGGTTCACAAATACCGCTCCACCGTTCAGCGCGACGAGAAACCTTAGACAGAAGATGTATTTTCATTGTTGCTTCATCTCTTCCATGTTGTCTTTGCTGATATTCAAATACTTCTGTTCAAACCATGCTACCAGACAACTGAACTTCAACCTCAACGCAGGAAAGCGCAGCCATAAGCATAACTAACATTAGTGAAAATATGACTTACTCCCACACTTGGAAGAAAAACGCTTGCTGCTTCTCCGGCTCAACGCCGTCTTCCTGCTGCTTCACAAATTCATGGACTATGCAAGAAACAAACAGCTTCGCTTGCAACCGTGGAGACAGAAGATAAAAGAAAAGTAACAGCTTGTTCGCAGCCAGGGGAAGGCAGGGGCAGCAACAACAAATTACAATCCGAAGTATCATCAGAAACTAACAATGATATGAGTCTAATCAAGCGGAAAAAGTAGGCGTTTCATCGGCCGGCAACAAGTTAGTTTGTTTCTTCCATAAACGCGGCCAACTGGCGAAAGTCATACCAGAGAATGAGCGCATGCTGGATACCCGACCGTCGGGGCAGTTCTGGTTGTAAAACCGCGAGTTGCAGCATGTTGTTGCCGAGCTGCTGCGGTGGTGGTGGGGCAGGTCTCTCCGATCTTATTCACGTGCGCGACTACGTCCTTGTCATGGCAAGGAAGTCAACCTTAGGGCCAGCAGCATCACATTTTAAGATTCGGGGTCACATCAGTACCTGCAATCCCGCGGGATCACGACTAGTGCACCATACATACTCCTGATGCTGGATCTGGAGGGATAAGGATATCTCCTTCACACAAGAAAATGCTAGTAGAGCATCTTCACTTCCTAGGAACAGGACATTGCTTTGCGCGATCATAAAATATAGCTCCTCCATTCCCAAAGCCAACCAGGAAGTTATGAAAGCCAAAGACACTCGGCAACGACATTGCACTGTGCGAAAGTCCAGCCGCCGGCTTTCTAAAAAATCTTCATCTACTTGGTATTGCGAGGCCGAGGGCCGTACATCATTCGCAAGCAGTTGCAGGCAAAAAGCGGAAGCCTGGGGGATTATACGTAGGGATAGGCCTCGCCGTAGCACCACTACGTTCTCTTCTGCATGAGTATGCCGCATGGGATTGCAACTGCTAGACAATATTCATTTGAATTTTTGTTCATCATCATAATCTTCTCCATCAGCTTGGCATCTGGCAGACACGCGCCAGGAGCCGCGCTGCCGCTGCCCTCCTTGATCGAAAGTCATGCAATGTCGTTGCTGTAGCTGCTCGGTGGTGTACTGAATTCACTTCCATATCGCGCTCAGCAGATGCCCAATCCTGCACCGTGGTTCCGTGCAACCTGTCCACCAACCTGAAATAAAATAATAATTGTAGTTATATTACACAAAGATAAACTTCATCAATCTTTGATGCATTGTTGGTTTCTTGATTTGTCACAGCAACAGCGCACTTTCCTAAATTGTCGTTTTGCTTTAGGTTTATATTTACTAGAAGCAAGAACTGAAGAATAAACTCGGGTATACTCGAGGTGCCCTTCGTGAATGCCCTTCGCCGCCAGGTGTTGTGCGACAATATCGCTTGGGGTTAAGGAATGTTGGTTGCCCAGCCTGCCGTTGATCGGGACTCCCTGCAGTTTTAGCGCACCAATGAAGGTGGCCGCAGGAGACTTTAGCGTCTTGCCCACAAGCTCTCGCAGGTCCCTGGAAGATCGTTATTTTGTTTCTCATTGTGATTTTTGTGTTAATGAACAACAGCTGCTGAAACGAAAACCTTATATCGTGTGAATGCATTTTCCGTATGAGATGACGACGCCAAACACATGCGTGACACCTAGTTGCCTGACCACTTAAATTATCCACAGCATAATATATCCGTGCACGTACTACAAATACAAACAGAAACAGTACAGATGCGGTTTGCTTCTGCATGACAAAGCTTGTGTTCGATGTCAATCCTAGTAAGTCAGCGTGACAAGCGGCATTCTCTAAGTGGGCAAAATTTTGGATACATTTTGTCCAAATTTACTGTGCTTAGTAAAAATGTACGCAAAGCAATAATATTATTTCAAACATATTTCAATATACCGAATTAAGCCCAAGCCACTTTCTTTTCGATTGGTCAGGTACTGCTTGTACGTGTCAATGAAGTACTGCTCTTTAAAAATATCCGTGGCTTCGTTGTGTTTTGAATGATTCAGGACTTCGTCTTCGAGGTTCTATACAACCGAGACACTCGGACATCAGTGACAGCAGCGATGCTATCTTTTGTCGAAAAGGCAGCGTGATAGTACTACAATCACATTTGCAAGTAGTTGCTCAAGAGACGATGAAGAAGAAGCGTGGTTGCTCGGACATGATCTGAATAAAGCAAAGAGCATAAAGCAGGCTTAATGCAAAGTAGTTCGCTGTCCGGTTTGCTGTGCGAGTTCGAGATCAAATCGGGTAACTGCCGCAGATTGCGCCATGCCTCGAAGTTCGATACAGTTGATGACGAAATACTCTGGGCTACGCGTTTTGTGGCTCCTTTTAGCCCGTGTTCGTTCACCTGCTGTGAAAAGTTGGAAACGAAGTCGAGAGCACCTTCCGCGGCAGCGGCAGCTCCATAGTTGCCACCGAATAAGTTCATCACCGATCGCCAGCCGAACAAGGTTCAACGCGGGAACTAGTTGTAGAGCCTGGACTTACAGGATAGTTGTGTGGAACAGTGGGAAAAAAAACATTTCTTACTGTCTTTGGACCTAGCTTGTTTTTCTTGCATTTCATGAGTGAACTACTGGGCATTTGATGCCGACGTGTGTTAGCCGCGAGTACTCAACCAAAAAGAAAACGTGGCGTCTCGCTGAAGTTGGTATGTTCGAGTACTTCTAGTACCTACGCGCAGCAGAATCACATACTTCCCCTCTACGGATCCCCCTTGCTTTATAAGTACTGCCCGACGGTTGACGAAGCGCAGAGTTATGTCCTTGTGCCCAGCAGCTAAATGATGCCACGTCTGGAAAGTCTTCTAGATTTCTGCGCGAAATCAAAGTACGACGTACTACACTGATGTAGGATTACGTTTATGAAGACGATTGAAAACGATAAAAAGCACTCTCGACGTAATGCTGATAAATTTTGTTCAAGTGAAGTTCGGTATTCTCGGTCTCCCTCATTTTCTAGGTCTGATCACTCACGCCATCCCACAAAATCACGATTTTTGCAGGCACGAACTGCGAGACCGAGCTTGACAGCCCAGACGGGCACACATCTTTAGAAGAAGCACTATGCTCTGCAGTTTCTATCTCCTCTTCGAAGCGCCGCGGAGCCGATCGAAAGTGTGTGTCTAAACGGAACAGACACAGTTTTTCCTCTGCCGAAAAGGGTGGACCTCCTGCTTTACTGTACGTTCGTCAGGTCAAACGACGTGAGCAGGACTTGTGTAGAAGCACCTTGTAGTGGGATCAACGAGTTACTAAAAATTGTTCAAGAAGTGGACCGCCGACAGACAGAACGTCGAACATGGGTCAGATAATAACTAAGCCCTGTCACCGTCATTTAGACGAAAATTTATAACTGTTTGCCCAAACATGACGTGAATGTTCATACTTTTACATTTACTGGTGGTCGTGGTTGCGGTAAAGTCGGTTGCGATAAAGTCAGCTGCGATAAAGTCGAAAAATATAAGTATAAGTAAACACTTTGTTGCTCGAGTTGATTTTTCTGTTACTTGCATGCCACCCACACACGGCGACGACGCCGACTCACGTTCGTTTACTATCTAGTACTATCTCTTCACATTATTTTTGCTTTTGCGCGAGTTGTGCGTTTATCATTATATTTAGCATTCATCAAATTGAATCGAATCATGGAGCAGAGGTGCATGCTGCGTGCAAATGTTAATAGTGCTTCCTGCATCGGATCCGGAAAATCTAAAAGTAATTGACACTATTCTCATGAGCGCTCCTCATCTACTACTTCGCTTGTCGATGAAAAATCGACGAAGCCGTGCTAACTAAAAAAACTGTCCCGAAAAAAAGTGCTCCGACGCAGCCCACCGCGGCGCTGCTAATTGAGCCTTCTTATGCTTGTACTTGTCCTGGACGAGCTGCTTCATTTCGCCGAAGCATGTCGATGCTTTTATGCTGTCGCGAAAGCCGTCTACTCCACCCAGATCCACGATGGTCTGCACGAAGTCAAACAGGTGGCACTTTGTGTCGATCCACGTGCGCAGGACGGCTAATCCGTACGCCTCTTGGTCGACCAGTGTTTCCGCCCACTCGTCCTCGCCAGCTGCGTCCGCTGAAAAGTGCCCTCGTGGCCTTGGAAAATCCTCCGCACATCGCCAGACGCCGGTCGGCTTGCAGATCGGTCCGCTTGTTTTCGTTCCGCCAATCTGTGCAGCGGTGAGCGCCGGTGGCAGCGTAAAATGCGCTGAGTTTGGTTTTACCCAGGATGGCGAATAATCGACCAGGAGTTTCCCGTCCTTCCAGCAATTTTCCCCAGCTGTCTTCAGACTTTGCAAATCCTCCTCGGACACAACCTGCAAGTCATCCTCAAAGCGAAAGTCGCGCGTTATCTTAAATTTTTTTGTTTTTTGATTGAGATGAATCTATATTGAAAAGTTTAAGTTACGAGTAGGAACATCTTCCCATGGAAGAAGCAATGTAGGTAAGGGGGTTCCAGGATCGAATTTGAAATCTCAAACTGACATGAAGATAATAACTTGTAATGCTAAACCGACCGAAGCCGAACAAACCTCCACTACATTTCCGCAGAGAGATGGTTTGTCGTGAAGTCACGAGGACCGAAGCCATCAACATCAGCCTCGTAATGCAGAAAAGCGCCGGCTGTTGGAACTGGAAGCCCAGTTTTTAAGTGGCGCATGACAAATTTCGGTCGCACTGTTTCTGTTTGGGGGAAGAGTGCATCTTTCGTCATGCTACTCTAGCAGCTCTATTTCTACCCCTAAAAAGGCGGACAATACGCCTCACTTGCCAACCTCGCAAGACAAGTGCCCTTGCGGGGCTGGGAATGGTTGCTGGTGCACTCGCACACCTTATGCATTACAATTTCATTCGATGCTCCTGACGCGAGTTTTTGATCTTCTATCTCTGTGTACTGAGTGGGCTCACCCCCGTGGCCAGCAATGCAACACCTCGTCATCACTTAGACTAGATATACCAAAACACGCTTGGATGACCAAGAGCCGGCAGCAGCAGCTCGATCAGGCCCATAATTATCCTGTGCAACAGTTTCAGGCGACCAACAACCACGCGTACTGTCATACAGACAAGATCAAAATCGGTGAGCTACTTCTTCTGCAAAAACAACCAGTACCAAGTTCTCGGGATCTTTTTCTGCAAAAGCCGGGGTTCTCAAAGTCAAAAAATCAGCTCAGACAGCATGTCTCCTGCATTCTTTCTTTGGTCAGTAACCGAAGATGGCACGATTATATAGCAACAGAACCCTCATGCCCAGGATAATCGGCTAGAAAATAGACCTTCGATTTCTCAGTGCGGCTCGCGGAGATGTACCTGTGAGGCCTTTGCCTTTCCAAATGAGCGACAGAATCTCAACTTTATTCTGCATCTTTTTATTCATAAAAAACTTTTTATTGCTGAATTTCCTTTACACCTCCACCTAGGAGGATGAACTTTCTACGCTCCGCGAATGGATTTGCACGGGAATCGGGAGAAGTCTGAATCTTTTCACAGGCACTTCATGCGGTTACCAATCAAATTGATCGCTAAACAGACATAGACTTTCAGGAAAAATAGCCCTACGTAGAGCAAGGTAGTACAGCAAGATTCCTGTACAACAACAAAAAAAAAGTACGGGGCCAGCATATGGGACTCCCCGGAGAGCAGAAGCGCCGGTTGCTCGGCCTGCATATCCTTCGGTCCCCCGTCCAAGACGCAGATACTTTCCCTGAGTCCCCCCTTTGAAGTGAAGGCGCATCCAACTGTCTCCGACGCCATCACTGGGTACTGCATCGGGCTAATCTTTAGCTCCACATCCATCAGGACTTGCGATTTTTATCAAAATCAAAACGCGTGCCTAGATATCAATCGCCTCTATCGAAACAGGTTTTCATTTTTCGTAAATGACAATCCGTTTTGTACTTCTATGGATCTGCAAAGGTATCACAAGCCGAAGCTCGCAGCTGCTGCTGGGCGGACGGGGAAAAATCCGCTTCCGCACAAGTGCAAGCAGGAGAAAATACAAGAACAACTTTTTATGGGGGGAAGTGGCGAAAAAGATTAAGATACTCATATGCATATACAAAAACTGCCCTTTGCACGTTCATTACACAAGAGCACCAGGGGCAGCTGTGATATGAGGTGATTGACATTCAGGTTCTCCGTTACGGATACGTTAAAGCGCTGCGACATAGAGTACTGCGTGTAGTCCAGAATGATGGAACAGTACCGGCACAACCTTCCATACTTTTCTTCGAACTGAATCTGCTTCGACTGCTGTTTTTTTACACTGTCATTCCTTATTTTCTTGGCGAAGAGAAAATCCATCGTAGTTGCCGGATCTATTTGCAGGATTCCTTTACATCTTTTTCTTTCCGTCCTGCCTTTCACAACAAGACAGTTCTCGCAGTATATTCTCCGCTCGTGGTCTGATTTTTTTAGAAGATGACTGTTCGCTTTTTTTCCGCTGAGGCGCCCAGAAAAAATCGGATCCATGTTGTTCTTCGTCGGACTTGCGTACGGGTCCTTCCTCGTGTGCGCGATTTTTGATTTGTCTTTGTTCGCAGCCGCCATTTTCCTTTTTGTGGGGCTCCTCGACTTTCTGTGATTCGCCGGATTGCGAACTTCTTCTAACAGTCCCTCAGCTCCGTCATCACTTTCTTGTTCCGAATTGATGTCTTCATCTTCGGAATTCTCGTAGTTGTCTTGCTGCAGCAACAACTGCACACTTTCCTTTTTCATCGCCGCTGCGGGTACCCCTGCGACCCCTATCGTTGTCCCTCGGCTGCCTCCTGCTTGAGTAGTTGCGGAGGACGATGACGAACTTGATCCAGAGGAAGAGGCGGGCTCGGGAAAGACGGAGGCTCCTTGTGTTGTCGCTTTGTCTTCTTGTTTGAAAGGAGCTTTTTCTTTTCCTTTTCTCATTCGTTTCTCTTCCAAAAATCCATCTGCCTCCGCGCCTTGTTCACTTTCCCCAAATAGGGTTGACGCAACGTCGACGAGCCCCTTTTGCTTCTTCTTCCTTTGCTGCCCAATGGTGTTTTCGTTGCTTCCATGGTTTCCCCCGTCCGACAACGCCAGGGCATCCTGCTGCAGTTGTGCTTCTAACTTCCGTTCTTGTCTCCGCTGTTCATGGAGGATAGCTTGGTCCACTATGAAGTTGCCTTATGGAGGAAAGAAGAAGTACTTTTCTGGCTGTTGATGCAGCAGGTACTGCTCATCAATCGGCGCTCCATCGACATCAGGTCTTTTTCACAACAATTACACCCGTTCTCGTCTAGAACACAGCTACAACACCGAAGCAAGCGACGGGCAGACATTGCAATCACAACTAGGACGAGCAGGAGCAGTGAAAATAAAAACAAAGGAGAGTCGTGCGCCGATTGCGATTTTGTTTTTGCCGGAAAATTGGCACTAAGCACATCCGGAAGAAGAAGAATTGCCTGTGCGCTTCTTAAAGAAAGAGAAACTATGGAGGCGCGCTGATGAAGTATATGTATTTGAATTTATAAGAAAAAGAAATATATAGCATAGGGGCCACCCCCGACCTAGGACAGGCCCCACACTTCTGACCTCAAACCAATAGCAGCCGCCCCAGCAAGGGTGCGTGGTGAGGCAATAGCGGTTTTTTGTCTGAGCCAAAAAACAGCACTAGGCACACTTACGGACAACGAACATGCCGCCACCCCTGGGGGATCCGATGAACGACGGCACGGCGGCCGATAAAAAAATAGCGGCCCAAAGCTGGCGCCAGCCATTTCGGGCTCGGGGCGCGACAAATTTCCCACAGGCCATGGCCCCGCCTGGGAGGGCAGGCCCCGAGACCGGCCCCATGGGCGCCCGAAATGCGGCCCCCAACATGCGGACCGACGCGCTTTCGCTTTTTGGCGGGCCACGCTTTTCTTTGTTTTATTTGCTCTCTTGGGGAAAGCGTGCGGCCCTGCCTTGGCATTCAGCCAGCCGGCCCACGCCGGAAGTGGTCGCCCCACTAACTTTGGCGCGCGGCGACTTTTGCGAGGCCCAAGAGCGCGCGGGCCACCCATCCAATCCAAAACGAAGCCAATGGTGTGCGGGCTCGGTCTTTTTTCCCGGCCCCTCATCATGGTGCCACTTTTCACTATCATTCTGCTTCCCTTCCCAGGTTTTTCATTCACTTTGGCCAAATGGCGATCAAAGCGACTCGCCTAGGGAGTCCATGGCCCGATCCCTGCGCTGGTACAACATTCAAACAAAAAGACGCCCGCCGTCGAATCTTTTCTGGTGTTTTTATGTAGTGGGGAAAGATGCCAGAGTATACACCGCAAAGCTTCTTCTTGGTGCCTGCATATGCGTCGCCTCAGTTCGCGGTGGCAGCTTAATAGCGCATTTACATAGTTTGATAGCTCGTCCGCGCTCGGTGGATTTGGCCTATCAGATGGACAAACAGCCCACAAAACGCTTTCACTCATTTTTCCGGGAGGGTGCGCCGCGCCTTCCTGGCGAAACGGAAACCCACTGCGCAACTATGTGCGAAGGGCCTACTTACACCACGGATAGGCCGGCGCCCGTGCCGCGCGGCCCCGAGCGATGGGTTGCGCGTCGTCCTAGCCGACACAGGCCCCCCAGCAAAACAATTGCGTGCGCACTTCTGCTTCTTCTTCAGACGGGCGAGTGGCTGCTTAACGTGCATCTATGTTCCCGTTTGTCAGTTGTAGCTGGTGGCCAGGCAGCGCCCCAACCGCTCGGCCGCCACCGAGATCTGAAGGACCGCCCGCCCTGTTCCTGGTGAACCAACAGGCCCGCGGGTCGGTTTGCCAGCGGGAAGGCGGGCCGAAACCCTCAGTCGGTCGCTCCGCCCTCCCTGACTACAGGGCGAGACACTACTACGGGCCAACCGCCCCCATGGTGCTTCGGCCAACCTCCACAGGAGCACACGGCCCAGAACGAGTCGCCTCTGCCAGCCCTCCCTTGCGTCAGCACCGGCGCCATAGAAATGCCAGGTCCTAAGTAAGACGCCTCTGCCCGCCCTTCCTGCTTGCGCCACATTCATGAGAGAGCTGGAGCTCTGGTGGCGGTACACAAACACCACCGGAAGCCGCAGGCAGGAAAGCAGGGGGGCACAACCTGCGGCCCCCCGGAAAACCAAGCGCAAGCAGGCGGCCTTTGTTTCGCCTTTGTTTCCATAAACGCATCGAAGGCCGGGCCTTTTACTTTCCGCACCAAAAGCCAATGGCAATGGGCACAGAAGACAGCAAGTATATACGTCGGCCCGGCGAAGCTAGGACTTTCGCGGCCCCATTCCATTTCCGGAGGAACTACAGAGAAATGCGGACACCAACGAACCGACCTGGGCGCCGGCCGGGGCCGACAGACACGGTGGCAATTTGGTCCGGGTTCGAGGTTTGAGTAGCAACACAAGGAAGGAGCTGCGACGACGTCCTGGAGCTTCTTGATGTCTAAGGGCGGGTGATTGAGTATTCCATCGCGCTCATCTGGTGCGCGGCCACGTCGACTAACCAGTGGGCAGACGAAGCGAGCAGGCGCGCGCGTGCGGGCGGTCGCCCAACCACGATTCTTCCTACCGGTGGCCATGATGATCATGCCTACCCGTGATTTGGAACGTTCTATTGAACGCAAACCCTGCTCCTGTGACCTACCAAAGACCGCCAGTTGTAGCCTCTCGGCTCCAGGCCGCTCATCAAAGAAAGTCAGCGCATACAGTCGTCGGCGAGTAGCCCACAAGGAAATCAAGAGTATTCCGAGTGCGAGAAGCGCGACACGCCAAGGCCCGAGGCTACCCTACTCCTTCACTGCGATTTATTCTCAGTGAAAATACCGACACCCCCACAACATAGCTGTCACCCAGATTGGCATCTACGGACCCGTCTGCGACGCACATCGTCCGCTTCCGCATGAGAAAAATTTGCATTCGTGTTCTGGGATCATTTGAAGTGCTGTTTGTAAACAGGACAAGGACAAGCAGGCGTCTTTGTGATGCAGCTGTCCTTGCTAGCCACAGACTGCTCTATGTGCAATAGACTCAACAGAGTGACAAGACTTTTAGTGGGCGCAAAGCCGGCAAATGAGTAAAAACCATGCGTGCTCGCGGGAATGTGTTCCCTGCTGATACTGCTCCGCCTGCAATTCCAAGAGCAGGGCGTTGCTTCGATATCTGCCACAGGCAATATTCTCGCCAAAATTGCTATCGCTATCTGTGGGCTTATCTGCGTGCCACGAAGGCAAAGCGGCTATGACTCCCGTGCCCGGCCGGGGCGGGGGGCAATACAGTGGTGGTCAACCGCTACGCGATTCCTTTTGCGCAGCACTAAGCGCGCGCGGCCGCGCCCGCGCGGTTTGGGCCGCGGCGGCTCGCTTTTCGCGGCCCACGAACCAAGCCGGCGGGGGCTTAAACGGAGGGCGCAAAGCCCGCCGAGCCCCTCATGGGCGCCACCCGTCGGGCGGACCGACGGACCTTCTGAATTCGGTGGCAACCGTGCGCGGACCCAAAAACCTTGGTAAGCCATACCGCCGCGCCCAGTGACGCGTGCTCTTTTTTCTCGTTTTTCCCTGTGCTTTTTTATATTCATTTTTAATGGCCCCGACTGCCCGCCGGCCCGCCCGGGCTGCCAGCCCAAATGTCAGTCCGGCGCGGGGGGGGCCTGGGCGGGATCGCCCCCCTCAAGATGCAGGAGGGGTCGGTGGGCCAGGGGGCGAGGCGGGGGCAACAAGGGAGCGTGCGTGCGCGCGAGGGAGGCCGGGGAAAGGCAACCAGGTTAGGGGGGGGGGGCCAAGGGGGGGCAGGCGGGCCGGCGGCGGTCAGACCGGAGAAAGTATGGGCGGGGCGGCGTTGGTATTTGCTGGAAGGCCTTCCAATGGGCTCCTTGGCTGAAGGCCCGCTGCAGCCGGGCAGCCATTCGAAGAACCCCGCAAGCGCCTAGCGCCCCGCCCGCCCGGGCCAAAACAGCCCAATTCACACCCCCCCGAGCGCGGTCGAGGCACGCGGGCGGCTAAGGTAGGGGGGGGCCCGGCGGTGCGGGAGGGGGGCGGGGTGCCGGAACAAAACCCGCCCCCCTCCGTCCCGGAACAGGAAAGGGCAAAAGGGTGGCGCTTGGGCCAGCAAGCCGTCGCGACGGCCGGCCCAGACGAAACCGCCTCAAGAGGATGAACCAGACCGGAACGTCTTCTAAACCCTAAGCCCTAGCACACCCTCGAGGGGCGTTATCTTGGAATCGTGACGGGGGTGATCTTCACTAACTTGAAGGGGGTGATCGGCCTACGTCTCCCCAAGCCCGCCACCGCGCTCCCCTCCACTCCCCCAGGCCACCGCGCCGCCAGGGCCACCCAACACCGCACAAGCCGCCAAACTGCTTTTCATGTTTTTCTATCTTGCAAAAGACGCCGGCACTGCGGACCCACGGACGAGGCACAGAGAGAGTTTTCTGCTTTTTCGCAAGCGCGCCGGGGGGATTGGCGACACAAAAAACTCTCGCTTTTCGGATACCAGTGCTCCCGTGGACGCAAACAAAGTATACAGATATTTTTACGCCTTCCCTGGCGGAGCGCTGCTTTTCCGGCGCACCTTTTGGCCGGCCACGCGGCCGACCCCGGGCCCAGCTTGGCAATCCTTCTCCCGATGGAAGTGCCCAACTTTGAGGGGCGTTCCTTTGCTCCTTCTAGATCCCTGGAAGGTAATCCACGTTCGCTTCCTTATTTCGCAAACGGAAAGCAAGTTCGCCGGGACCGGGGCCAGCAGCCCGGGAGGGCTGTCGCCCGAGCGCAACGACTGAAGATTACCGAGCAGCAGCGCGCAAACGGTCAGGAAAGAGCTTCAGGCACGGCGCAAGATACAAATGGCCATGACAGGCTTGTCTTAGCGATTGCAATTTTGAATCGAATAACCGACGACGCAGAGCCCGGCTGCGCACCAGAGCTGTGTTAGCATATCGACCAAAAAGGCTTCACTGTCAAAAAGAAGAGATTATCCGTCCTCGACGTAACTGGCCGAGCAAGATCAGAGAGATACTACCAAGCCTTCTGTATCGGGGCGAGTACATACTGATTGATACTTTTTGCGGAGACTGGGCTTCATAGCGAAGTATGCATCTAGCCGTAAGATAGAAAAGATGCCCTCTTGTGTGTCCCAGATTATATTGCAAAAAACCTCTGAACTTGATGACCGGGGGCAGTCCACATGTCTGATTGCGGACCCGGACGTGGTCTCGTTTTTAAAGAGAGCCTGGTTTACTCAGGACTCCAGAGGGTTACATGCCCTGTTTCAAATCAACACGCACTTTCTTATTTGACACTGAAGCTAAGATCAGAATAAATGTGTTAAAGATCTGCAGGAGCTTGCTTTCGCTTGTGTGTTCGGACAGAGTGGCGCGACCTTCGCCTTCTTTCTTTTGGGTAAAAACATAGAGAAAAATAATAAGCAAATGACCATGACAACTCTGATACCTCAATAACATCAAGCCACTGCACCCGCGCTAGGGAGGTTGCCACGTCCTCTTCGTTATACGTTGCAAAAATATCACTTCGAAATGTAATATATAACAACAAAAACGAAGAAGTAAGAGAGATACAGAACCAAGCGCGGCGCGGATCAAGAGGGGAAGCCGCCTGGCAGAAACGGGGCACTGCCCGCTTCTGGCCCATGGCCCCAACCGTTTTGGTCTGCACCTAGCAAAGGGACCGAAACTAGCCACCCAGGCCGCGCGGCCACTTCTGGCTCGCGCCCTTTCCCGCTCGCCAATATTTGGCACCCACACACGCGGAAACGGCCGGGCCCTAGCCGCCTCTGGCGGCGTATCTGCCTTGGCTGTGCATACCATTGCAGGCCCACGCGGCCCCTCCTACCTGGTCCGCCGCCTCCGGCCTGCGTGCCTGCGGCTTTTTTGGCCGGCGTGGGCCTGGCAGGCGGGGCCGCCTTGGGTCGCTCCCTGCCTTCAGCCAGCCAGCCGCCCTGGCGACCCTTCCGTCCGTCGGGTGCGGGCGTGGGCCCACCCAGCCACGCTCGCACCATGGTAGATAGGCGGGCGCGCGCTGGATCCGTCGCTTCGCCTCGGGCCGAGGTATGTGCAGGACAGACTGGGAGAGGGGAAACAGAGTGAGGCGGGCGTGGCCCACCAGGGGGCCGCGGTTGCCTTTGGCCTGCGGCCCGCTTTTCTGGTTTGCGCACGGCAGGAAGGGGGGCCGCGGCACCAAGCAACCTTTGGCCGCCGTGGCCCGGCGCCGTTTCTGAGTTGCCCCTGCGCATGGCGAGGGGGGCGAAAGATTTCGTGCGGCTGCCTCGCCCGCCTGGCGCCCCTGCTGATTTGCCCATTATGGGCGGCCAAAGTGGCCGGCGATACTGGGCGCGGGGAATCATATGTGGATGGTTGGTGGAGAAGCAAGTGAAGGCGACCGCTTTCGGGCCCGCGCGCTGTTCCTTTTCGTCCCTCGCCGGCTTTAATAATCGCCTCCGCCCTGTTCCGAAATGCGCACGCAAGACATGGAGCAGGGCCGACAACGAAGCCTGGCAGGCGCGGTCGAAGTCACGGGCGATGGATCGCCGTCAAGCGTGCGAAAAAATCGATGCTTTGCCCCGGTCGCTTCCTTCGAACTTCGAAGACAGAGCCCCCTCTGAAAAGCGCGGCCCGCCCGACGCACCAGCGCGGGCCCTCCAAGGGACCACGGCTTTTGCAAGGACGGCAACGAGCCCGAACTTGGCGACAACGAGCCCAGCGGGCCCCCGGAAAGCCCGCACCCAGGCTCGTAGACCTACACAACGACAACTGGAACTGCTGCATACATTCTATTGCGATAGCTTTTGCACGGAGTAGGCACTGGCATCTTTGGACGCATCGCCACGAAGCTTGCTGTTCGCGTCGAAACTCGTATTGTCCTCGGCCTGGAGCGCGACGGGGCTTTGGGGCGATCGCGCAGGAAGTGGGCGCTTTAAGTTGTTTGCGTTTGGCTCGAGCTCGCGATCGGGACGAGCCGCATTGACGAGCTGTTGCGGGACCGCTGTTTCATTCTTTGTCGTGAGCACCACGGCTTTATAGGTCCCATCATCCACTGCGCGAAGCAATTTCTCGAGAGACTTGAGACAACCTGTTCCATCCTGCAGGTGTCGATTGCAAATACGTCTGGGTCTGGAAACTTGTGATGCCAGTTTGTGCATGGTGGGAGCTCTGCAATACGGAACCACGCATGATGTGTTTCGCTTTCCGCATGATGGCAAACTGCATTTTTACATGACACACATAGAAGCTTTCATTGTCCTTTTTTCCTGCTCATGCATTACAGATTTAAGACTGATGTGCGACAAGCATGACTAATCTCGCATTCTTCCAGATCCGACATATTTCCAATGCATAGCAGGAGCTCTCGGACGATGTTGGAATTGTTGGTATTCGCTCGGGCGCGAGCGACGGTGGCAGCGAACCGGACCAAATGCAGATCCGCCTCAAGTTCGTGAACCTCCATCCCGCCAAAGGATCTTCACGTCGCTGACATGACGAGGCGCGTCTCCACATTAACGATGGCCATAGGTCGAGCACTCAAGCTAGCCTATAACTACTAATTCTAATACTATTTGTAGCATATATGACTTTTTTTATCGCTTCGGTTGGAAGTTTGGATACTAGATGACACGTGCACAAAGATACACATGTACACGTGCCGAGCCGCGGACCAATGCAAATAAAAGAGCGAACATCTCAGCCGTCGCGCCATACGCTGCACCACAGCGCACCAAAGTCGGAAATGACCAGCCTCGCCCCAGCAGCCTCTAACGGACACAAAACAAAGACCCGAAGCTAGCGGACAAAAAGCCCGGGAGCAGCGGACGCAAGTGTTTCGAGATCCTGAGGCTTTTCTCAGCTAGCTGCTCTAAAGCTATCGCGCTGCGTGAAGATTCCGGGCCCGGCTTCAGTTCGGAGGGGGGCACGCAGGAGGCTGCACGGCCCGGCCGAGGCAGGAGCCGCGCCAGGGCAGGCGCATCCGGTTTTCGCGCAGCGAAAATCCGCAAAATTTCAATATTTCATTTTTATTGCCTCGAAACAAAAGCATAGCAATCGAACAAGTCTAGCAAAGCAGAGGCGAATGTACTGGGCGAAAAGATTCTACTCGCCGAACTCTTGCCACTGTCGCCTCCCCGACAATCGCGCCCACCCTTCGCTTCTGAGTGCGTTGTCGTGTCCGCTAGCGCTAGTAGAGGTAGCCAGCACAGAGGTTCCAGAATCTACGCATTTGTCTCCGCTAGCTAGCGCTAGCGGATACAAAAGCTCTAAAGCCCTCTGGTTTGTGTCCCCCGCTAGCACAAAAGTTCCAA